ATAAAGTATCCTTTAAGTAAATCCTATACTACGAACTATATAAATGGCAAATATCATCCAAATCCTTTAAGTCGCTTTAGTGTGAAGGCTATGAAGGAGTTAGCAAACATCTTCTCATCTACACATACAAACTTTTGACTTTATAATCAATGATATTAAATACCCTAGATATACTATGTGCGCTCAAAATGTGTCCCTATGAAGAAGTGCTTGAACTCCACTCAAGTACTCCTTGGTTCACATTCAGTCAGAAGCGGACCGTAAAAAAAGTCAACATGCTGCCGAGCTCTGTGAAAAAATACTTTAGCAAGTTATGTTTTTATTTTTTTAAGCATTTAACTGCTAGATTTTTAAATGTAAAGAAAACTTTTACTAGAATAAAAGTATGTTATGTATCAGTTTGAAGTTACGTAAAGTGTTGTTATTTCAACAGGTATTGAATTGTGTTTGTTAATTTAACGTAACGTTAAGATACTTTGCATATATACCTAATTTAAGTATGGTAATAATAAATTGGTAGTAATAATAATTCTTATAATTATATATTTTTATGTGCCTTTTTTAATGTCTACCATTTTGAATGTGCTAGAATTTTATAGATTTAATATTTTAAAATGTTTTCTCTAATTAATGTAAATAAATCAGCAGTAATGAATATCAGAAATATTAGGTAGGTAACAAAAATTTCAAAAAAGAAAATTCTCTTAAGTTAGGATGAATAATCTCACTGCATAGTTTTAATGTACATTAATAACATGAAAGCCTCTCTCACTTTGCTTGAGGCAAATACCAATAAAATATCTATGGCTTTCAAATGAATGCATGGAGAATACAATTGTATCTATAAACAAATCCAAAATTGTGTATGCATATAATTTTTTAAGATAATCAATCCTATTAGACCAAAAATATCTGTTTTGATGCTACTATTAGCCTTCTTTAACAGTTGATCAGTGTTTACGAGTAAGTACAGATTAACAGTTCCGGCTATTAATATTGATAAGATTATGCATTAGACAGTATGTCTTGTTAGCTCAATGTTTACAATATGATACTTCATCTGCCCTTTTGTAGTTTTCAGGTAAATTCTTACTAAAAATTCTATATTATTATAGATTTGATATTTTATACAAAAATATTAAGCTATTTTGAAAATATGGACTGCATGTTCAATAATATTTATTGTGGATGATATATGGATGTGCAAGATATTAATGACCTGTGTTTAAAGGTGAGTAAAATTATGGTAAAACATTTTGTAAGGTATGGTACCAAGGTTAATTTCAAAAATTATCTTTATTTGAAATTTCATAACATATATGAAATAGAGAGTTCGCTTTGCTCAACATTTACATATTAAAACTGCTTTAGATATTCAAATTTAAATAGTATAGTAAATAATGTATTTTAATAAAAGATAAGTCACAGATGAGTAGATGCCACTACATTTCATTTTGCTACTGGTAAACTTGTGCAATTATGCTTTAAATGCGTCACTCATCACAATTTATTTAAAACAAAACATTAGTATAATCATTGTATTTCTCTCACTAATATTATGATACAATTTTTTTTACTATTGAAACAAATAAAGTAATAAAAAAAATAACTTATTACTATCTTTTGTAAATGCAGTATGCATTTACTATAGAACTAGTAGCAAATTATATGAATTTTAACAGTGAGTACATGCACATTCATGTTGGAAGAAATGGTAACGTTACTTGTTCCAAAATTTAACTTACTGCAGTTTTGAATGTCATTGCAAGCTTTCTATGGTAGTTTTTTATCTAATGTTATAAGGCACTTGTGCATTCCAGATTACAACTAGAGAAAAGTCTTTTTGAAGTTTTCCTTGTCATTTGAAGTTAAAAAAGGATTATTTTAAAAATATTTATGTATTCTTTACTTTGTTAGTTAACAGCATTGATTACAGTTTACAAATTGGCTGTAAAAATATAACTGTCTCTTCAAGTACTGCTAACAAAAGTGCAAAGTACAAATCATCTTTGTGGCATAAATAACATAACGATTGTTACGATACGACGTATATAACCTCAGTGATTGTCCACATATTTTAAAACAATAACATGAATACCTGAATCGAGGTTCCTGTCCTTGCCTCCGGTCATTTTCACTATCCTTTGTTGACGAACTTATCACTTGACGACTCTGCGCGAAACACACTTAGATCCTGGTCGATCTGCACCGTAATCCAGGCAGCAAATATAAAAAGAACCCAGTTTCAATGTCACTGAGGTAGCACGAGGGTAACTCGCAGTTACGAACGGCCGTCTGTCCACAGACGAACACGCGACGCACTGACGACGCGCGCGCTCTTACACAATAAAATTTCAACTTTATTTACCTTCTCCCTCATGGAAATTCGAATCTCCGTGTACATGTCCTTCAGTATCAGCCATGTTAAATTTATTTATTTCAAGACTTGACTGAACATAGCGCACAGAATTTTCCAACACGACGCAAGTTGACAAGTTGCCAGTCTGTCAAAATTTAATAAAAAAATACGCGTGTCAGTCATTTTGGTGACATCTGTCAAAATCTGTGTTACAGGAACAAAAAAAACATTTTTTGGAGGGGGATTACTTCGATTAGATTTCAATGGTGTCGATTCCGGCGTGATCTCTAAGCTTTTTTTTTCTAAATGGCTTCGTACGGCTTGTGCATTTAGCCAATGTCAAGTGTTAAATGTAGGTATACAAATACTATAGCACTCGTGGTCAAAGTATTAAGTCAAGTCAAAGTAAGTGCCAGTCAAGTCAATCCCCCTTTCCCCATGTTTCAGTAAAAGTGTGGGGATTTACTGGAACCTCCCCGTGGACTTCATGAGGGAACGTCGAAAGACACTTTCCACTATTTTGTTTCCCTTGCCAACACTTGTGCATGTTCCCGAACACTTAGTGGTTAATAATCCACCATTATTAGACACTAACATCCGCCACAACACAATTTTTAACAAGAAAAACAAAACTGCTAAAGTGACGCTTCCCGATCCCGCCAAAAAGTCCTTCTCTAAGCTTAAAAGTAAATTTAACATAAGTCCCTCCTTTTCATTCTGTTGAGAGAATGACAAGGATACACTATTGATGTCGATTCTGGCATGATTCTCTAAAGCTAAACTTTAATTTGACAACAGTGCATCCCTGTCATTCTCTATGCACAATGAAAAGGAGAGACTTATGTTAAATATAGTTTTAAGTTTAGAGAATCACGCCAGAATCGACACCATTGTCAAATTAAGGTTTAGGTTTAGAGAATCATGCCAGAATCGATACCAATGTTTAAGTGCAATATTTAAATTATACGTTACGTTATATAATCAAGTGGAAAGAAACACTTTTTCAAGTGCTGAATGCTGATATAGCATAGGAAGATTCTTTAAATAAATTATTCATAAAACTTAATATCTGTATATAAAACATACACTGATGTCGATTCTGGCATGATTCTCTAAAGCTAAACTTAAATTTGACAACAGTGCATCCCTGTCATTCTCTATACAGAATGAAAAGGAGAGACTGATGTTAAATTTAGTTTTAAGTTTAGAGAATCACGCCAGAATCGACACCAATGGCTAGCAAAAGTTTGGAATCACTTACTTAAAATAGGTTCTGCGAGATCTTGCCTACTAAATAAATGTTTAACTATCATAAAAATAACATCGTTTTAAAGGTTCAACTGTCAACTTTAAATTGATACGGATATTACTACGGATAGTAGTTAAGGAGCTATCCCGGATTAAGTGAAGGAGGTAGGAAAACAAGGAAATATGGAAAAAATAATGAATGAATAAAACAACAAAAATCAATAAATAAAAAAAATATTTAGCCTTAAAATTAAGTGTTAGTACTTTGTGTTGACTCCCCTCACCGTAATAACTGCTTCATAAACCTGATCAGCTTCTGAATTCTGATTCTTGTGGGATACCTTCGCACTCCTCAATCAACGCCAATTTCAGCTCATTGAGGCATGAAGGAGCAAAAGTTCTGGAACGAACCTTCCTCTTCATTTCATCACACATGTGCTCAATGGGATTCAAGTCAGGGCTGAGCGCTGGCCAGCCTAATGTGGCGATACCGATTTCTACGAGGTATTCAGTTATTACCCGGGCAGTGTGACAACGAGCGTTAGCGTGCATAAGGAGGAAGTCATCACCGATATGTCCCGCATAGGAGGGAACGACATGTTCCAGCAGAATATCGGAAATGTACCGGTCCGAAGTTAGACCACCTCCTCGTCCCGCGCCAAGCACGAAAACAAGCTTGGTTTTACCATCGAAGGAAATGCCGGCCCACATCATACAAGAGCCGCCCCTATAAGCCACTCTTTCAGCGAAACAGCACTGCGCAAATCTTTCCCCAGGCCGCCTGTAGTCCCGATCTCTTCGGTCGCTACCATGCAAACACATCCTGCTCTCGTCGGAGAACAGGACTTGCCTCCATTGCTCAATTTCCCAATCAACATGAGTGCGAGCAAATTGAAGTAATGCTTGTCGGTGAGCTGCCGTGACTTTCGGGCCTGTGGCAGACCTTTTCGGAGTCAGATTCGCTAGCTTGAGTCGTCAACGAACTGTCCACTCGCTGGCTGCTACCCCACGAACATCTCTTAACTTCCGTTTGGACGTCGACACCAGTTAAATGCCGATTTTGGAGAGAGGTTGACACGATAAAACTGTCATCCCTCTCCGATGTGCACCGCCGCCGTCCAGATCTTGGTCTCAGGATAAAGCCACCAGTCTCCCGGAAGCTCTTGTTTACATTCGAAACACAGGACTGGCTTATGTGGAGCCGACCTTTTTAAAGATAGAAAAAAAGTAAAAATACAGTTATTCTTGTAATTTTTTGTAACTTACTTTATAATTTTTAGGAAAAAACGATTGTCACCTCATTTGTACTTGGTTGCGAAAAAACGATTCTTTGATCAATCGCTCTCAGATCGACATTCCTAGCTAGCTGACAGTGACAGCAGATTTTCGGATTGATTGTTTTACGGTGTCAAATTTCCGCAGTGAGTGAATCACTGGAAACTGTAAGAGTGGAATTCATAAAAAAAATTGAGAAATTTTGACTTCGTAAAATGCAGGTACCTACTGTTACACTGTATTTTCAAAATTTTGATTTCATTTATAAGAATCCTGTCATGTGTGATATAAATTATGAAATATATTTTTAGAACCCAAACGAGGATACAGAATGGAACGATGTTCTAAGAGCCAAGGGAATCTTACCTCCGAAGGAGAAGGAAGTGTCTGAAGAGGAGATCGTTAATATGATAGAACAGACAATACAACAGAAACAGGCTGAAAGTAAGTTTTCACATTTTGAGGTTACGTGCAGCCTTTTCGTTGAAGGATATAAATAGTGCTATACTATCACAACTCAGATGCTTCTTCCATATGATATTAATAATTATAAAATTTAATATGAAGACCAATATGATTTCAAAATATATCTATGTAATTCTTCTGTTTACATTTCCAGAGGAACAGAAATTATCAGAATTGGATTTAGATGGTCTTGATGAGCTAGAAGACTCTGAAGACGAAGCTGTTATCGAAGAGTACAGGAGGAAGAGAATAGCAGAGTTGAAGAGACTGGCAGAGAAGCCTCGATTCGGAGATGTTAGAGAAGTTTCTGGGCAGGATTATGTGCAAGAAGTGAATAAGGCTGGAGAAAACATATGGGTCATAATTCACTTGTATAAACAAGGGTAGGCACTTGAGTGTTTAAATTTTTTAAGAGTTATATACATCATATGTTCACACTATTAGATTTGGGTATTTGAAGAAAACAGTGAAGAATATAACTATAATTCTGGGATGACTTATTGAATGTTTATGAAACCATTTAACCTTTTTGATAGAACCTAGAAACCTGCTTTGATTAGATATAGCTTCTATAAACTGTAGGATAACTGTCAAGTTTACCTGATTAAAAATTGTTTTTAGAAACTTTTATCAAGATAAACTATACTGCTTATACTTCAAAATTTTATGTACCAAATTTTAGCTGCTTTTGCTACATGCCCAATCAAATAATAGTATTTTATTTTATTTTACTGACAAACCAATCACAACTATTTAAAATATTTTAAACATATCTTGCTCTTTATTTTATCCTAATTTGTCTTTCTTTCAGTATCCAACAGTGTGCCTTACTGAATCAGCATATGAAACAGCTGGCTGCAAAGTTTCCTTACACAAAATTTCTGAAAGCTATAGCACAAACCTGTATACCAAACTATCCCGAGAGGAATCTGCCCAGTGTGTTTGTTTACTTTGAAGGAGAACTAAAGAAACAGTTTATTGGCCCTCATGAATTAAGAGGAACAGCTCTCACATGTGACGGTAAATGTTTTTCTCTTTGTTATAATGAGTTGTCAAAATATCATCTTTGTTAGGTAAAATCTAAGTATTGTAATGTATGTTGGCAAGCAAGGGCAACTACATTGGAATTGTGCTCATGCTTGCCTTCAAACATCACAATTAAAGAGGTAATTAAGGGTCATTAATCCCAACTCTTAGACCCCAGTTTGCCCATGCGGTAGGTATGTCAGTAGCTGGTTCAAAGAAGTATGAATAATTTAGTTGTGGATTTAAAAGATGTCTCTGCATTTCATGGTTTTTATCAATTCCAACAGAAATCATCATAGCAAGCATAACATTTTTTTATAGTGGCTAAAAGTAGGAATATTTTTAATATGATTTTCTTTTTTTTTTCAGAGTTTGAATATATGCTTGGGCAAGTTGAAGCTGTAGACACAAAAATTAAGGATGATCCCAAACCAAAGATTAAGGACAAACTGTTTGCAGATCTAGGCACCAATGATTGGTGATAAGTGATGTTAACAAACTGTTGTGTGAATGGACAGTGTTTTCTATGCTTTTGGAGTGCGGGTTCTTCCTCAGATTAAGATGCACAGTATTTATTTGAATTCAAATAAATAAAATTTGCACATTTTTTAAAAAGCATTTATGACTGCTAGAATTTCTAGTGCAATGTTAAAAGTAACAAAATAAATTTATATTGTAATTTTGTACAATATTTACTAATGTTTAGTATTAATTATATTATTTATTAAAAATTATAAAGTGTTATTATTTAAACTTTTACTTTGGAGATTCAAACAACCCAGGAGTTTATGAATAAGAAGACTACATATATATTTTTCAATAAATTTATTAACATCTTATTATACAATATTTACAATACTGCTGTAATCTCCTGCATCAATCAGAAAGTTAACTTTCAGGTTTCACTGCCGAATGGTAACGGTCTTGGAAACTTAATGATCAAAGTTTTTTTTCTTTTATTACAACAAAAGTAATCTATATTATATTGGTTGAACTGTTAAAGTTGTATAGTACACAAAGACAGGCATTACTGTAAATGCCTATATCCTGCAAATTCAAATTCTCATAAACAGTTCGCATTTTAACAGCCTCTATGCAAGTTAATAGTTGCGACGCATTTAGCAATGCACTGTTCTACTGGATGGCGTGACTTGACTCCCAGCTGGAAGACCTGGGCCAGCAGGCGCGCCGCGTGCTCCTGCATGCCGCAGATAAGCTCGGGCAGCTTGTCCAGAGCAGACTGAGCCACTTCTGGTTGACTAGAGTCTAAACACTCCAGGATCGCTTCTAGACCTGACAAACATTACAAAATAATATTAGAAACCAGTGGCCGCCCGTGGCTTCGTCCGCGTTTAGTTAGTTTTTTGAGAATCCAACAGGATAATCCTATGTCTCACTCCAGGTCATAAACTATATGCATACCCAATTTCTTCCAAATCCATTCAGTAGTTTTTCGTGATTGAGTAGCAAATATACAAACATACAAATTTTCACTTATAATACTAACGTCAAACAATCATAAATACGGAGCTAAGTGTTTTGACGCCTAAGCAGCTAAATAAATTTTAATGAATTTCAGTAAAAAGATAAATGGAAGGGTAAATTTTACTGGAGAGCAAGTAATTATAAGTTGCAAGCACATGTTAGTATTGTAATTCAAAGAAAATTATGTTTTTTGATACTTTTCATAGATATACTTAAATATTTTTGAGTAATCAGAATTTTATTTTTTGCTTCCATAATAATGGAAAAGTGGGTATATATTTTATATTATATATGAAGTTGAGTATTTAATATGTAAAAAAGAAAGTATTGCTTATTGTAATAAGTAATTCGAAACTTTTCGTATGATCATAGCAGAACAGTTTTGCAATACAATATGAAGAGTTTCCTTCTACATGAAGTCATCATGACAATGATTTTAAGGGACTATATGGGGGGTATAACCTTGCAATTACCAAAATTGACGAAGAATTCGTATAAAAAAAATAAAAAGCTAAATACAGACGAATTAAGAACTTTCTTTACCTGGTGTGGGGTCAGCGACGCAGGGCAACAGCTTGGCGAGCAGGCAGTGCGCGGCCGACCGGAGCGGGCCGTGCGGGGACGCGGCCAGCGGGGCCGACGCCTTCAGGAGGGACGCCGCGTGTGTGGGGCCGCCCCAAGCCCCGCCCCGGCGAGAGCCCCATGCCTCTATCTCCTGCGATATGACCACATGTTGACGCTCATATAATATGATAGACGCGGCCAGCGGGGCCGACGCCTTCAGGAGGGAGGCCGCGTGTGTGGGGCCGCCCCAAGCCCCGCCCCGGCGAGAGCCCCATGCCTCTATCTCCTGCGATATGACCACATGTTGACGCTCATATAATATGATAGACGCGGCCAGCGGGGCCGACGCCTTCAGGAGGGAGGCCGCGTGTGTGGGGCCGCCCCAAGCCCCGCCCCGGCGAGAGCCCCATGCCTCTATCTCCTGCGATATGACCACATGTTGACGCTCATATAATATGATAGACGCGGCCAGCGGGGCCGACGCCTTCAGGAGGGACGCCGCGTGTGTGGGGCCGCCCCAAGCCCCGCCCCGGCGAGAGCCCCATGCCTCTATCTCCTGCGATATGACCACATGTTGACGCTCATATAATATGATAGACGCGGCCAGCGGGGCCGACGCCTTCAGGAGGGACGCCGCGTGTGTGGGGCCGCCCCAAGCCCCGCCCCGGCGAGAGCCCCATGCCTCTATCTCCTGCGATATGACCACATGTTGACGCTCATATAATATGATAGACGCGGCCAGCGGGGCCGACGCCTTCAGGAGGGAGGCCGCGTGTGTGGGGCCGCCCCAAGCCCCGCCCCGGCGAGAGCCCCATGCCTCTATCTCCTGCGATATGACCACATGTTGACGCTCATATAATATGATAGACGCGGCCAGCGGGGCCGACGCCTTCAGGAGGGACGCCGCGTGTGTGGGGCCGCCCCAAGCCCCGCCCCGGCGAGAGCCCCATGCCTCTATCTCCTGCGATATGACCACATGTTGACGCTCATATAATATGATAGACGCGGCCAGCGGGGCCGACGCCTTCAGGAGGGAGGCCGCGTGTGTGGGGCCGCCCCAAGCCCCGCCCCGGCGAGAGCCCCATGCCTCTATCTCCTGCGATATGACCACATGTTGACGCTCATATAATATGATAGACGCGGCCAGCGGGGCCGACGCCTTCAGGAGGGAGGCCGCGTGTGTGGGGCCGCCCCAAGCCCCGCCCCGGCGAGAGCCCCATGCCTCTATCTCCTGCGATATGACCACATGTTGACGCTCATATAATATGATAGACGCGGCCAGCGGGGCCGACGCCTTCAGGAGGGAGGCCGCGTGTGTGGGGCCGCCCCAAGCCCCGCCCCGGCGAGAGCCCCATGCCTCTATCTCCTGCGATATGACCACATGTTGACGCTCATATAATATGATAGACGCGGCCAGCGGGGCCGACGCCTTCAGGAGGGAGGCCGCGTGTGTGGGGCCGCCCCAAGCCCCGCCCCGGCGAGAGCCCCATGCCTCTATCTCCTGCGATATGACCACATGTTGACGCTCATATAATATGATAGACGCGGCCAGCGGGGCCGACGCCTTCAGGAGGGAGGCCGCGTGTGTGGGGCCGCCCCAAGCCCCGCCCCGGCGAGAGCCCCATGCCTCTATCTCCTGCGATATGACCACATGTTGACGCTCATATAATATGATAGACGCGGCCAGCGGGGCCGACGCCTTCAGGAGGGAGGCCGCGTGTGTGGGGCCGCCCCAAGCCCCGCCCCGGCGAGAGCCCCATGCCTCTATCTCCTGCGATATGACCACATGTTGACGCTCATATAATATGATAGACGCGGCCAGCGGGGCCGACGCCTTCAGGAGGGAGGCCGCGTGTGTGGGGCCGCCCCAAGCCCCGCCCCGGCGAGAGCCCCATGCCTCTATCTCCTGCGATATGACCACATGTTGACGCTCATATAATATGATAGACGCGGCCAGCGGGGCCGACGCCTTCAGGAGGGAGGCCGCGTGTGTGGGGCCGCCCCAAGCCCCGCCCCGGCGAGAGCCCCATGCCTCTATCTCCTGCGATATGACCACATGTTGACGCTCATATAATATGATAGACGCGGCCAGCGGGGCCGACGCCTTCAGGAGGGAGGCCGCGTGTGTGGGGCCGCCCCAAGCCCCGCCCCGGCGAGAGCCCCATGCCTCTATCTCCTGCGATATGACCACATGTTGACGCTCATATAATATGATAGACGCGGCCAGCGGGGCCGACGCCTTCAGGAGGGAGGCCGCGTGTGTGGGGCCGCCCCAAGCCCCGCCCCGGCGAGAGCCCCATGCCTCTATCTCCTGCGATATGACCACATGTTGACGCTCATATAATATGATAGACGCGGCCAGCGGGGCCGACGCCTTCAGGAGGGAGGCCGCGTGTGTGGGGCCGCCCCAAGCCCCGCCCCGGCGAGAGCCCCATGCCTCTATCTCCTGCGATATGACCACATGTTGACGCTCATATAATATGATAGACGCGGCCAGCGGGGCCGACGCCTTCAGGAGGGAGGCCGCGTGTGTGGGGCCGCCCCAAGCCCCGCCCCGGCGAGAGCCCCATGCCTCTATCTCCTGCGATATGACCACATGTTGACGCTCATATAATATGATAGACGCGGCCAGCGGGGCCGACGCCTTCAGAAGGGAGGCCGCGTGTGTGGGGCCGCCCCAAGCCCCGCCCCGGCGAGAGCCCCATGCCTCTATCTCCTGCGATATGACCACATGTTGACGCTCATATAATATGATAGACGCGGCCAGCGGAGCCGACGCCTTCAGGAGGGAGGCCGCGTGTGTGGGGCCGCCCCAAGCCCCGCCCCGGCGAGAGCCCCATGCCTCTATCTCCTGCGATATGACCACATGTTGACGCTCATATAATATAATAGACGCGGCCAGCGGGGCCGACGCCTTCAGGAGGGAGGCCGCGTGTGTGGGGCCGCCCCAAGCCCCGCCCCGGCGAGAGCCCCATGCCTCTATCTCCTGCGATATGACCACATGTTGACGCTCATATAATATGATAGACGCGGCCAGCGGGGCCGACGCCTTCAGGAGGGAGGCCGCGTGTGTGGGGCCGCCCCAAGCCCCGCCCCGGCGAGAGCCCCATGCCTCTATCTCCTGCGATATGACCACATGTTGACGCTCATATAATATGATAGACGCGGCCAGCGGGGCCGACGCCTTCAGGAGGGAGGCCGCGTGTGTGGGGCCGCCCCAAGCCCCGCCCCGGCGAGAGCCCCATGCCTCTATCTCCTGCGATATGACCACATGTTGACGCTCATTTAATATGATAGACGCGGCCAGCGGGGCCGACGCCTTCAGGAGGGAGGCCGCGTGTGTGGGGCCGCCCCAAGCCCCGCCCCGGCGAGAGACCCATGCCTCTATCTCCTGCGATATGACCACATGTTGACGCTCATATAATATGATAGACGCGGCCAGCGGGGCCGACGCCTTCAGGAGGGAGGCCGCGTGTGTGGGGCCGCCCCAAGCCCCGCCCCGGCGAGAGCCCCATGCCTCTATCTCCTGCGATATGACCACATGTTGACGCTCATATAATATGATAGACGCGGCCAGCGGGGCCGACGCCTTCAGGAGGGAGGCCGCGTGTGTGGGGCCGCCCCAAGCCCCGCCCCGGCGAGAGCCCCATGCCTCTATCTCCTGCGATATGACCACATGTTGACGCTCATATAATATGATAGACGCGGCCAGCGGGGCCGACGCCTTCAGGAGGGAGGCCGCGTGTGTGGGGCCGCCCCAAGCCCCGCCCCGGCGAGAGCCCCATGCCTCTATCTCCTGCGATATGACCACATGTTGACGCTCATATAATATGATAGACGCGGCCAGCGGGGCCGACGCCTTCAGGAGGGAGGCCGCGTGTGTGGGGCCGCCCCAAGCCCCGCCCCGGCGAGAGCCCCATGCCTCTATCTCCTGCGATATGACCACATGTTGACGCTCATATAATATGATAGACGCGGCCAGCGGGGCCGACGCCTTCAGGAGGGAGGCCGCGTGTGTGGGGCCGCCCCAAGCCCCGCCCCGGCGAGAGCCCCATGCCTCTATCTCCTGCGATATGACCACATGTTGACGCTCATATAATATGATAGACGCGGCCAGCGGGGCCGACGCCTTCAGGAGGGAGGCCGCGTGTGTGGGGCCGCCCCAAGCCCCGCCCCGGCGAGAGCCCCATGCCTCTATCTCCTGCGATATGACCACATGTTGACGCTCATTTAATATGATAGACGCGGCCAGCGGGGCCGACGCCTTCAGGAGGGAGGCCGCGTGTGTGGGGCCGCCCCAAGCCCCGCCCCGGCGAGAGACCCATGCCTCTATCTCCTGCGATATGACCACATGTTGACGCTCATATAATATGATAGACGCGGCCAGCGGGGCCGACGCCTTCAGGAGGGAGGCCGCGTGTGTGGGGCCGCCCCAAGCCCCGCCCCGGCGAGAGCCCCATGCCTCTATCTCCTGCGATATGACCACATGTTGACGCTCATATAATATGATAGACGCGGCCAGCGGGGCCGACGCCTTCAGGAGGGAGGCCGCGTGTGTGGGGCCGCCCCAAGCCCCGCCCCGGCGAGAGCCCCATGCCTCTATCTCCTGCGATATGACCACATGTTGACGCTCATATAATATGATAGACGCGGCCAGCGGGGCCGACGCCTTCAGGAGGGAGGCCGCGTGTGTGGGGCCGCCCCAAGCCCCGCCCCGGCGAGAGCCCCATGCCTCTATCTCCTGCGATATGACCACATGTTGACGCTCATATAATATGATAGACGCGGCCAGCGGGGCCGACGCCTTCAGGAGGGAGGCCGCGTGTGTGGGGCCGCCCCAAGCCCCGCCCCGGCGAGAGCCCCATGCCTCTATCTCCTGCGATATGACCACATGTTGACGCTCATATAATATGATAGACGCGGACGCCTTCAGGTCGCGTGTGCGTGCCGCTAATGGTACTGACGGAACAGTTGCCCATGATACGAGCTGGTGGTGCCTCACCTGCAGCATCCAGTGCAGCTGGTCGGGCGGCGCGAGGCGTCGCTGCAGCGCTAACAGGGCGTGTGGCGGGGGGGCTGCAGAGGCCGGAGCCCCGCAATCGGCGCTGTTTAAAGCGCTCAGCGCTGGAGTACTCCTGAATAATTAGGGTAAAAATAGTACCTATTCACTTTACATTTTAAATGTAAAACTTACAACTAAAATGTGAATTTTCTTCAATATTATTCATAATAATCATATAAATAAATAAAAATCAAAATTATGTATTCAGTTTAAGCTGTTACAAACACTCATGAATATGTAGAGGCTACACCATCGGTTCGTTAATCTACGGCGGGAGACCTTGTACTGAGAAGAACCGGCAAGAAACTTAGCAAGGGCTGTTTTTTTCACCCTGTTTTATTAATTACAGAGTCGTCAAGTAGAAAAATGACTTTAGTGCTGATTTATGAAGAAAATACACATTAATACAATGTGAAATATACATTAATTGTTCACCTGCATTTTGAATGCTGTGTCATACAGTATAAATACAAATAGTGTTACTTATATTTGGTGTATCTAGACATTAACATCTTCAATAGCGCAGTAGTTAGAGCAGACTCATCTCAACTGGCAGCACCCGTTCACGAGCATGACACATGAACCAGCCATCGCTTCGTTAAACATTTTAGGGAACGTAACGACCCATACAACGTACTGCTCAATAATTTTTTAAAGACGACCTCCGTGGCCGAGTGGTTTGTATGCCGGGTTTCATGGTGCCGCCGACTCGAGAGGTCCCGGGTTCGAATCTCGGTGGAGGCATATGTTTGTGTGATGCACGAGCATTTGTACTCCAGTCATGAATGTTTAATATGGATTTCTATATAAATATACTTATATATGTACTGTATATGTATTCTATCCGTTACCCTAGCATCCCATAACACAAGCCTTACAGTGCTTACTTTGGGGCTAGGCTAATGGGTGTGAGTGTTGGAAATATTTATTTATTTAAAGATACGTAATAAAGGCCACGCGCTGGCTTTTTTTGTGAAAGCCACTTTCGTATAGTATAAGGTACAGGTAAAGTGCTGTGTGCGACAGACTGGCGCCGTAACGAAGCGGTTTACCCTCCTATAAGAAGTTATCACTTGAGGGGTACACAATCAAAGTTGATAAAGTCCACAAAATTATAAAAGTGGGATTTAAATTACAACACATTCCTTTCCGTATCTATATTTATCACGAGAATAATTTTGAGGAGCTCGATGGCGCAAGTGGTTAGCGCGTTCGGCTGCGATCGTTGAACTTAAGCAACTTTCGCAGTGGTCGGTCATTGGATGGGTGACCAAAAATTACTATCTCGAGTGCTCCTCCGTGCTTCGGAAGGCACGTTAAGCCATTGGTCCCGGCTGCATCTGCAGTCGTTAGCACCTACCAATCCGCACTAGGCCCGCGTGGTGGGTCATGGCCCAATCTCCCTATTCCATCCATAGGCAAGGCCTGTGCCCCAGCAGTGGGGACATTAATAGGCTGATGATGATGATGAGAATAATTTTATACAAATTCTAGAAATCTCGACTGTTATTTCAAATTTAAAATTGACTTTACAAACAAACGTAGCAAAGTCCAAGTGAGTTGAGTTTCAATTTGCGTAAACTCCTTTCGACCAATAGGAAGGCTCCATTGCTTCCATTTCACTGGCAGCTGTCATGGCCGCCTTTGATGTTGTAATGCTCTTTTGTTGTGTTACAGTTACAAACTTAGTAAAGTCCAAAACTTGGTAACAAAACTGGGAAAGTCCATCTTATACTAAATGGTTTTACTCAAAAGTATTGAATTGAACGTGATGAACGCTTGTATTTCCATAATGTATTATATTCAGCATATAAATAATGTTTAACATTAGAATATGGTCAGCAAAAGAACTCCCTTTAACATTATAGGGTATTTGAAAAGTTTTAGAAAATGATCTCACGTTATTTACTAATGTTTATAGAGTCCATAAAAAGTGGTCCATAAAAATATTCATCATTATGTTGTGTATTTCGGTAAAAAAACCAAATGAAAAACTCGATTTTCAAGTTGCCGCGAAAAACGTATCTCTGGACAAAATGGCGTCTCACTGGTGTGTGACGTCACACGAGTGTCATTAAAAAGTCAAACCATATAATCAAATGTCACTTTAACCGGAAGTTTACTTGCGTGTGAGGTCATTTTAGGCTCCACCAATCCCAAGCGTTTTGGGTCACATGATCATAGACAAGAAAACTCTATAATCTTTATCGTGGGTTTTTAGTAAAATTATGAATATTTTTTTTGTAAAAATAGTAAACTCTCCTGCCAATATTCATTCTAAATACAGATGCTAACAATTGGCACTTTATTTTTAATACTGTCTAATACCCTATTCCATAGGAAATTGTTTAAATTCCTATTAAGTAAATGCTAATACTTTTTGCAGTCAAGGAATACCTTGAAACTAAAATTGGTGATTTAATTTAATTGAGATTCTTTGACATTCATGCTAATTGATTTATATCTTTATTTAACTAATTAATATTATTATGTATTATCATTTTTCTTATATAATGTTTGTTTATTGATCTTTTCATTTGACCGGTTTTAATTCATAAACTATACGTAAAGCAATAAAGTAAAAATGGTACCTACCTAATTTTAAAACTCGATCCAAATATTGTATTAATTACCATTTAATTATATTGCATGTTATGAAATTAAAAGAAATGGATAATCACATGCCAGATTGAGGCAAAATAGATGAACTATGTTATATTATATTTAAGAACTTAATGTTTAACTTATTTATGGTGATTAAATAAAATTCAATTCAATTCAATTGAAAAAATAGTTACCTGTAATTATTAAAATAATCGTTTTTATCGTTTACTGAACATTTTGGCAGTGTGGACTTTACCAAGTTTGATTGTATACCCCTCACTTAGCATATTTAGTCAATTGTCTAACACCGTTGAATGTTATATACAAGTTGAAAGACTAATATTATAAGACCTTGGAATGCACCTAACTGTATCCTATAAACACAGTACTTTGTATTTAATTTACTATTTAAGCTAGTCCCTGGCGTGTAAATAGCATTGCTACAAACCTCTGTGGTTTTTCTAATGCTGTAAATATAAAATGTTTACTACTGTTTATAATGATAAATAAAAAAAAAAAACTTAGCATATGACTCACTATGAGGAGCTCGATGGCGCAAGTGGTTAGCGCGTTCGGCTGCGATCGTTGAACTTAAGCAACTTTCGCAGTGGTCGGTCATTGGATGGGTGACCAAAAATTACTATCTCGAGTGCTCCTCCGTGCTTCGGAAGGTACGTTAAGCCGTTGGTTCCGGCTGCATATGCAGTCGTTAGCACCTACCAATCCGCACTAGGCCCGCGTGGTGGGTCATGGCCCAATCTCCCTATTCCATCCATAGGCAAGGCCTGTGCCCCAGCAGTGGGGACATTAATAGGCTGATGATGATGATGAGAATAATTTTATACAAATTCTAGAAATCTCGACTGTTATTTCAAATTTAAAATTGACTTTACAAACAAACGTAGCAAAGTCCAAGTGAGTTGAGTTTCAATTTGCGTAAACTCCTTTCGACCAATAGGAAGGCTCCATTGCTTCCATTTCACTGGCAGCTGTCATGGCCGCCTTTGATGTTGTAATGCTCTTTTGTTGTGACGATGATATGACTCACGCGACAGTGTCCCTGTGTGCGTGCAGTAGGGCCGCGGCCTTGGAGGGCCGCAGCGCCATGTACCGTCGCAGCAGGGCCGCCACGCGGTGCGGCAGGGAGTTGTCGCGCCCCGACCCCGACCCTGAGCCCGGGCCTGGCCCCCCACCCGACCCCGGGCCCTGCTTGCACACGCTCAGGTAGCAGTCCACGATGCCGTGGATCTCCTCACTGTTGTTAACGAATCAAACTTAAATAAAGAGTTTAGAGTTAATAAATAAATAAAGTTTCGTGCATTAACCCGTAAAAACTAGTTTTATTTAATGAGTGATGTGCGTGAAAACCTAAGAAACAAATATGAATCAGATTTAATTAAAGTTTTTATTAAATTTAAGTATGGGACACAATAAAACAGTATTGAATATTGAAAAAATCGACGACCTCCGTGGCCGAGTGGTTTGTACGCCGGGTTTCATGGTGTCGCCGACTCGAGAGGTCCCGGGTTCGAGTCACGGTGGGGGCAGATGTTTGTGTGATGAATACGAGCATTTGTACTCCAGTAATGGATGTGTAATATGTATTTCTATATAAATATACTTATATATGTACTGTATATGTATTCTATCCATTATTACCCTAGTATCCCATAACAAAAGCCTTACAGTGCTTAGTTTGGGGCTAGGCTAATTGGTGTGAGTGTTGGAAATATTAATTTATTTATTTATTGAAAAATCGTGTGGCTTTATGAAACCACAATGCCAGCGAATCTTTTCAAGTTGTATCATAGAAAAAACCTTTCGTCGGCTAGAAATTGAACCCAGGCTCCCAGCGTAGCAGGCGCGCTTTTGTACCACTGTAGCACCGTTGCTTTTTAATCTTTAATTTTTATTGTAAAAATCATATCTTGAATCGAACGATCTAACAAGTTTCACTTTAAAATGTAACAATTAAAAATATCAATAAAACATTTAAAAAGACTATTTTTTCTTATTAAGAATTTTTAGATGAGAAAAAACGTATTTCTTTAAAAGGGCTTTATTTTCGGGTTGTTTAGAATGGGATAGCTAACATCTTAATATTTAAAGGTAACATAACACATTGCGAGTTACATTGTCAAGCTCAAGGCAATAAAGTCAAGATACCTGTGCATGAACTTGATATTGAATCTCTTATCTATTAGACAAGTCCGTCCGTCCGTCCGTGGTGCTGTTTCAGCGACCAAACCGTAAGAGATAGACAAAGAGAATGTTTAAGTTATAAGTTGAGAATAGTCTGATAAGACTACAAACCGGATGTGAGTAACGTAGCACTTCCGGTTTTCGAGAAATCACGTAATTTCTATTTCAAACGAAACCACACAAAATCTCCGAAGTTCTCAATTAATTAAATACATTTTTTTTTGGTAAACATTTGGTTGGTTCACTGGTTTGCTAGTTACAGCTAAATGACGAAGTATGCCTTAAGGAATAAACACTGTCCTGTCAAATTTGCCTATACAATTTAAGACAATTAGGGCGAAATATCTGTTAAGGAGCTCGTTGGCTCAAGTGGTTAGCATGTTCGGCTGCGATCTTTGCAGTTATGCAACTTTCGCAGTGGTCGGTCATTGGATGGGTGACCAAAAATTTACTATCTCGAGCTCCTCATTGCTTCGGAAGGCACGTTCCGACTGCATCTGCAGTCGTTAGCACCCGCCAATCCGCACTGGGCTCATGTGGTGGGTGATGGCCCAATCTCGCTATTGCATCCAAAGGGAAGGCCTCTACCCCAGCAGTGGGGACAGTAATAGGCTGATATTGATAATAATGATGATCTGTTAATAAGCTTGTTACGAGACAGGAGCTATATGCGCAAAGGTTCACGGGATAAATATAGTAAACTTCAACGCAATAAGGTTGAAATTGGTGTCAATTCTGGCGTGATTCTCTAAACTTAAAACTAAATTTACCATCAGTCTCTGTATAGAGAATGACAAGGATATACTGCTGTCAAATTTTAGTTTAGGTTTAGAGAATAACTGGCAAACCAGTGAACCAAATGTTCACCAAAACCTGATTTAAAAAAAAAATGTATTTAATTAATTGAGAACTTCGGAGATTTGTGTGGTTTCGTTTGAAATTCGTGATTTCTCGAAAACCGGAAGTGCTACGTTACTCAAATCCGGTTTGTAGTCTTATCAGACTATTCTTAACTTATAATTTAAACATTCTCTTTATCTATCTCTTACGGTTTGGCCGCTGAAACAGCACCACAGACAGACGGACGGACGGACGGACTTTTCTAATAGATAAGAGATGCTAGAATCAACATGATTACCTGTGTATCAGCTCATCATCGGGCAGCAGTTCTATGGCGGCTAGCAGATGGTGGTGGTGCTTGGACAGCGGGGCCCCGCGCAGTAGAGCCCCGCACAGGGGCAGCGCGCGCCCTCCGGCGCCCCAAGTACGGGCCCATACGCCCCGTATGCCGGCTTCTAGGCGAGCCACTCTGGACAGAAACAATGCATGTTAAGTTACATGATAACACCACTTGCAAAGGACATGGCTAAGAAACTGCCCTTAACGTGTAGAAATATTTCGCACTCACCCGTAACTTTACAATATTTTTTTAATAATTATTATGTGTTTTGTTATTCTCATACAACTTTCGTGAAATAATCAAATATTTAAAAGTATAAAAATTTACTTCATGTCTGTTTAAAAAAAAAGATGTTCCATTTTACAAAATAAATGAAAAATAAATGTTTGTGTATGTATATCGAAATAAACAATGTTATTTCTAAACTCCTTTAAACTATGACATATTTAGCCCCAATTTATATTATAACAAATCACTGAAGGACTAAAATAATAGACTTTATTATTCTGATTAGGCTTAAGACAAGACTGTATGATAGTTAATCCTTTAATTTTTGCAAATGGACAAAATAAAACTTCACAGATAGGGAATCTGTGAAGTTTTGTTTTGTCAGGCCGACGACGATAACAAATTATTTGTATTTATTTTTTCTTTAAAAGAAATTTTTGTGAAGAGTTAATCAGAGAAACGGGAAGAAAGATTCTAAGAAAATGCGAAATTGATGACTCTGTAAATAATTGGCAACATCTTTTATCAAATGTGCAGTAGAAGTTCTCATAATTTTGAAGATTGTAACTTTATCAAAAGTTCCTGAGCCTTTTTCCATAGAAATTATAAATATTCAGCCAAGTGCCATTAAATATTACTAAGTACAGTATTTATACATTGCCAGGGCAGCCGCTCATACAAAACTTTACCATGTCCTTTGTTAAACCTCAATTAAACTACAACTAATTTGAACTCATACAAAAATGCCAAAACGAAAATGTTAATTTGACATTGTTTTATGAGCTAAATCTAGTTTTGGTTAAATTGAGATGTAGCAAAATTGCTGCAAGTGGGCATTACTCACTTTGATGGGTAGATGTTATTTTTAACACTCTTTCGTTAGGTCGACCTGTATGTAGCTAACTATGTAATGGAATCTAAGAATCTGAATTACACGCACTTCTTATTCTTGTATCATCATGAAACTTGGCAATTCTTTATATAGATTAGATCACAATACAAAATTATGGTACCGTCGAGCTGGTCTGATGATGGGACTGGAAGGTGGCTGATGGAATCTTGGACTGCCTACTAGTAAACATATCGAGTTTGGGCTCATTAGATTCGTCTTAACATGTTTTTAAAAGAGTAAAATAAATTAAAAGTCCAAAAATACGCTTTTATTTACTGCACTAAAAAGCCAAAATAAACAACATTATACTTACTCTCTGTTCACTTCACTAGGGCCTTGAGTAAGCCATGTTTTCAGTTAATTATAACTGAATTGTTAAGTATAATAAATAATGTAATATATTAATTGATTTGATAAACATTGCAATGAATAGCACCCCACACTTTTTCAGTTATATATGTATGTTAAAATAAACTATAAACGTGGCTTATTATTTTGTTTATTTTTGGCTTTTAAGTCCAGTAAATAAAAGCGTGTTTTTATTTTTCCAAGCTATAAATTTATTTTTTATTATGTAAGTATAATACATTTGCACAAAACTTTTATGCTAGCAAACGCAAAAAATATTGTTACTAAATTTTTTTCTTCGAAGAGAAGATATTAATTTAAAGGTGCCTACGATGACCGGAGGAGTCGACAGTATTACATTTGAAAACCACATTTTGATATCACTTATGAGTGTGACGTCACGGTTTGATGAGTCATTGCATGCAATATTTGCGGGTGCAATACCTGGCGGCGTGGGGCTGGTGGTGGGGCACGGCGAGGGCGGTGAGCAGCGCGTGCGACACGCGGTCCGTGGCGCTGGTGGAGGCCACGCGCCCCGTGCTCGACGATTGGAGCGCGCGTAACTATACCTGGCGGCGTGGGGCTGGTGGTGGGGCACGGCGAGGGCGGTGAGCAGCGCGTGCGACACGCGGTCCGTGGCGCTGGTGGAGGCCACGCGCCCCGTGCTCGACGATTGGAGCGCGCGTAACTATACCTGGCGGCGTGGGGCTGGTGGTGGGGCACGGCGAGGGCGGTGAGCAGCGCGTGCGACACGCGGTCCGTGGCGCTGGTGGAGGCCACGCGCCCCGTGCTCGACGATTGGAGCGCGCGTAACTATACCTGGCGGCGTGGGGCTGGTGGTGGGGCACGGCGAGGGCGGTGAGCAGCGCGTGCGACACGCGGTCCGTGGCGCTGGTGGAGGCCACGCGCCCCGTGCTCGACGATTGGAGCGCGCGTAACTATACCTGGCGGCGTGGGGCTGGTGGTGGGGCACGGCGAGGGCGGTGAGCAGCGCGTGCGACACGCGGTCCGTGGCGCTGGTGGAGGCCACGCGCCCCGTGCTCGACGATTGGAGCGCGCGTAACTATACCTGGCGGCGTGGGGCTGGTGGTGGGGCACGGCGAGGGCGGTGAGCAGCGCGTGCGACACGCGGTCCGTGGCGCTGGTGGAGGCCACGCGCCCCGTGCTCGACGATTGGAGCGCGCGTAACTATACCTGGCGGCGTGGGGCTGGTGGTGGGGCACGGCGAGGGCGGTGAGCAGCGCGTGCGACACGCGGTCCGTGGCGCTGGTGGAGGCCACGCGCCCCGTGCTCGACGATTGGAGCGCGCGTAACTATACCTGGCGGCGTGGGGCTGGTGGTGGGGCACGGCGAGGGCGGTGAGCAGCGCGTGCGACACGCGGTCCGTGGCGCTGGTGGAGGCCACGCGCCCCGTGCTCGACGATTGGAGCGCGCGTAACTATACCTGGCGGCGTGGGGCTGGTGGTGGGGCACGGCGAGGGCGGTGAGCAGCGCGTGCGACACGCGGTCCGTGGCGCTGGTGGAGGCCACGCGCCCCGTGCTCGACGATTGGAGCGCGCGTAACAGCGGCGCCGATAGCGCGGGACGCTCTGAACATTCAGCTAGCAGTTGCTGGATCTTCGGCACCTGTGTGTGAACATTTACAGACATAAAAAATAAAATTGTTTGCATTAATAACGGATATATTTACAGTAATATATTGTGGAGAAACTGGTGTTTAAACTGGGCAGTAAACTGTCTGTATAATAGAACACCAGGCCCCCGGCCCATATCCCTGTAAAATTATTAAAATTTATAATAATCCATATAACAAAACTGCTTAAGTTTGCGCCGTATAGATTGATACTAGAATAGCGAAAATTGTGTTCTATTGGTATATGCACTCTCGTCAGGTTTCTTACGTTACGGAATTTCTTGATTCAGTCGCCGCGCTCAAAGTCCGCGATAAAAGCTATACAATAACTTGTTCGTGTAGGAATAGTGGCCACAGTAAGTCGGTGGCATCATAGGCCAGCGCGCGTGGTCCTCTAAAGAAATGGAGATGGAGGGATAATGGAGTAACTCCTCAGAACACTCATGGTATAGTCGATAGATATGTTTGTATACAAACCTGCATGTACAGCATGGGCAGCAGCGTAGTATCGTGCAGCGCAGCATGCAGCAGCGCGGCGGGGCAGGGGCAGCAGCGCAGCACGAGGGGCAGTCGTGCCTCCATGCGGCGCCGCATCGCCTCCACGCCTGCTTCCCCTCCCCCCGCTTCTGCTTCCGCCTCGCGTGCTTCTGCCACCACGTAGCGGATCAACACGTCCAACTGTATAAAATAATGATATCAGATAAACCGGCCGGTGGAGTGCTTTCTTTATCACAGAATCGTTGACACAAAATTATTATTGTTTTAATTCTTACAATAGGCTTCTTGACACTTTTTGAAAATATGTTTGAAATGGTTAATAATTGTTCTATTAGACCGAAAAAAGATTTTTTTTATTTTTTGACCTAGAAAGCTACAAAACTTTAATTTTAAATAGATTTTTCATGGATATACAAAAACGCTGTCGGCCATTTTAGTCTTTAGATTATCTATGCTATGACGTCCACAAAATCGCAAACAAACATTGGGAAGCACGTAGGAAATAACCTGAATCTAAATTTGTATTATAAAACCATGATTTCTAATAGATTTTATGATAAATATAATAATTATCATGATTGTATTATACGAGAATGTAGAAACACATTGTTAAGAACTCCAGAAAAGTTGTGGTTCAAATTGTCTAGAGAAATACACATGAACACAGTCATTTTTATAGTTAAGTCAGCATTAATTTAGTCAACAAAACCAATAAACAGAAATTTTTATACAAGATGTAAGAGTTTTTAGATATATTTTAGTCCGACGAAAGACACCACAGTAACACGACAATGACGTTTAGTTGTTTACTAACATATTTACTACCTTGTTGAATTCACAATCATGGTGGACAGCGTTTTGAGTGTTTAAAAAGCATAGACTAAAAACCATTTTCAAATTAAATTACTACGGCCATCTTCTAATTTTATGAATTCCCTATTTTGTGGATTTTGTGGATTATTCAAAGTTTTCATTCTTAACAAAACCAGGTTATCTACCTTAAAGAATCATATGTTTCCAACTGACTGAGCTTTATTTTGTAGATGCAGATTCAATGTAGAACAGAAAATTGGTGAGTTTTGGAATAAAAGAAATGTGAGTTTGTGGTAACCCGTTGTGTGGTTGTCTGTCTGTAGGTACATTGTAAATTTCCAAAGTGTGAATTAATTTCTTCCTAGCGTGAGAAGAATGTGTTATGTAATTTTGTATATTAAATGTAGCGGCAAAGTTCTTGAGCAATACCACAGACAAACTTGTGCAGTAGACGGTTTTTTATGTGAAATTGCTACTGCGCAGGTTTCCTTGTCTATGGTCAACGCTCAAGAGGTTTACCGGGGTGTATACCTGTGAGTATGAGAGCCGGAGCGTGTCTATGGCTGGCGCGTGCTTGGCGGGCTGCCGGTCGCGGCCCTGCCTCACGCGAGGTTGCCGGGGTGTATACCTGTGAGTATGAGAGCCGGAGCGTGTCTATGGCTGGCGCGTGCTTGGCGGGCTGCCGGTCGCGGCCCTGCCTCACGCGAGGTTGCCGGGGTGTATACCTGTGAGTATGAGAGTCGGAGCGTGTCTATGGCTGGCGCGTGCTTGGCGGGCTGCCGGTCGCGGCCCTGCCTCACGCGAGGTTGCCGGGGTGTATACCTGTGAGTATGAGAGTCGGAGCGTGTCTATGGCTGGCGCGTGCTTGGCGGGCTGCCGGTCGCGGCCCTGCCTCACGCGAGGTTGCCGGGGTGTATACCTGTGAGTATGAGAGTCGGAGCGTGTCTATGGCTGGCGCGTGCTTGGCGGGCTGCCGGTCGCGGCCCTGCCTCACGCGAGGTTGCCGGGGTGTATACCTGTGAGTATGAGAGTCGGAGCGTGTCTATGGCTGGCGCGTGCTTGGCGGGCTGCCGGTCGCGACCCTGCCTCACGCGAGGTTGCCGGGGTGTATACCTGTGAGTATGAGAGTCGGAGCGTGTCTATGGCTGGCGCGTGCTTGGCGGGCTGCCGGTCGCGGCCCTGCCTCACGCGAGGTTGCCGGGGTGTATACCTGTGAGTATGAGAGTCGGAGCGTGTCTATGGCTGGCGCGTGCTTGGCGGGCTGCCGGTCGCGGCCCTGCCTCACGCGAGGTTGCCGGGGTGTATACCTGTGAGTATGAGAGTCGGAGCGTGTCTATGGCTGGCGCGTGCTTGGCGGGCTGCCGGTCGCGGCCCTGCCTCACGCGAGGTTGCCGGGGTGTATACCTGTGAGTATGAGAGTCGGAGCGTGTCTATGGCTGGCGCGTGCTTGGCGGGCTGCCGGTCGCGGCCCTGCCTCACGCGAGGTTGCCGGGGTGTATACCTGTGAGTATGAGAGTCGGAGCGTGTCTATGGCTGGCGCGTGCTTGGCGGGCTGCCGGTCGCGGCCCTGCCTCACGCGAGGTTGCCGGGGTGTATACCTGTGAGTATGAGAGTCGGAGCGTGTCTATGGCTGGCGCGTGCTTGGCGGGCTGCCGGTCGCGACCCTGCCTCACGCGAGGTTGCCGGGGTGTATACCTGTGAGTATGAGAGTCGGAGCGTGTCTATGGCTGGCGCGTGCTTGGCGGGCTGCCGGTCGCGGCCCTGCCTCACGCGAGGTTGCCGGGGTGTATACCTGTGAGTATGAGAGTCGGAGCGTGTCTATGGCTGGCGCGTGCTTGGCGGGCTGCCGGTCGCGGCCCTGCCTCACGCGAGGTTGCCGGGGTGTATACCTGTGAGTATGAGAGTCGGAGCGTGTCTATGGCTGGCGCGTGCTTGGCGGGCTGCCGGTCGCGACCCTGCCACACGCGCGGCGACTCCACTAACGTCGCGCAGAACTCCACCACGGCACGGGGGGCCCACTCCCTGTCCATACAAAATACTAATTGAAATTTCTCCTTTCAAATGTTTATTACTACAAATGGTATTCATTTGACGGACAGGCAGAGAAGGCGCTGCTTTGAGGCCTAACAAAGGCTAGAGAAAATTCGACACGGCCATCGGGGCCGCGGTAGCATAATAGCCAGTCCATTAGCCCGGATAAAGAAAGTGTGCGGGTTAGAGTCCTGTCTACTGCCTCGTCCGCGTAATTTTTCTTTAGATTTAAACATCCAGCAGTTAAACGCTAGAAAAAAATATATGCAGACAAATAGCTCACGATGTGGGGTCGAGTAGGGCACTGGTGCACGCGTGCAGGGTCCTCCAGGAGGCGCGGTGCGCTAACTGAGTCGCTAACTGCGGCCGCCACGCGCCCCAGCCGCGACGGAACATTAGGCGCATCTGTGCAAACAATCATATCACCTTACATTAAAACAATAAGGGAATGGGAATAATAAATGACTTTGTATAGTGTACCTACATTCATATCAATGTATGTACCTAGGGGCCGTTCAAGTATTACGTAAGCAGATTTATTACAATTATTTACCCCCTCCTCCCCCTTGTCAGCAAAAGTAAGCAAAGTTCTTACCCCCCCATCCCATGCTTACGTAAACATTGGTACCTATATGAATATTTCCTTTAATGTATTGTGTTTTTTTATTGGTTCATGAGCTTTCATGAGCTTCATAAGCAGCAGTACTTAAATAGGATTAGGATAGAGGACTTTAACGCACGTAGTATTTATTTAAACTAACTTTATTGACACAGTATTCTACATAGAGTAAGGTACAAATATAATCTTATTAATTACTATTACGAACAAAACAAACTTTTCCAATTAAATGTCTTCAGTCCATGGCACCCGAATCCATGATGCTGACGTAATCACTATTTCGACAATGTCATCAAAAATAAGCAAAGCAAAGACCCCTCTGCCCCCCTATAGTACTTACGTAATACTTAAACGGCCCCCTACTCTTGGCACGAGGCAAGAGCGCACTCCACGGAAACGGTCAGTGTAGAAATGCCTCGCGCTTAGATTAAAACAAAAAGGATAGGCACTCGCGGCTCAAAAGTGATCCGCTTAATTTGTGGTGCATGACCACAATTCGCTTTAGTCACAATTGGGCATCCAAACACGCTGCATGTGCGTGCACTCAATAAAATAATATTGCGTATATTCTGCGTTAAAAAAATAAAACAATGCCTTCGATGCTTTTATAAAGAACATAAATAGTTCAAGATCAAATAAAAAATGCCACGGCAACACTTTTTATTCGTAAAACTATAAAAACATTTTTTTATCAAAAATCACGGTTTGCCATGAGTGTTAGTTGCTGAGTCGCCATTTTTTATCAAGAAAAGGACAACAATACAGCTCAGCCGTCTGTAGAGAGAGAAAGAAAACGCAGTCGGCTGCAAATCGAAAGACTTTTATACTGCCCTCCTGTACGACAAGACTCGGGAATCACTCTCCTCTTTATAGAATGTTGTCAACCTATAATGCTATTCGAAATGATTTCGACATATTTAAAGGTTCGAAAGCCTCCACCAGAACATATTTATTTCAATATTCTCTGATAAGGTTTTATTAGTTTTTAGTTTTAACTTTCACTTAAATTTTTTAGTTAGAGTTCAACCTATATGTGCTATATTTATCCTTTAGTATATATCCTTAGTAGTTAGGTAGTTTTAGAAATGCATGTTGTGCTTGCATCTAGTAGGTTGCAAAGTAGTTGATGTTTTTTTGTATGCATACATTTATACGGATATTCTTTGTAACCAGTTTTGTAAGCCAAATAATAAAAAAAAAAAAATCGACGCGGACTCGTCGTCTCATCATATTTTATTTGATGCTTGTATGAGCCTATCGTATCTTCTGTTTTTGTTTTAATCTAAGTATCACACTATAGGAATGGCGAAACAGAGACCTAGTGGGATGGGAAATGAAGGCTATGGATTTCGGATGCAACGGGTTTATTAACAAAATTTTTGAGTAATTTCCAAAATAATATTATCCGTGGTCTGTGTTAATGAATGATTTCTTCCAACGTCAAAATACCGCTGTGTGTGCAAGTGGCGGATTTCTGCCACGCAATATTATATTATCATCATCATCAGCTTATTAATGTCCCCACTGCAGGGGCGCAGGCCTTCCCTATGGATGGAATAGGGAGATTGGGCCATGACCCACCACGCTGGCCCAGTGCGGATTGGTGGGTGCTAACGACTGCAGATGCAGCCGGGACCAACGGCTTAACGTGCCTTCCGAAGCACGGAGGAACTCGAGATAGTAAATTTTTGGTCACCCATCCAATGACCGACCACTGCGAAAGTTGCTTAACTGCAACGATCGCAGCTGATCGCGCTAACCACTTGCGCCATCGAGCTCCTCTATATTATAATGTAAATTAATAAATAAATATTTCAGAAAATATTTACGATTGATTTAAGACATTAATGAAGACGACAGGTTCAGTAGAACTCGAAACACAACAGAGGGTTGTGACGGCCATTTTGCTTACACAGTCGAGGGGTTATAAGCAGAACAGACACAAAGACAACGAGAACACAACAATGTTGATAGGAAAAATCATAAATATGTCAATACTTTAAAATAACTGTAAAAACGGATTTGTTTATCAAGACGTATATCTGCATAAAAATCTCAACATCGCCGAGTACATAATAACAATAATATCCAGTGCTGTCTTCTATAATACAAAAGAATTAATTATTAGAAAGTAAATTATCAAGTAGACCAATATCGAGCATGTCATGTTCATGTTATTAGAATTAAAAGAAAAAAATATTCAGTGCTTGTTTTAGTAGGTATTCATTTGACATTGTGGGTTTCCTACAATGTGAACAGATGGCGCTGCCTTGCAATTTAAGAAAGGCTAGAAAAAATTCGACACAGCCGTCAGGGTCGCGGTTTGTATAATGTGGTCAGTGCATTCGCCCGGATAGAGCAGTTACATGCTAAAAAATATTTTTTTTAAATAAATATTTCTCACATTTACACCAATTAGCGTAGTCCCAAAGTAAGCACTCTATGGCTTGTGTTTTGGCAGTAAGAAATGACTTTTTTTTTGTATATAATAAAATATCTAATCCAGTTGACAAAATTACCAAGGTAGCTCGACAAAATTAAATAAAAAATCATTATTCTGACGATGCAGACCTGAAAAGGCTGCGAAACGTCAATAAATAAATAAAGTTTCGTGCATTAACCCGTTAAAACTAGTTTTATTTAATGAGTGATGTGCGTGAAATCCTAACAAACAAACAGTTATTATTTTGATTTAATGTATCGAATTTTAAACTCAAAATCGGAATTGCGTACCTGTCTCTCGGGCTGAGCTCCCAAAGTTTCCTGCTGAAGTTCGGACAGCCAGTCCAGCAGTAGGCCGCAGCCCAATCCGCCGCGAGCGAATAAATGCCCGCGCTGGACGAACGAATCTTCGCTCTTCACCTACACCAGTAAACAAAATCGGTCAGTACAATAACATTTGAGTGATTCATGATATGTTCCGCCTAATGATGTCGCTATAGCTGCAGTATGCACAGACCTATATAATTATTCATTCACCTTTCTCTACTCATCTCCAGATTACCTGAACCATAACAAAACCTAACTGTACCCTTGACACGAACTTATATCGAATAAGGTATGAAATAAAGTGCCATATGTTAGCATCTGTGTTTAGAATGAATATTGGCAGGAGTTTTTACTACTTTTACAAAAAAAAAAAATGTTCATAATTTTACTAAAAACCCACGAAAAAGATAATAGTTTTCTTATCTATTGTCACGTGACCCAAAACGCTAAAATGACGTCACACGCAAGTAAACTTCCGGTTAAAGTGACATTTCATTGTATCGTTTGACGTTTTAATAACAGTCGTGTGACGTCACACACTAGTAAGACGCCATATTGTCCAGAGATACGTTTTCGCGGCAACTTGAAAATTTTTGATTTGGTTATTTTTACTGAAATACACAACAGAATGATGAATATCCACTTTTTACGGACTCCATAAACATTAGCCAATCACGTGAGATCGTTTTCTAAAACTTGTCAAATACCCTATTCGAATAGTTTTCAGTGCGAAATTTCATTGTCTAATTCTGTATGTAAAGTTAAACAGAACAGTGATACAACAGACGTAACGAGAATTAAAAATCAGTACACATTTTTATTTAAAATACATCGAATTTAATTATTCGAAATCGATAATGGTACGTTTTAAAGGTACTGTACCCTGTCTGAACTTCACCGTCACTTAACATCAGGTGGGGTCGAGTGTGGTAATGGGGTGTGGGTGATTCACGGGAGAACTGTCGACGAGCGTTCAGTGTGAAATCAACAATTTATTGAATTATCCTACATTTATTTATTTAATTCTAGACCAAAATCCACAGCATTTTCATAATATAATACAGGTTTTACAATATAGTTTATCTTAATGCCAATTACGGATTTTCATTTTTTAGTTATATATCATAATAGTTTAGAAAACCCTCTACCAAACAGGGGCGAGATGTGTGCAAGGCGCGCGCGCCATTGTATATGTGGGTGTGTGTGTGTATATATGTGTACGAGTGTGTTTGTGTGTATATATGTATGCATGTGTAAGTGTTTCATTTTTGTTTGTATATTACCAATCAACCAACAGCCCTAAAAGTTGTTTTTTAAAAGATGCTTTACTTTTGCAATTAAATATGTCAACAGTCGTGAATTTTTTATTGTATGTTGGTATTTTGCGATAGAAAAACAACTGAATTTGTGCATAGTATGTGCGACATGTAGGGATTGCGAAAAAGAAAGATGATTAATGTTTGGTACGGGTAGTGGGTGTGTAGAGTGTTAAAAATGAAGAGGCAAGCTCAGTGCAGTCTTTAGTCCCATTGCAAACGTCGTAGAGAAATGTCATATCGAGCATAGCGCGCCGTCCTCAAGAGGGACCAAACGATGGAAACGACATCCTTCCCTATAGTCCGGACAGTCATTTCTTTTTCTGTAATCATCTTATATACAAGTAGTATATAGTACTATAGTAACTGAAGTGGCAGTGGGCTGGTCACATTAGCCGCAGAACTGATGGACGTTGGAGTCGGAAAGTTCTTGAGTGGAGACCGCGACTCGGTAAACGTAGTGTGGGACGCCCTGAGACAAGATGGGATGATGATATTCGTAGGCTGGCTGGAGTGGGCTGGATGAGAGTGGCAGAAAATCGGGAGCAGTGGCGTGCATTAGGGGAGACCTATGTCCAGCAGTGGACGAACATGGGTTGATGATGATGATGATATAGTACTAAGCGTTAACTACGTGCTTAGGGATAAGATACCTAATCGTATCGGGGAAGTGTTATCAACACGTAGAAGACGTGATTTACACTTCACCACACACGTCATTTATCGTACCTATCTACAAAAAATCGACTTTTCGGCAAATAACTGTTTTATTCGATAGTTTCGCTAGGTTTACTTACATACAGTACCCTTAGCACGAGCCAATATCGAATTCGAATAGTTTGCGAGTCCAAAATGTCGTTGTCAAATTTTAGATAGAAACTTGAACATCAGCGCCACAACGGACGTAACGAGAACTAAATATCAGTACACGAATTCGATATTGGTTCGTGCTAAGGGTACTGTACCCCTACCACGAACCAATATCGAATTCGAATAGTTTGCAAACCGAAATGTCAATGTCAAATTGTGTATGGAAACTTGAACATCAGCGGCACAAAGTACGTAACGAGAACTAAAAATCAGAACACATTTGACAATGACTTTTCGGACTCGCAAAAGATACGAATGACTGGACCCCACCTGATGTTAAGTGACGGTGAAGTCCAGACGTGAAGAGAGCTGGTACAGCAGTTCTATCTGCCTCACCAGCCATTCTCACCATGCCGGCATGCATGTTGCCTCTTTCAAAGGATTCCAGGTTGGAATTGCTTATTCACATTATGTGATGGAAGCTGACCTCAACACATGTTTGCAAGTTTGATGTCAACTTTCAATTGGACGACACTGTATGAAATAAAACGGGGAGAAAAAAGCAGCCCTTGCTGAGTTTCTTGCTGGTTCTTCTCAGTACAAGGTCTCCCGCCGTAGATTTGCGAACCGATGGCGTAGCTTTTCGACATTCACAAGTGCTTGTAACAGCCTAGACTGAATAGACGATATTGAATTTGAATTTTATTAATATAATCTTAGATTAAAACAAAAAGGGAAGATACGGCATTCGCGGCTCAAAAGTGATCCGCTTAAATTGTGGTCCACGACCATAATTCGCTTTAGTCACAATTTGACATTCAAACACGCTGCATGTACACTCAATATAACAATATTGCGTATATTCTGTGTTATGAAGATATAACAATGGCTTCTATGCTTTTATAAACAACACAAATGGTTAAAAATCAAATGCCCCGGCAACACTTTTCATTCGTAAAACTGTGAAAACATTTTTTACTTAAAAATCACGGTTTGTCGTGAATATTATTTACGTAATCGCCATTTTGTAAGCATGACGCTTTTCAACGCAACAATACGCTGCGTTGAAAAGCGTATAGTTCTGTCTCGCTCGCTCGATTGATGTTTATATACAGACGTGTGCGTGGCGAGAGTTGCCTATGTAGTTGAGTCGGATCATATTTTATTTGATGCTAGTAAGAGCGTACCGTATCTACCCTTTTTGTTTTAATCTAAGAATATAATACGTGCCTTGGTCTCGTAGCGGCCGGCCTGGTTGTTCTCCAGCACCTGCGATATGACGTCGACCACCAGTGCGGTGCTGCAGGTGTCGATCATCTTGTTACCGATGGCTTCTAGTGTGCTCGGCGTGGCGCTCTCCAGGGCTGAATGGAAAGATTTATGTTGAACCGATCACATTTAAAGACATAAACCACCTTCTTGCAGAACATAGACTAAATCTAAAGAAATGATTATATATTATATTATATATTATTATTATATATTATATTTTTAACACTCACACCAATTAGCCTAGCCCCAAAGTAAGCACTACAAGGCTTGTGTTATGGGATACTAGGGTAACGGATAGAATACATGTTTTGTACATATATAAATATATTTATAAAGAAATACATATTAAACATCCATGACTGGAGTACAAATGCTAGTGTTCATCACACAAACATCTGCCCCACCGGGATTCGAACCCGGGACCTCTCGAATCGGCGACGTCATGAAACCCGGCGTACAAACCACTCGGCCACAGAGGTCGTCGAGATTATCATCATCAGCCTATTAATGTCCCCACTGCTGGGGCACATGCCTTCCCTATGGATGGAATAGGGAGATTGGGCCATGACCCACCACGCGTGCCCAGTGCGGATTGGCAGGTGCTAACGACGCACGGAGGAACTCGAGATAGAAGATTTTTGGTCTCCCATCCAATGAACGACCATTACGAAAGTTGCTTAACTTCAACGATCGCAGCCGCACGCGCTAGCCACTTCCGCCATCGAGCTCCTCTAGAAAATATTACTAGAAAAAACCCACGCGAACCAGGCAGCATACGGGACTCGAACCCGCACCCTTCGCTATCCGGGCGAAAGCACTAACCAATTATGCTACTGCGGCCCTGACGGCCGTGTCGAATTCTTTCCAGCCTTTCTTAAACTGCAAGCCGCAGCGCATCATTCTCTTTTAGCTCATATTTTATTTAATTATATTTTCTTTAGATTATATTAAACATCGAGAAGTAACATGCTTTAATTTGACGACCTCCGTGGATGAGTGGTTTGTACGCCGGGTTTCATGGTGTCGCCGACTCGAGAGGTCCCAGGTTCGAATCCCGGTGGGGGCAGATGTTTGTATGATGAATACGAGCATTTGTACTCCAGTCATGGATGTTTAATATGTATTTCTATATGAATATATTTATATATGTACAGTATATATATTCTATCCGTTACCCTAGTATCCTATAACACAAGCCTTATAGTGCTTACTTTGGGGCTAGGCTAATTGGTGTGTGTGTTGAAAATATTTATTTAATATATTTATTTAATTATAACGTAGACTAAAGTTAAACCTGGACCAAAACTGATGCTGTCAGTCTTAAATGAAACACGCTTAAACGGGTTCAAAATGTGTCTTTTTATTACTATTTTGCGGTTTCGTTTTCACTTTTGTTTGTTAAAAGGAAGACATCAACAACATTAGCCGACTTTTGAACCAAGACTAACTTCATTCCCCGTTTTAATTTAAAACTGGTCAACGCCCAACCTTGAACGTAATTACATATATTTTTTACATCTTGAACCTGTTTTTATTGATTTTTGAGCCTGATACACATTTTGTGCCAACAGAAATGGGTTAGTTTCTGGATCATACAATGGCATACAAAAGATAATGATGGAAAACTTGTCAACTTATTCCAGCCATAATAAGACAACATCATAAGGTGAACAGTAGTATATATGTAGCTCAAAATTATGGAATAAATACTAAGTATTAAAAAAATGAGAGGAGCTCGATGGCGCAGGTGGTTAGCGCGTTCGGCTGCGATCGTTGAAGTGAAGCAACTCTCGCAGTGGGCGGTCATTGGATGGGTGACCAAAAATCTTCTATCTCGAGTTCCTCCGTGCTTCGGAAGGCACGTTAAACCGTTGGTCCCGGCTGCATCTGCAGTCATTAGCACCCGCCAATCCACACTGGGCCCGCGTGGTGGGTCATGGCCCAATCTCCCTATTCCATCCATAGGAAAGGCCTGTGCACCAGCAGTGCGGACATTAATAAGCTGATGATGATGATTAAAAAAATGTGAGCCGTCACGAGACGCCTGACAGAAGTGAAACACTAGCCGGTTTAAGATAAATACACTCGGAGTATTGCTCGGGATTCTTGCGGTAAAAAATGACATACGTCCGGCCTCGAAGGGCGCTGGCGCCGTACTAATCGACGAGTAGCGTCGCCACGCCAGAAATCGGTTTTACGTGCGCAATAAAAAATTTTTTTGTTCAAGATAGACACATGCGGTAAGGCTAACGTAAAGATCGTCTTCGGAGAGATTTAGTCTCTTCATAAAATCATTTTTATTTTTTTTAAATCCGTTGATGTAACATATACAAAGTGTGAAAAATGTAAGACAGATGGCTCTATTCAGAAAGGTATAGACAACGCATTAGAAAAGAAAAGCAATATGGAATACGATCTGCGCTAAAAAGTGGTTCCACGCAAAGTGCGATCAAGTGGGCGGGACGAAAAAAAATGCGATCAACACAAAGATCATGGGATTACTACCAAAAGGGTTGTAAATTTTACTAGGTAGTATTGTACTGCGAGGCTTGATGAAATCGGAAAACGGCTGAACGAATTTGGTTAAATCTGGCACACATATAATTTATTACCTAGATTGAGAAAAAACGGTAATTTTAAGGACGATAAAAATTTTAGGATTTTGAGGGATGCGAACAAAAAACTAAAGTTAACGTGGACACAGTCGCGGGCGGCCGCTAGCTTGCTCAAATTTGATTTGTCAACGTATTTTGTTTTGTCTGTATACGTGTCGTGTGAGCACTGTAGTTTAGCTGTACGAGTTTGGAACCATTTTCAAGCGGCCTTTGTTAGAGATTAATAATTCCATCTCTTATCTAATAGACAAGTCCGTCCGTCCGTGGTGCTGTTTCAGCGGCCAAACCATAAAAGATAGATAAAGAGAATGTTTAAGTTATAAGTTAAGAATAGTCTGATAAGACTACAAACCGGATTTGAGTAACGTAGCACTTCCGGTTTTCGAGAAATCACACGAAACCACACAAAATCTCCGAAGTTCTCAATTAACATTTTTTTTTTGGTGAACATTTGGTTCACTGGTTTGCTAGTATCATTTCTAATTCGTTTGATATAAAGGTTACATCAATCGCATGAATAGGTGTCGTAAACATACCAGCGATGAGTTGTTCCCTGGTCGCATTGGTAGGCACGTCCGGCACTGTTTCCTGTTTCACGGCTTTAGTTCGCGCGAGGCTACGGAGCACCTCCGTAATGGGGCCGGGGACGCATTTGAACTGAGCCAGCAATGACTCCGCTATCTAAAAATTAAATTAATTTCTTCGTTTTATTTTTGCATTGCTTTGCTTGCTGATTTATTTAATATGTATGTTTTTTGCTGTTTTGATTGACTTTTATTTTTTGTTACTTGGAAACAAAGGATGCCAAGTCCATACATCCTTTCAAGTAATAAAAAAATAAATATCATGTCTTTTTTTGTGTCACTAAACAGGCTCTGCCAGAATAACAGCGCTGGTGCGACACAATGTCGCATCAGCTAATGCTGAGGTAGAGTCCTGGTTAGCCCTGTGTTTTTTGAATTTGTATCTGTAAATGTGTAATATCTGTAATATGAGGGTTAATAAAATATATTCTATTCTATAAAAATTTAAACATATTAATAAACCTAACAAAATACACACAAGAGAAAACCTTATAAAACTTTATTTTTCTAAACTTATTGATGGTCCTTCGAGCAGGTTTTGCAAACTTTCAAAAACATTGAGGATAAGGTTCACTATCATGAATACAGCAATGAAAATTGATGCCTTTTTCTAACCTCCGACAGTCGATCATTCTTGGCAGGTAATATAGCTCGGAGCAGCGCCACTCCTCTCGCGCCGGATGCTGCGATACTGGAGCCCGCGTGCGAGAGATACGTGTACACCGCTTCGAGGTATGGGAACGGGCCGTTTGTGCCGTTAGATGCATGGTAACGCTTCGCTTCTGAAGTCACCGCCTGTAGAAAAATTATGTTCTTTTTATTATAATCATCATTATCAGCCTATTAATGTCCCTATTGCTGGGGCACAGGCCTTGGCCTTCTCTATGGATGGAATAGCGAGATTGGGCCATGAACCACCACGCGGGCCCAGTGCGGATTGGCGGGTGCTAACGACTGCAGATGCAGCCGGGACCAACGGCTCAACGTGCCTTCCGAAACACGGAGGAACTCGACATAGATAATTTTTGGTCACCCATCCAATGACCGACCACTGCGAAAGTTGCTTAACTTCAACGATCGCAGCCGAACGCGCGAACCACCCTCGCCATTGAGCTCCTCTTGTTATAATGTTCGTTTGTTATTATATTCGTTTGTTTTTTGGAGATTATAATTAATACAATAATAATAATAAACATTTATTCCAGACTTTAAATTCATAGACAATTGTTAGTAATTAACGGGTGCGTAATTTGTTATTTATCATAAGGACCTCAATTATAAAACTATATTTAAGATTTTTTACATTGGACAGTGCAAATAGTTTCTTTGTAACTTTAAGTTATGTCTAAATTTGAGGACCTGTAATTGGCTTTTTGTCGCTTCTATTCATGTTTTAGTTTATTAAGATAAGCTGTTGGTCTTCCATGTAACCAAAATAAATAAATAAGGGTCGCAAACAAGCATATGGCCCGCCTAATGGTATGTGGCCACCATAGCCTATAGACCAGGGGTTCCCAACGTTTTATTGGTCAGGGACCACTTTTACATTATTTTTTTTGTGGCACGGACCACTATTTAATCACTAAATAACTAAATTTTAGTGTAATAAAAATAAACTGTAATAATTAAACTGAAACTTTAATTAAAAATCTAATATGAAATTAAATAAAAAGAAATAATAACATTTTTAGCGGGCGCGCCCGCTAAATTCCAATTCATTCGCGGACCATATTTTGGCTTCTGCAGACCACTGGTTGGGAACCATTGCTATAGACGCTTGCGATGCACCAGTGCCTACCCTGATTCAATCCCCTACTCCGTGGAGTCCTGGAACCTTACTCATCAACAGAAACGACACCAAAAGGTAGTGTTATTTTACTGCGGTCTTCTGTAAGGTGAAGGTTACTTCCCCAGGGAGAAGGAAATCCCTACTCCAATTAAAAAGTATGCTGTAAGTCCTTATGTGATTTTTTTTTACCAAAAGTGGTGGTAGACACTGAAGTTTTTTCCAACTGTAAGTGTCGCCGCACACGGGCTACACGCCACAGCCACAAAACGCCGCGTGTGCGGCGAGACTAATATACTACTACTATTAAGATAAAATAACTCCGTGATCATGGCGCTTGCAATAGCGCCGAAATTTTGGAGACTCACAAGACACAACGTACATGGTAGCAATGCCGCTAATAACAAATATTCTTATAAGATAACATTAGTTCTACTTATCACCTAAATTCAACGATACACCAAGTAAATGCAGAGTATTAAATTTCTACCAATATGTAAGACAAGATAAAATTTCGTCAGTTGAAGAAAATTTAACTACAATTATTGTTTGTAATTTTTTTTTAAGTTATGCCATTGTTCCAATTATGATAACTATTATACTGGTTCCGGGCAAAAAGCCCTGATAACCCATAATTATGTTGAATAATAAAAGTCAAACAAATCCGTTTGGTACGGACGGACGGACAAAAGAAATATCTATAATTTTAGCGACGAAATATTCTTATACGATAAAACATCGTACAATTTAGCACTGTTTCCCATGGATCCGACAATTCAGCGGGGTAATATCATGTCTTATATATACAGGGCGTCCCACGGCTACCTCACACGGAGGGAAAGTATATTAAATATTGGCTGAAATTTGTAATAATATTTCGAAAATGGAACACATAAATATTTAATATACTTTCCTTCCGTGTGAGCTAGCCGTGGGACGCCCTGTATAGATATAATAGTATGATCTCACGGGCAGTAATTGAGCGAGGTCTACGTCCCCGCCTGGTTGTAGCGCGGTGGCGAGTAGAGCAGGTGTCGCCGCAGTACGGGCCGGCGAAGCGCCCGCTGCCTCCCATGGGTCCGACACTTCGGCGGGTAACTCTTCTTCGGCGAACATCATGTCATCTACGTACAGAAAAAATAATGTCATTTGAGAACATTGATTTAAAATGTTCGCTTTATGATTTTTTGTGTAAATGATAATAATTTTGAATATGCGGCGGAGCATTAGCGGCCGCTCAGGCCCCGCCACCTCGTGCGCCGCGTGCCCGCTGCATGATGACGATGATGACTCACCGGGCGGGTGCCGGGGCGGCTGCAGCTGCAGCGCAGCCGCGAAGGCCCCGCCGCCTCGTGCGCCGCGTGCCCGCTGCATGATGACGATGATGACTCACCGGGCGGGTGCCGGGGCGGCTGCAGCTGCAGCGCAGCCGCGAAGGCCCCGCCGCCTCGTGCGCCGCGTGCCCGCTGCATGATGACGATGATGACTCACCGGGCGGGTGCCGGGGCGGCTGCAGCTGCAGCGCAGCCGCGAAGGCCCCGCCGCCTCGTGCGCCGCGTGCCCGCTGCATGATGACGATGATGACTCACCGGGCGGGTGCCGGGGCGGCTGCAGCTGCAGCGCAGCCGCGAAGGCCCCGCCACCTCGTGCGCCGCGTGCCCGCTGCATGATGACTCACCGGGCGGGTGCCGGGGCGGCTGCAGCTGCAGCGCAGCCGCGAAGGCCCCGCCGCCTCGTGCGCCGCGTGCCCGCTGCATGATGACGATGATGACTCACCGGGCGGGTGCCGGGGCGGCTGCAGCTGCAGCGCAGCCGCGAAGGCCCCGCCGCCTCGTGCGCCGCGTGCCCGCTGCATGATGACGATGATGACTCACCGGGCGGGTGCCGGGGCGGCTGCAGCTGCAGCGCAGCCGCGAAGGCCCCGCCGCCTCGTGCGCCGCGTGCCCGCTGCATGATGACGATGATGACTCACCGGGCGGGTGCCGGGGCGGCTGCAGCTGCAGCGCAGCCGCGAAGGCCCCGCCACCTCGTGCGCCGCGTGCCCGCTGCATGATGACTCACCGGGCGGGTGCCGGGGCGGCTGCAGCTGCAGCGCAGCCGCGAAGGCCCCGCCGCCTCGTGCGCCGCGTGCCCGCTGCATGATGACGATGATGACTCACCGGGCGGGTGCCGGGGCGGCTGCAGCTGCAGCGCAGCCGCGAAGGCCCCGCCGCCTCGTGCGCCGCGTGCCCGCTGCATGATGACGATGATGACTCACCGGGCGGGTGCCGGGGCGGCTGCAGCTGCAGCGCAGCCGCGAAGGCCCCGCCGCCTCGTGCGCCGCGTGCCCGCTGCATGATGACGATGATGACTCACCGGGCGGGTGCCGGGGCGGCTGCAGCTGCAGCGCAGCCGCGAAGGCCCCGCCGCCTCGTGCGCCGCGTGCCCGCTGCATGATGACGATGATGACTCACCGGGCGGGTGCCGGGGCGGCTGCAGCTGCAGCGCAGCCGCGAAGGCCCCGCCGCCTCGTGCGCCGCGTGCCCGCTGCATGATGACGATGATGACTCACCGGGCGGGTGCCGGGGCGGCTGCAGCTGCAGCGCAGCCGCGAAGGCCCCGCCGCCTCGTGCGCCGCGTGCCCGCTGCATGATGACGATGATGACTCACCGGGCGGGTGCCGGGGCGGCTGCAGCTGCAGCGCAGCCGCGAAGGCCCCGCCACCTCGTGCGCCGCGTGCCCGCTGCATGATGACGATGATGACTCACCGGGCGGGTGCCGGGGCGGCTGCAGCTGCAGCGCAGCCGCGAAGGCCCCGCCGCCTCGTGCGCCGCGTGCCCGCTGCATGATGACGATGATGACTCACCGGGCGGGTGCCGGGGCGGCTGCAGCTGCAGCGCAGCCGCGAAGGCCCCGCCACCTCGTGCGCCGCGTGCCCGCTGCACGCGTAATAATTGCGCCATGTACGCGCGCTCCACGCCCAGCCGCACTACCGCGCCGGCCGGGCACGCGTCCAAAGCGCTCAGCAAAGCACTGCACAAAAACACAACAATTATAACAGCTACTCATTATAAAAAACGAACATTTGCGCTGTCTCTAAGAGTCTGTCCAAGATGTTCCTACCATCTCCCGAATGTTTAAGGCAATGAAAATGTACTTCGCGCTACTGTCGGTATTGTCAAACATGAGTACATCAAAAGATCTTGTTACAATAAATTTCGTGCCGTTGTCTACACTACTCGCATTTTGCCAACAGCAAAAAGGCGAGCGGTATGCACATATCGCTACCCTAGTTTAATAGTAAGATAATTTGGAAAATCTTGATTTCGGATTGTCGTAAATTAAATACAAAACTTGTGTTACAATGACGGGACACAATTCTTCGGACGATAGTGTAGCCGAAGCGTTACTAGTTATCTCCGTTTATATTATTTGAATCCAACCGGGCCCCCGGCGCCTGCTTGTAATATACTCACGACATGGAATGTACGGGCATGCCGAAGGTCTGTATGAAGAGCGCCAGCTTGTGGGCGGGCAGCGCTCGCAGGCCGGCGTCCAGCAGCGCGGGGCGGGCGCTGCGCACCAGGTGCAGCCGCAGCCAGTCAGGCAGCAGCGCGGCCTCCGAGCCCGCCTCCAGCCGGGCCCCCGGCGCCTGCTTGTAATATACTCACGACATGGAATGTACGGGCATGCCGAAGGTCTGTATGAAGAGCGCCAGCTTGTGGGCGGGCAGCGCTCGCAGGCCGGCGTCCAGCAGCGCGGGGCGGGCGCTGCGCACCAGGTGCAGCCGCAGCCAGTCAGGCAGCAGCGCGGCCTCCGAGCCCGCCTCCAGCCGGGCCCCCGGCGCCTGCTTGTAATATACTCACGACATGGAATGTACGGGCATGCCGAAGGTCTGTATGAAGAGCGCCAGCTTGTGGGCGGGCAGCGCTCGCAGGCCGGCGTCCAGCAGCGCGGGGCGGGCGCTGCGCACCAGGTGCAGCCGCAGCCAGTCAGGCAGCAGCGCGGCCTCCGAGCCCGCCTCCAGCCGGGCCCCCGGCGCCTGCTTGTAATATACTCACGACATGGAATGTACGGGCATGCCGAAGGTCTGTATGAAGAGCGCCAGCTTGTGGGCGGGCAGCGCTCGCAGGCCGGCGTCCAGCAGCGCGGGGCGGGCGCTGCGCACCAGGTGCAGCCGCAGCCAGTCAGGCAGCAGCGCGGCCTCCGAGCCCGCCTCCAGCCGGGCCCCCGGCGCCTGCTTGTAATATACTCACGACATGGAATGTACGGGCATGCCGAAGGTCTGTATGAAGAGCGCCAGCTTGTGGGCGGGCAGCGCTCGCAGGCCGGCGTCCAGCAGCGCGGGGCGGGCGCTGCGCACCAGGTGCAGCCGCAGCCAGTCAGGCAGCAGCGCGGCCTCCGAGCCCGCCTCCAGCCGGGCCCCCGGCGCCTGCTTGTAATATACTCACGACATGGAATGTACGGGCATGCCGAAGGTCTGTATGAAGAGCGCCAGCTTGTGGGCGGGCAGCGCTCGCAGGCCGGCGTCCAGCAGCGCGGGGCGGGCGCTGCGCACCAGGTGCAGCCGCAGCCAGTCAGGCAGCAGCGCGGCCTCCGAGCCCGCCTCCAGCCGGGCCCCCGGCGCCTGCTTGCCCACCCACACCGACTGCAGCCACGAGTACATCTCCTGGTTCGTGTCGTCTGAATACGATACGAGGGAATGCTCTTTGTCACCTATTGATCATTCATGTAAACATTCCTAGATACTATAGATACTCTCGGTGCTCAAATCCATAGCGCGATTCAGACAACTACAATGCCATCTAACCTTTAATTTGTGGTACTATAATTCTAGACAATTTGCATTAAATAGGGTTGACAAAAGGTGTTCGCATATAAAACATATATTAAGCTAAGAAATGTAAACCTATTTAGTCATATTCATAGCACGCAAAAAAATCTAACATATTAAAACATAACAGACATATTACAGTATTCTCGTTTTACATATCATTCTGTACGAAGTACAGTGCATTCGACTCACATCATAGCGCGCGGTCATCGGTTTACTTATTGACCCAGTTTATTTTGTGCAATAATTTTAATTATAATTTATTTAAGTTAGTACACATTCGAACACCATTCAAACAGAGTGTGCTCATACCATTACCGTTTACCATTTTTACCAGTTTTAATATATTGCGAAATTTATTCTTCTCTTTTATTTTACATTAATTTGTGGGACTTACACCCTACACATTCGTTTAATAACAAAATCAAAAGATAAAGGAGTTGCTCCGCGTTTATGATGCTTGCCAACATTGCTGAAATATCGGGGGACTCGTAAAAAACAAAGTAAATGATATTAATCCCGTTAATTAAATAAATTACTAAGTGTTAGTAAAGATGGAAATTTAAAATAATATATAACAACATCCGTTTCAAATCTTTTTTTTGCTACGAAGTGACGCATGCGAGATGCGCTCCGGTACGTATAAGTAATGCGACAGACTCACAGACGGACGGGCCGTAGCACAGCAGCTTGAGGTGCGCGTGCGCTATGACGACGTGAAGGGAGGCGTGGGACCCGTTGGGCCAGCGCAGCGAGATGCGCTCCCCTCCCGCCCACGCCTCCCCGCCCTCCTCCCCAGCCCCGCCCTCCGCACCCTCCCCCTCCATTTCCACCTCATCAGCGTTCAAGCGAATCTGTACATACAATAATTGAAGAGAATAATGCGAATGATGCAAAATGCATGAATTAATGATGCAAAAAAGATTATAATACTGACCTGCTGCAGATGTGCGTGCAAGATCGAAGTCAAATGGTGCAGGGTTCGATGCGCGCGCGCATCTAGAGGCGGCGGCGGTTCCCTCAACTCCGCGGGCGGTAAGATGCTGCTCATCACGCAGGTGCGCTCCATCACTAGCTGGGAGAGATCCTGTCAAAATACATTAGAAGGTTATGGATTTTGCCAACTGCCAGCAATGCAAGTACATATTACTAGCTGTTACCAGCGGTTTATTAGGAATATTTTCCCGCAGTAAAGTAGTGTCAGCTAAGCTAAGCTAGCTCCATACCGAATTTTATTAAAATCACTCCAGCCGTATACGCGCTATATATCACTGTCATACGTCACCAACGCTAGGGCGGTGAGGGCGGGCGGCGCGGGGGCGGGCGGCGCGGCCACGTGTCGCGCCAGGAACCCCACGTACGCGGCCACGTGCGAGGGGACGCGCTATATATCACTGTCATACGTCACCAGCGCTAGGGCGGTGAGGGCGGGCGGCGCGGGGGCGGGCGGCGCGGCCACGTGTCGCGCCAGGAACCCCACGTACGCGGCCACGTGCGAGGGGACGCGCTATATATCACTGTCATACGTCACCAGCGCTAGGGCGGTGAGGGCGGGCGGCGCGGGGGCGGGCGGCGCGGCCACGTGTCGCGCCAGGAACCCCACGTACGCGGCCACGTGCGAGGGGACGCGCTATATATCACTGTCATACGTCACCAGCGCTAGGGCGGTGAGGGCGGGCGGCGCGGGGGCGGGCGGCGCGGCCACGTGTCGCGCCAGGAACCCCACGTACGCGGCCACGTGCGAGGGGACGCGCTATATATCACTGTCATACGTCACCAGCGCTAGGGCGGTGAGGGCGGGCGGCGCGGGGGCGGGCGGCGCGGCCACGTGTCGCGCCAGGAACCCCACGTACGCGGCCACGTGCGAGGGGACGCGCTATATATCACTGTCATACGTCACCAGCGCTAGGGCGGTGAGGGCGGGCGGCGCGGGGGCGGGCGGCGCGGCCACGTGTCGCGCCAGGAACCCCACGTACGCGGCCACGTGCGAGGGGACGCGCTATATATCACTGTCATACGTCACCAGCGCTAGGGCGGTGAGGGCGGGCGGCGCGGGGGCGGGCGGCGCGGCCACGTGTCGCGCCAGGAACCCCACGTACGCGGCCACGTGCGAGGGGACGCGCTATATATCACTGTCATACGTCACCAGCGCTAGGGCGGTGAGGGCGGGCGGCGCGGGGGCGGGCGGCGCGGCCACGTGTCGCGCCAGGAACCCCACGTACGCGGCCACGTGCGAGGGGACGCGCTATATATCACTGTCATACGTCACCAGCGCTAGGGCGGTGAGGGCGGGCGGCGCGGGGGCGGGCGGCGCGGCCACGTGTCGCGCCAGGAACCCCACGTACGCGGCCACGTGCGAGGGGACGCGCTATATATCACTGTCATACGTCACCAGCGCTAGGGCGGTGAGGGCGGGCGGCGCGGGGGCGGGCGGCGCGGCCACGTGTCGCGCCAGGAACCCCACGTACGCGGCCACGTGCGAGGGGATGCACTCCACGAGGCAGGCGGCCCTCACTCGCGCTGCCACCTCGCTGCGGACCGCAGCCCAGTGCTGGAGCTCCCACACCAGCTCCAACCACTCCCTGGACAACACACGATGGTGACTTTCAATCCCATTTCCGACAAAAATATACACTCTAACCCGCTCAAACGAGGACTAAGCTAAGACTAGTTTTGTTCGTGTCACTCAAATGCCATTTGTTATTCGACGACCTCCATGACCGAGTGGTTTGTACGCCTGGGGCCCAATTCTCGAGGCATAGATATTATATCACCTTCGATATATATCGAATGATCTGGCTTTTATCGAAGGAAAACCATTTTGCCCTATTCTCACCATGTCGCAATAGATATTTATCTATGGATGATCAGTAGACATACATCGACAGGTAAAGAGCCTTCGATATATAAATATCTATGGATCTTGGCATGTCAATCTTGTTATTTCCACTTTTTTTTACCTATTATTTATTGTGTTGTCGTGTGTCTTTGCCAATTATTGTTACCTCAAGATGTTGTTAACTGCCTTCATAAATAATTAGTAAATAAAGAAGTAGGTAAACAATGGTGTCGATTCTGGCGTGATTCTCTAAACTTAAAACTAAATTTAACATCAGTCTCTCTTTTTCATTCTGTATAGAGAATGAAAAGGAAACACTGTTGTCAAGTTTAAGTTTAGATTTAGAGAATTGTGCCAGAATCGACACCAGTTTATATTAACGATGGATGAGTTGATTCATGTTTTCGTCAATGATTTAATAAATGACGTGATTGCTGCTGCTGTGCTAATGCGCCGCCGTTGTGATAGCAAGAGGGCCGGCCCATTTGAAATGAAGGACGCCGACTTCATAAAAAAATTACGTTTAAACAAAAAATTGGTTAGAAATCTATAAAGTTATGAATGACATTGGTATCGATTCTGACACGATTCCCTAAACTTAAAAGTAAATTTAACATCAGTCTCTCCTTTTCATTCTGTATAGAGAATGACAAGGATACACTGTTGTCAAATTTACGTTTAGGCTTAGAGAATCATGCCAGAATCGACACCATTTTCTTATTGACGATACGGAATTTTTGGCGGGATTTCTGCGAGTGCGGTTGGCATCTTATTTTATTTATTCTCAAATTCGTTCCTAGTGGATATTGTGAAATAAAATTGGTGTGATTTGGTGTTACAACCGTCTGAGCAACTAAAGAATTAGTGGAATCTTTAAAATATACGCTATTCCGGTCAAGTGGACGCGAGAACTTCATTGTAGTGTTGACTACCTCACAGAAGGTTAGAGAAAAAGCCAACTCCATAAATTTCGTGCCAAACACTCCAAGAAATATTAGCATGCGTCACACCGACATTCGTATGTAAAAAAAGAAGATTAATATAACTAAAGACTAGGCTTTATGGGCATTGTTCCCTTTGCCTTCTCTGAAAAGGGAGATTCTTAAATAATATTGACGTTTCATTATACATAACATTGAAATTATATACGCATACAATTTAGGTAAAGTTGAGATTTCTTATACTCAAAATGTATACTCATATTTAATATGAATGGAATTCATAAAATATCATTTTTTTGCTTGTAAAATTCTGCTCTAATTTATTATTATTTTATATAGACTATGATGTTAACTTAATCGAGAAAAACGGAACGCATTCGGCAGTGAAAGAATATCTACGATAGATATAATATCATTGGAATATCGAAAATCCACGAGAATAGCATTTTTTACCATCAGTAGATATTTTCAATAGATATCCCTACTTTCGATATTATCTCGAAGCCGATATAATATCTACGCCGCGAGAATTGGGCCCCTGGTTTGAAGGTGTCGTCGACTCGAGAGGTCCCGGATTCTACTACTACTCGATTATTTATAAATTTACCCCTATCAATAGTTCTTATTAAAAATTAATTAGGAGCAAAAATGAATTTTAGAAATGTGCGAAAAACTTGTCAAATATCTGATACGCGACAGACAGATGAAAGGTGACGTAAAAATATATATAAACAAACAAGTGCCATGTCCACAGGATATATCAAAATCAACGAGACGGGTGCGAGTACATAGTACGTGCGTACCTTACCTCCTAATCTAACTGAGGGCTTGTTTGTTTTGTTGCTAGATTGCTATGGACTATGACGTCACACCAAGAGTTTCAAAAAGTTGCTATTTTTAACAGTTTTTAGACATTTCACTACTTTTTCAGCGTTGATTTTTATTTTTTATAATATATTAAAGGAATATAAAAAAATATATATAAATAATCATGCATATAAACAAAATGTAAGAAAATAACTTCAATTATATAGTGACAAATCTGCTTATACACGATACGATAGTACTCACTCAGGACCGACGTCAGCATTATAGTCCATCTCAGACGTGTCATCGGTTTGTGTCAACACCAACTTCAGGCCCTGTACACACATTTTAAATTCGTTTACTTGCTTAGCTATTTCAGCTCTAATAGGGTATTTGACAGTGTTAAAAATAAAGTGCCAATTATTAGCATCTGTGTTTAGAATGAATATTGGCAGGAGTTTTTACTATTTTTAAAAAAAAAAATATTCATGATTTTACTAAAAACTAACAGTCTCTGCAGATAGTAGAGCAGTACACAGCGACGTAACTCTATAAGAAACGGGCCCGCCAGGTTTGCTATTATAGCTCTTATTACAATACACTAAGGTCCACTTTCCCTTTGTGCTTGGATCCTTGTAGCCGCGTGATGATGCGACAGTCTCTGCAGATAGAAGTGCAGTACACTGTGCCCTAAGTCTATAAGAAATAAGCCTGCTAGCTTTGCAATTGTAGCTCTTATTACAATACTTTAAGGTCCACTTACCCTCTGTGCTTGGGCCCTGGTAGCCACATGATGATGCGATAGTCTCTGCAGATAGTAGAGCAGCACACAGTGACGTAAGTCTTTAAGAAACTGGCCCGCTAGATTTGCAATTGTAGTTCTTATTACAACACATTAAGGTCCACTTACCCTCTGTGCTTGGGCCCTGGTAGCCACATGATGATGCGATAGTCTCTGCAGATAGTAGAGCAGTACACAGTGACGTAAGTCTTTAAGAAACTGGCCCGCTAGATTTGCAATTGTAGCTCTTATTACAACACATTAAGGTCCACTTACTCTCTGTGCTTGGGACCTGGTAGCCGCATAATGATGCGACAGTCTCTGCAGATAGTAGTGCATTACACTGTGCCCTAAGTCTATAAGAAATAAGCCTGCTAGATTTGCAATTGTAGCTCTTATTACAATAACCTAAGGTTCACTTTCCCTCTGTGCTTGAGCCCTGGTAGCCGCGTGATGATGCGACAGTCTCTGCAGATAGTAGTGCAGTACACTGTGCCCTAAGTCTATAAGAAATAAGCCTGCTAGCTTTGCAATTGTAACTCTTATTACAATAAACTAAGGTCCACTTTCCCTCTGTGCTTGAGCCCTGGTAGCTACATGATGATGCGACAGTCTCTGCAGATAGTAGAGCAGTACACAGCGACGTAAGAATATAACAAATAGGCCCGCTAGCTTTGCTATTATAGCTTTTATTACAACTGTGGCCACAATTCCAACGCGTACAAAGAAATTAGGTGACTCATTTCTTTGTCGCACTATCCGTAAATGGAATGCTCTGCCCGCTCACGTGTTCCCTCCCTCTTACAACCTGGGATCCTTTAAAAGAGGCGTGAAGAAGCAACATGCAGGCCGGCAGGGTGAGGATGGCTGATGTGGCAGGTAAAACTGCTGTATCAGCTATCTTCACATCTGGACTTCACCTTCACTTAACATCAGGTGGGGTGGCGTCTATGTCGGACCTATCTATAAAAAAAAGAAAAAATAAACATTAAGGTCCACTTACCCTCTGTGCTTGAGCTCTGGCAGCCGCATGATGATACGATAGTTTTTGCAGTCCCCGTAGCATGAGCACCACAGTTTAAATTATATCACGTTTTTTATCGCGGCTAACTGTCAATTTCTATAGTATTTTGACAATTCAGCGTGATAAAAACGCGTTAAATATCATATCGCGAAGCTCATGCTAGGGGGGCAGATAGTAGTGCAATACAGCGTGGTACGTAAATAACCTGGGGGCCATTCGCCTAACGGAAATGATTTGGAAAATGCTAACGCTTTCGATTTCATTATTTTATTTCTGACCGCCGTAGGTTTTCAAATACCACACGCTCATTTTCTTTAAAATTGATATTACCAATGCCAAAGAAAAAAAAAGAGCGCGAGGCGAGGAAAACCTCAGGCGGCTAGAAATAACAAAATGAAATCGTAAGTGTTAGTGTTTTTCAAAGCATTTCCGTTACGCGAGTGGCCCCCTCATTGATTTGCAATTATAGCTTTTATTACAATACATTAAGGTCCACTTACCCTCTGTGCTTGGGCCCTGGTAGCCGCATGATGATGCGACAGTCTCTGCAGATAGTAGTGCAGTACACTGTGCCCTAAGTCTATAAGAAATAAGCCTGCTAGCTTTGCAATTGTAGCTCTTATTACAACACATTAAAGTCCACTTACCCTCTGTGCTTGGGCCCTGGTAGCCGCATGATGATGCGACAGTCTCTGCAGATAGTAGTGCAGTACACTGTGCCCTAAGTCTATAAGAAATAAGCCTGCTAGCTTTGCAATTGTAGCTCTTATTACAACACATTAAAGTCCACTTACCCTCTGTGCTTGGGCCCTGGTAGCCGCATGATGATGCGACAGTCTCTGCAGATAGTAGTGCAGTACACTGTGCCCTAAGTCTATAAGAAATAAGCCTACTAGCTTTGCAATTGTAGTTCTTATTACAACACATTAAAGTCCACTTACCCTCTGTGCTTGGGCCCTGGTAGCCGCATGATGATGCGACAGTCTCTGCAGATAGTAGTGCAGTACACTGTGCCCTAAGTCTATAAGAAATAAGCCTACTAGCTTTGCAATTGTAGTTCTTATTACAACACATTAAAGTCCACTTACCCTCTGTGCTTGGGCCCTGGTAGCCGCATGATGATGCGACAGTCTCTGCAGATAGTAGTGCAGTACACTGTGCCCTAAGTCTATAAGAAATAAGCCTGCTAGCTTTGCAATTGTAGCTCTTATTACAACACATTAAAGTCCACTTACCCTCTGTGCTTGGGCCCTGGTAGCCGCATGATGATGCGACAGTCTCTGCAGATAGTAGTGCAGTACACTGTGCCCTAAGTCTATAAGAAATAAGCCTACTAGCTTTGCAATTGTAGTTCTTATTACAACACATTAAAGTCCACTTACCCTCTGTGCTTGGGCCCTGGTAGCCGCATGATGATGCGACAGTCTCTGCAGATAGTAGTGCAGTACACTGTGCCCTAAGTCTATAAGAAATAAGCCTACTAGCTTTGCAATTGTAGTTCTTATTACAACACATTAAAGTCCACTTACCCTCTGTGCTTGGGCCCTGGTAGCCGCATGATGATGCGATAGTCTCTGCAGATAGTAGAGCAGTACACCATGCCACAAGTCTATACGAAACAGGCCTGCTAGCTTTGCCATTGTAGCTCTTATTACAATACCCTTAGGCCCACTTACCCTCTGCGCTTGAGCCCTTGTAGCCGTAGTTTTTGCAGTCCCCGTAGCATGAGCACCACAGTTTAAATAATATCCCTTTATTTAACGCGGCTAACTGTCAAATTCTATAGTAATTTGCCAATTCAGCGTGATAAAAACGTACTTAAATATCATATCGAGGAGCTCATGCTAGGGGGGCATATAGTAGTACAATATAGCGTGTAACGTAAATGGCCTGATTGATTTGCAATTATAGCTCTTATTACAATACATTAGGGTCCACTTACCCTCTGTGCTTGAGCTCGGGTAGCCGCATGATGATGCGACAGTCTCTGCAGATAGTAGAGCAGTACACAGCGACGTAAGTCTATAAGAAACGGGCCCGCCAGGTTTGCTATTATAGCTCTTATTACAAAACATTAAGGTCCACTTACCCTCTGTGCTTGGGCCCTGGTAGCCGCATGATGATGCGACAGTCTCTGCAGATAGTAGTGCAGTACTGCACGAGCGCCTTGCTCACACGCGGCCACGGTACGACGTAAATGCTGACACAGCTCACCGGCTTTACCGTCACCAGCGCCTCCCGTGCCACTACCACCTAGTAACATCAATTTAATGTGAAAAACAAGCTTTATATATCTAAGATATTGGTGAACATTTGGTTTTTTTTTTTTTTTAGCTTACTAGCAAACCAGTAAACCAAATGTTCACCAATTAAAATTGAGAACTTCGGAGATTTTGTGTGGTTTCGTTTGAAATTCGTGATTTCTCGAAAACCGGAAGTGCTACGTTACTCAAATCCGGTTTGTAGTCTTATCAGACTATTCTTAACTTATAACTTAAACATTCTCTTTATCTATCTCTCACGGTTTGGCCGCTGAAACAGCACCACAGACGGACGGACGGACGGACGGACGGACTTGTCTAATAGATAAGAGATTCTGAGCTTAGAGCCGTATTTCAAGATAATCAAACTGAAGTTAAAGAATGTAATATGATGTGAGAAACAATAATTGGAGCAAAATCTAATATATAAAATTCTCGTGTCGCGGTGTTTGTGGTTAAACTCCTCCGAAACGGCTCGACCGATTTTCGTGAAATTTTATATGTATATTCAGTAGGTCTGAAAATTGGATTTAATCTATTTTTCATCCCCCTAAATGTTAAGGGTAATCCACCGCTAATTTTTTTTTCCATTTTAGATATTTTTATTTTTTTATGATACAGCATTCAAAAATACATACAACCCTAAATTTTCACCCTTCTACCACCAACCCCTACTTTTTATGGCGGTACGAAGTTCGCTGGGTCAGCAAGTAATTTATATAATTATGATATCAAACACCATAACCCGGGTTATTAGAGAACCTCTTATTTTAAAATACTTTTGTTATAAAGTTCCTTTATGTTTATAAAATCAGAATATTATTCAATGAAAGTTAGTTTGAATGAATCTTATATAACTATATTTATGGTTAAAAATCTAAAATAACTGATAATTTTAATAAAACCACCGAAAATTAAAAAAATATTAGAATTCTAAATCTGATGGACGGGGATGTCATCGTAATCGCAATAAGCATCACAAGTGTGAGGAAGAGAGCAAATTGCTCTTACCACATATCCGCTCCATTTTAAATACTAAATACTGCTTAAATTTATTTTTCATTATAGTAATAATGCTTTACCTGAAAAATACTTTTGTCAGTTTGTACTTTCCGATGAATAAACCTGCAGTCGTTAGCACCCACCAATCCGCACTGGGCCCACCAGGAGGGTCGAAGCCCAATCCCCCTTTTCCATCCATAGGGAGGATTGTGTCCCAGCAGTAGAGATATGGTTAGGCTGCTCATGATGCCGCATCAGCTGGTGCCGCGGGGCATCGACCTGCCACCCCACCAACGGTATAGTTACCGGCCCCCGCCGCCAGGAACTCGCAGAGGCACTGCACGGGCAGCACGCTGAGCTCGAGCTGGTCGTGCCGCAGCAGCTGGTGCAGCCACGGCATCGCGCGCCGCGTGCCTTGCCGCTCCACCTAGCAACAAACAACGAAATGATCTTCCCATAATAATAATAATATGATCTGTGATTATATACACCCTAGATACCGTATTAACTGCACAAAAATATCTACTGCATATGGTAGATATGCGCGTCGCTACACACGCACACATTGAGCGTTAGTTCAATCCGATATTAGACTCACGCACACATTGCGCGAAACACGAGCCGTTTTCTTTTGCAAAGTAAGTTGATAAATAACTTAGTACTTTGAATATAAGAACAATGACAGCACCACATTTTCAAGATATTCTACATTTAAATTGAAAGCACATTAAAACTGTTTTGAATAGTTAATAATATTTTTATTCCCACTGCCCTATTATAAGAGTACTGTCTTTTTTTAGGACACAATAAAACATGTCTATTCACAGTCCGCTATTTAATCGAACACAAGTTTGACTAAAACTTACCAGATCTAGTAGAAGCGCAGGCTGCCGACATAGCAGGCGGCCCAACCGCAGCTGGGTGTTGAGGGCTTGTATCGTCTCAATGACGCTCTGTGGCGGCTTACGGGCCGGCCCTAAGGGGTCGAGTGTCGTCAACTGTGAAAGATGATAACGAGTTAATTCAGTGCTTCATTTTTACCCATTTAACACATTTTTCTTAAATTCCATTGGGCGTACTAAGGTAAAATGAAAGGAGGTTCTGAAAAAAAACTAAATATCACAAGGGACAGTGAGATATCATTTAATTATTATTTCAATAATCGCGCGACTAAACGGAAACGTCAAACGCCTTTGACACTTTATTCTTCTCTTGATTGATCGAGTCAAACTTCTTTTTGATTTAATACTAGATTCTGAAATTATCGAAGATGCTTTCCACCAAAAAATATACGAGATTCTGAGTGGAGAAGGGTAGGAGTTAATCTAAATACTTATAACCACGTATCTTTAAGGGCGAGTTGTTCTTAAGATGGGCTGTCTCGTAACTTGATTTTCTATAAGTACGCGAGGAACTGAGTTGCCTCCACACTGGGTAGCGCGTTCAGTTTACGAACGTGGAAGTTAAACAACTTTTGCAATGACCAGAAATAGAAAAGAAGAGAAGAAAAGAAGACTGCATTTGCAGTCGTTAGCGCCCACCAATTCGCACTAATTTCGTGTAGAGAATCATGAAATTTCTATCTCTCTCACTCCCTTTTGATAGTCTCATAGACAATCCAACCTCGAACGGACTGCAACTTTGGCGTGTCAATGGTTATAGTATACCTGGCTGAGCAGGCGGGAGGAGTGCTCGGTGACAGTGTGCTTGGTGCAGACATAGACAAAAACAGAGACACATTTTAAGCTTTGCATACCAGCTTCTTATAAGTGCTATTCTCTCCCTGTTACAAATAAAAGAAGACTGGATACGCAGTGTTTTGTACACACCACTGGAATGACATTTATTTTTATTTTATTTTTTTATAGCCAGGTAGGCAAATGACTCTACCCCACCTGGTGTTAAGTGGTGATAAAGTTCAAACACGAATATAGTTGGCTTCCGATTTGAAAAATTATTTTTGTTATAATTTTTATTATTTTTAAAGCATGTAACTGCTTGATGTTTAAATCTAAAGAAAATATAACTAGAAAAAATTTCACGCGGACCAGGCAGCAGACGGGACTCGAACCCGCACCCTTCGCAATCCGGGCGAATGCACTGACCAATTATGCTACCGCGGCCCTCACGGACCGCGTCGAAATTCTTTCTAGCTATTCTTAAACTGCAAGGCAGCGCCATCTCTTCGCATTATAGGTAAACCCACAATGTCAAATGAATACTTTTACAAGTATTAAACATTTGAAAGAAGAAATAGCAATTATAGTTATAATTTTTATTATTTTTAAAGCATGTAACTGCTTGATGTTTAAATCTAAAGAAAATGTTTAAAGCCTTGCAGCTTAAGAATAGCTAGAAAGAATTTCGACGCGGTCCGTGAGGGCCGCGGTAGCATAATTGGTCAGTGCATTCGCCCGGATTGCGAAGGGTGCGGGTTCGAGTCCCGTCTGCTGCCTGGTCCGCGTGAAATTTTTTCTAGTTATATTTTCTTTAGATTTAAACATCAAGCAGTTACATGCTTTAAAAATAATAAAAATTATAACTATAATTGCTATTTCTTCTTTCAAATGTTTAATACTTGTAAAAGTATTCATTTGACATTGTGGGTTTACCTATAATGCGAAGAGATGGCGCTGCCTTGCAGCTTAAGAATAGCTAGAAAGAATTTCGACGCGGTCCGTGAGGGCCGCGGTAGCATAATTGGTCAGTGCATTCGCCCGGATTGCGAAGGGTGCGGGTTCGAGTCCCGTCTGCTGCCTGGTCCGCGTGAAAATTTTTTCTAGTTATATTTTCTTTAAATTATTTTTGTATTGGACAGTGCATTTATCAAGGAAGGCTATAGGCTATATATTACCCGGCTACGACCAGTAAGTAGCAGCGGAGCATCAATGAAAAATGTTGCAAAAACGGGTAAAAATATTCCATTTGTGAGATTCCGTTGCGTGCGCTGGGTAAACGGTTAAAGTTACACAAAAATCATGTATGACGGAATTCTTTCCCTTTAAAAGTTCTGTAAAAATCCCACGACAGCCTATGTCTATATTTTAAGCTTGACTCACTATAAACCCTTTTCTTCAAATTAACGCGGGTGAAACCGCAGGGGACCTCTAGTTGTGACATAAGTCTAATAGTTAGATATATGGTATCGTGGACTTTTTTGTAGATATTGGTATCCTCTATAAAACTTTAGTACATCACTTTGCTCTATTGTCAATGACTTTCGCATCGTACTCGATGTAAGGCTATTTTTAGGTAGTTTTTTAATCATGGGTTACATTATCGAAGTTTTCATACGGAACCCTAACTTTTTTGAAAATGCACTAGAGCCTATATTAATCAGTGATAATGTAGCATTCAAATGGTAAAAGAATTTTTAAAATCGGTCCAGTACTTTCTGAGCCAATTCGTTACAAACATACTTACATACAAACCTTTCCTCTTTATAATATTAGTATAGAAGTATAGATAAGGTGTATTTGCAACTAACTCTACATATTTGTATCTTCTTAAAATTAGTTCCAAATTCGGCCATGCGCCACTAGATCTCGGTAACACTGTAGTTAATTTGTAGGGGGGAAATGGCTAAAGATCTACGTTATTTTGTCTTCATTTATCAAATAGACGGCTTTAAATGGCTGCGTTATTACCCAAATAAACAACATACCTGGCTCAGCAATCGCGACGAGTGTTCTGTCACAGTGTGTTTGGTACAGCTGGCGGCGGCGAGATGAGCTTCCAGCTGCAAGATGGCGGCGCGTTCCGTTTCCGCCCTCTCCATCTCGTTAGTGCCATTGTTGCCCCACTCTATGCTCGGTTTACTGATGCAAACACCCATAAATTGTTAAAGCCGGACTAAATTTTTAAAGTTGTAAGCCTGCCCCCGTAGCATGAGCACAACAAATTCCATTATATCACTACTAGCAAACCAGTGAACCAAATGTTCACCAAAAAAAAAATGTATTTAATTACTTGAGAACCTCGGAGATTTTGTGTGGTTTCGTTTGAAATTCGTGATTTCTCGAAAACCGGAAGTGCTACGTTACTAAAATCCGGTTTGTAGTCTTATTAGACTATTCTTAACTTATAACTTAAACATTCTCTTTATCTATCTCTTACGGTTTGGCCGCTGAAACAGCACCACAGACGGACGGACGGACTTGTCTAATAGATAAGAGATATTATAGATATTAACGGGATTGTTACCATGTACCTTGTTTTTTATGAATCTCCGATATTTCGGCACTGTTGCAAGCGCCATGATCACAGAGTAACAGAAGTAATTGCGGGTAGATGTTATTGGCAGACATATGACAGACCACGTGGGCGCAATACATACAAGGTACATGGTAACAATCCCGTTAATATCTATAATGTTAGTGACCATGAAAGTTTAAAACAATATATCCATTATATCACGTTTTATATCGCGTCCAAATGTCAAAATCTATAGTAATTTGACACTTGTGTGGTGAAAAATCATATCGCGGTGCTCATACTAGGGGGCTGCTTGGCTGAATTGCGCCCAAGTGGTCTGTCATAATTCCATTCTAAACTAGTGGCCGCCTGCCACTTCGTGCGCGATAACTTAAGTTTTTTGAGAATCTCACAGAAACCTAACGGTTTTCTGGGATGAAAAGTATCCTATGTCTCAATCCAGGGCATAATCTATATGTGTACCAAATTTCATATAAATCGGTTTAGTAGTTTTTGCGTGTTTAAGTAACAAACATACAACGACCTTCGTGGCCGAGTGGTTTGTACGCCGGGTTTCATGGTGTCGCCATCAGCAGTCATGGATGTTTAATATGTATGTCTATATAAATATACTTATATATGTACTGTATATGTATTCTATCCGTTACCCTAGTATCCCATAACACAAACCTTACAGTGTTTACTTTGGGGCTAGGCTCAGTGCCGTCTTTGACCTATTGGAGGCCCTGACCATATTGGGATAATGGGGTCCCTATGACTTCCCTTTGGTGATTTAACAGGAACTAGGGACTTTGTATTTGATCTGAGGGGGCCCCCTATCGATCGCGGGGCCCTGGGCAATTGCCCAAAGTGCCCACTGGGAATGGGTCTGGCTAGGCTAATTGGTGTGAGTGTTGGATATATTTATTTATTAATACGTACGTAGTAATGCACATCTCTATGAGTGCCCTCAACGTAGGATAAGCTGCAGCAGCGCGGGCAGCGAAGGTGGCAGGGTTGTGAGCTGCCAGCATTAACAGTAACGCCCATCCTCGCCAGTATAGCCCCGTAATGGCTAGCGCCGGCGCTGTGTACCTGAACGAAGTTGAAGGAAAAACTATAAAAATTCAAAATTCAATATCGTTTATTCAGTCTAGGCTGTTACAAGCACTTGTGAATGTCGAAAAGCTACGCCATCGGTTCGCAAAACTACGGCGGGAGACCTTGTACTGAGAAGAACCGGCAAGAAACTCAGCAAGGGCTGCTTTTTTTCCCCTGTTTTATTTCATACAGTGTCGTCCAATTGAAAGTTGACATCAAACTTGCAAACATGTGTTGAGGTCAACTTCCATCGACTATATCGACTATAGCGACTATAGGTTTGGCTCAAAATAAAAAATCATTTATTGCGGATTTTGATGCGGTTTTTTTTAATTTGTGCCAAATTAACGGCATTATTATTTAAGTGAAATTTCTTTACGCACGCTTGACTTGGAGGGTAAGCTGGCGAATGCGTTACGCGTTACGAAAAGTGTGATCGGGCGAGGCGAACGGGAGTTGAGTGCAGCATTTTCTTTCTCTCTTTCTCTTATAGCTAGTAATTGAAATATGTACATACAGATGGAGCTAAAGAAGTTTCACTTCAGTCTTGTGGTCATAAGCACACTCGTTTTTTTATTTAATGCTTACCACTTTCGCTTAATGTCTTTTTTTGGTGTTCTAATCAAAACATATTCTCAAAGGCTTCGTTAAAGATTCCTTTTTACCATAGCTTATAAAACCTTAAGGAAACAAATAATTAATAATTACCCCGGCGGCAGAGTGATGTTCTCGGGCGGGTTGAATTGGCACAGTTGGAAGATGTAGTCGGCTATATCCAGCTTGTCCACTACCAGGGGGTTGTCTTCAGGGGGCAGGCTGCACGCCCTTCTTACTAGCTGTTCCACTAATTCCAAAGCTTCAGCTGGGGCCACGGGGATGTCCTATGTTAACGTACAATATGATTTATTTTTATTTGACACACCAATAGAAAAACAAATGGGTATTACCCACAAGTCTACGTGAATTATTTTTAAGGAACATACAGCAATTTACATTACAGTAATTAATGTTATTAGTAGGATTGCTAACATGTACCTTGTTCTTATATTATTGTTTTTTTTTAAGCATTTAACTGCTATATGTTTAAATCTAAAGAAAATATTACTAGAAAAGAATTTCACGCGGACCAGGCAGCACACTGAACTCGAATCCGAAGAATTTTTTCTTTAGATTTAAACATCTAGCAGTTAAATGCTTAAAAACCCAAAAATATAACTAGAATAGGAATGATGACTATTTTTTTTCTTCGTTTATCAGGTAGATTATCAAAAAGTATTGGACACGTATTTTTTCTTTTTTCACATAATATGAACATTGCAGGGATATATTGATTTGAAAAGTCGTATGACGTCACGTTTTGGTAGAATTTTCACTTAAAAGTGACGTCACGAGCCCCTACTCCCAAACTTTGACGCGCTATAACTTTGTCATTTTTTGGTTGATTGCCCAAAGAAAAAATACGTGTCCATAATTTTTTGATCATCTAACTGACGGACTAAATAGAATTTCGTTTACTGTACCCCGTCTTCACCCCTATTAATGTTATTAGTAAGATTGCTAACATGTACCTTGTTCTTATATTATTGCTTTTTTAAGCATTTAACTGCTATATGTTTAAATCTAAAGAAAATATTACTAGAAAAAAATTTCACGCGGACCAGGCAGCACACTGAACTCGAATCCGAAGAAATTTTTCTTTAGATTTAAACATCTAGCAGTTAAATGCTCATAAAAACCAAAAATATAACTACAATTGTTATTTCTTCCTTCAAATGTTTGACAACACCTTTGTATAGCTTGTGTTTGCAAATGAATATGATTTGATTAAAAAAACGAGCGAGCCTTACAGTAGTCGCGTATGATGTGTAACATTTGAAACCTCACCTTATATTAGTAAAAAAAGAAATAAAACCTACTACAAAAGGAATAAGCCATTTGAACATTATGTTCTAAAATCAAATCAAATAGCGCGCGCTTCTCAAAATTCCTGTTGCACACTTCCGTCCCACTTCACGTAATCACTCCCACAAATTAAACGAAAGCGAGAGGAAAGATTTTACACATGAAAAACTATATATATTATACTAGCTGTCCCAGCGAACTTCGTACCGGCATAAAAAAAATGGGGTTGGTGGTGGAAGGGTGAAAATTTAGGGTTATATGTATTTTTGTATGATGTATCATAAAAAAATAAAAACAAAAAAAATTGTCCAAAAAAAAATTAAGGTTGGACCACCCTTAGCAATTAGGGGGATGAAAAATAGATGTTGTCCGTCCATACATATTTGCATATAAAATTTCACGAAAATCGGTCGAGGCGTTTCGAAGTAGTTCAATTACGCACACCGTGTCACGAGAATTTTATATATTAGACTAGCTGACCCAGCGAACTTCGTACCGCCATAAAAATCAGGGGCTGGTGGTAGAAGGGTGATAATTTAGGGTTGCATGTATTTTTTAATGCCACATAAAAAAAAACCAAAAAAAAATGTTAAGGGTACACAACCCTTATCACTTAGGGGTATGAAAAATAGATAGTGATGTCAAATCTGGCATGATTCTCTAAAGCTAAACTTAAATGTGACAACAGTGCATCCTTTTCATTCTCTATACAGAATAAAAAGGAGAGACTGCTGTTAAATTTAGTTCAAAGTTTAGAGAATCACGCCAGAATCGACACCAGTAACCGATTCTCAGATCTACTGAATATGCATATAAAATTTCATAAAAAATGGTCAAACCATTTCGGAGGAGTATGGTAACTAACATTGTGACACGAGAATCTCTTATCTATTAGACAAGTCCGTCCGTCCGTCCGTCCATCTGTCTGTGGTGCGGTTTCAGCGGCCAAACCGTAAGAGATAGATAAAGAGAATGTTTCAGTTATAAGTTAAGAATAGTCTGATAAGACTACAAACCGGATTTGAGTAACGTAGCACTTCCGGTTTTCGAGAAATCACGAATATCAAACGAAACCACACAAAATCTCCGAAGTTCTAACTAATTATATACATTTTTATTTTTATTTTAAATCAGGTTTTGGTGAACATTTGGTTCACTGGTTTGCTAGTATTAGATAATAAGTTTCCGTGTCTCACCTTGGACAATCCGATGAATATGATCCTCAGCAAGTTATGGTGCGGTAAGGGCGCCTCGCAGCACACGCGGTGGGCCATAGTGCGCTCGCTCTCGGGCGGCCAGTTGTCGCACTTGCTGTAAACCTCTGCGCTCTCCACGAACATTATCTATTGAAAAATGAAGCCAATAAGGTCGATATCGAGGAGCTCGATGGCGCAAGCGGTTAGCGCGTTCGGCTGCGATCGTTGAACTTAAGCAACTTTCGCAGTGGTCGGTCATAGGATGGGTGACCAAAAATTTACTATCTCGAGCTCCTCCGTGCTTCGGAAGGCACGTTAAGCCGTTGGTCCCGGCTGCATCTGCAGTCTTTAGCACCCACCAACCCGCACTGGGCCCGCGTGGTGGGTCATGGCCCAATCTCCCTATTCCATCCATAGGGAAGGCCTGTGCCCCAGCAGTGGGGACATTAATAGGCTGATGATGAAGGTCGATATTCCTACGTAGATTGATTTGATTTCACAAAATCATAATAATAATAATAAATATTTCCAACACTCACACCAATTAGCCTAGCCCCAAAGTAAGCACTTAGGCTTAAGGCTTGTGTGTATTCTATCCGTTACCCTAGCATCCCATAACACAAAGCCTTACAGTGCTTACTTTGGGGCTAGGCTAATTGGTGTGAGTGTTGGAAATATTAATTATTGTTATGTTTTTATTTTTTTAAGCATTTAACTGCTAAATGTTTAGATCTGAAGAAAGTTTTACTAGAAAAAAATCCGAATTGCGAAGGGCGCGGGTTCGAGTTCCGTCCGCTGCCTGGTCCGCGTGAATTTGTTTCTAGTAAAACTTTTCTTTAGATTTAAACATCTAGCAGTTAAATGTTTAAAAGAATTAAAACATAACTATAATTGCTATTTCTTCTTTCAAATGTTTAATACTTGAAAACGTATTCACTTGACATTGTGGGTTACATTAGAGATAGCGCTGCCTTGCAACTCAAGGCTAGGAAAACTTCGACGAGACCATCAGGGCCGTAGTAGCATAATTGGTCAGTGCATTCGCCCGGATTGCGAAGGGTGCTGGTTCGAGTCCCGTCCGCTGCCTTGTCCGCGTGGATTTTTTCTAGTAAAACTTTTCTTTAATATTAATTATTATTACCTTATTCAACGCATGCTGGTAGTCATGCCTCGAGGGTCTGTACACGGGGCCGGCTGTCTCCAGCATCCAGCCCAGCGCCGCGCCTTGAATGCCGCAGATCTGCTGCTTGTACTCCGGCAAATATTTACTGTGAGTCGCCGTCACTAGACAGCAGCAACAGAAAAGATCTGCCAGGGATGAGAAGGCTCGTTCCCGCACCTAAAATAACAGTTATTTATGACATGCTGTGCCCCGCGGTTTATCCAGGGTGTCAGCTAACTCCATACCAAATTTTATTAAAATCGCTCCAGCCGTTTAGACGTGAAGGAGTAACAAACAAACACACTCACAAACTTTCGCCTTTATAATATTTGTGTCGATTCTGGCATGATTATCTAAACCTAAACTTGACATCAGTCTATCTTTGACGACCTCCATGGCCGAGTGATTTGTACGCCGGGTTTCATGGTGTCGCCGACTCGAGAGGTCCCGAGTTCGAGTCCCGGTGGGGGCAAATGTTTGTGTGATGAATACGAGCATTTGTACTACAGTCATGGATGTTTAATATTTATTTCTATATAAATATACTTATATATATTTACAGTATATGTGTACGGTTCAATAAACCGCACAATATAATTATTTCACATTTTATATTTTGCAGCAAAGCATTTTTACTTTGGTGTGTCGAATCTAGAACGCGACGCATCAGTCTACGTTTCAACCGCGACTTATAAACTCCATACACTATTTCATTAGTCAAATTAGTTTCGTGTGCCAATAAACGGTCATCATCATCATCATCAGCCTATTAATGTCCCCACTGCTGGGGTACAGGCCTTCCCTATGGATGAAATAGGGAGATTGGGCCATGACCCACCACGCGGGCCCAGTGCGGATTGGTGGGTGCTAACGACTGCAGATGCAGCCGGGACCAACGGCTTAACGTGCCTTCCGAAGCACGGAGGAGCTCGAGATAGTAATTTTTGTTCACCCATCCAATGACCGACCACTGCGAAAGTTGCTTAAGTTCAACGATCGCAGCCGAACGCGCTAACCACTTGCGCCATCGAGCTCCTCCAATAAACGGTATCTCTATATAATCCATTTTCTTTTCTTGTGCGTACAAATATCCCGTACAATATGTATTCTATCCGTTACCCTAGCATTCCATAACACAAGCCTTACAGTGCTTACTTTGGGGCTAGGCTAATTGGTGTAAGTGTTGGAAATATTCATTTATTTATTTGTCATTCCCTATACAGAATGATAAGGAGAGACTGTGCTTAAATCTAGTTTTAAGCTCAGAGAATCATGCCAGAATCGACACCATTAGTGCAGTAAATTGTTATTACAAACGAGTAGACCGTTTTGGGGGTTACCATAGTCACGAGTTCGTTAATACAAATTTGTACGAATATCATACGCTTTTAACTAATTGAAGTAATGAAGCTTTTTGAAGTGAAACTTCTTTATCGGCGTTGGAAAAAAATTTACCGTCACATTTTTTCGGTTACGCGTCACGTTTTTTGGTTACGCGCCATCTTTTTTTTAAAAGAGCACTATTTACCTCAGCCGAACAATTGCTTCTTCTGTCAACTTTAAAAAAAAAAGTATCGACAGCAAATATTCGTGTTTCACACAAGGTAAGGTAAGGTAAGGTAAGGTAAGGTAAGGTAAGGTAAGGTAAGGTAAGGTAAGGTAAGGTAAGGTAAGGTAAGGTAAGGTAAGGTAAGGTAAGGTAAGGTAAGGTAAGGTAAGGTAAAGTAAGGTAAGGTAAGGTAAGGTAAGGTGTAGTTATACCCCTTTAGTGGGTGAGTTTTTGAAAAATCTTAGCGCACGCCTATATATATATTTCTGGAAAGTTGCATGTAGATCATTTTTCGAAAAAAATAAGGCCATAAAGAAGTTTCACTTCTTACGTGTGTACACTAGTACACGCACACATTTTTTCTAATGAGAAAATAGCGCGCATCTCCAATAGTGCGCCACGTGCGGGTGATGAAAATTAGAATTACATCTTTAGTCTTCTTTTCTTTTTAGAATTAAAGTGAGTTAGAGCACCGTTAGAGTACTGTGTAGTACGGTTTTTTATACGTGCGGTAAAAAGTTTTACCGCACGCTCCGTTGTATGGCCCGTAATTTTGAACTTTCGATTCTCTTTTATCATTTGTACCGCTAAGGAATGGAATTCCATCCCTTTGTCTGTATTCCAAGATACATAAAATACATCTTCAAAGCTACAGTAAATGGCCATTATAATAATAATGATAATGATACACATCGTTGCTTAGCATCAGTTGCGACAGCAGTAAAACGCACACAAATCTTAAATAAAAGTAAGTATTGTATTAGTTGTATTTGATTTACTCTATTATTTAGCTTTAATTTGTGGCGGGTCTGAAAAGAAGTGATATAACTTAAACTAATTTAAGCGGCGCTGCGGGTTACAGAGAAGTGATATAACTTAACTAATTTAAGCGGCGCTGCGGGTTAGAGATAAGAGATATAACTTAAACTAATTTAAGCGGCGCTGCGAGTTAGAGTGAGGGAGGAGGAGCCTGCATACGGCAGCGATAGGCTGCCGTATGCGTGATAGGAAGGGAGGCCAGACAGACTGGCACCGTAATACCCGCCATAGACACTACGAGAAATCGTTACGATCAGACTGTACAGTTCAAACGGTACAGTTTATACGATTTCGTTTAGTATAGGAAACTGTGCAGTTTTATAACATACACGCTACGATTTATTGGTACCGTTCGGACTGTAGTCTAATCGTAACGATTTATCGTAGTGTGTATGGCGGGTATAACGCGTTACGTAACGAAGCGGTTTACCCACCCATAATCCAGCACTCACCTCCGCGGGCGGGTCGTGGGGGGGCGCGTTGGCCAGAGCTCGCGCCAGCGGCAGTAGCGCCTGGGAGTCGGCGCGGGCCGCACGCGCTGCGAGTTAGAGTGAGGGAGGAGGAGCCTGCCTATCGCTGCCGTATGCGTGAGAGGAAGGGAAGCCAGACTGGCACCGTAACGCGTTACGTAACGAAGCGGTTTACCCGCCCATAATCCAGCACTCACCTCCGCGGGCGGGTCGTGGGGGGGCGCGTTGGCCAGAGCTCGCGCCAGCGGCAGTAGCGCCTGGGAGTCGGCGCGGGCCGCACGCGCTGCGAGTTAGAGTGAGGGAGGAGGAGCCTGCCTATCGCTGCCGTATGCGTGAGAGGAAGGGAAGCCAGACTGGCACCGTAACGCGTTACGTAACGAAGCGGTTTACCCGCCCATAATCCAGCACTCACCTCCGCGGGCGGGTCGTGGGGGGGCGCGTTGGCCAGAGCTCGCGCCAGCGGCAGTAGCGCCTGGGAGTCGGCGCGGGCCGCACGCGCTGCGAGTTAGAGTGAGGGAGGAGGAGCCTGCCTATCGCTGCCGTATGCGTGAGAGGAAGGGAAGCCAGACTGGCACCGTAACGCGTTACGTAACGAAGCTGTTTACCCGCCCATAATCCAGCACTCACCTCCGCGGGCGGGTCGTGGGGGGGCGCGTTGGCCAGAGCTCGCGCCAGCGGCAGTAGCGCCTGGGAGTCGGCGCGGGCCGCACGCGCGCACTCCCTCGCCAGCGCGCGCAGCGACCGAAGGTAGTCCTCGGGTCGAAGCAGCAGCTCGTGGAACGTGTCGGCCATGGCGGCGGGCGCTAACTGCGGCTGCGCTTGGATCAGCGCCGCTAGCACCGCCATGTTGTTAGGCGAGCGCACGTTCGATAACTCGTTGTAGATTGTGTGCGTCACGACGCTGCGTAACAGCGCAGGGCTGTCTGATACCATCTCCCTATGCACGACAACAAAATAAATGCTTATAGAAATTACGCTTTTGAATTTTAACCCACCAATATGACATAGGGAAGGCCTATGCCACAGCAGAGGGAACATTAGTAGACGGATAATGATGGATATGGTATTCAACCAATAGCGAGAATGACAGAAACAACCCGTTCTCTCTTTATAACTTTCTTCTTATAACACATTAACATTAGCCAATGGCATTGCTTTTGGTAATGCTAAATAGTAGTAGACATCAATAGGCTGATGATGCACCTTATTATATAAAAATAATATGATAGAAACACATAAATACCGAAATTCGAGCAACAAGCCTGGCTGCTGCACAATTAGGTCTTCGGTCTCATTCAAGCTAGTTGAGCCAGCACTGCATGGTTTCTAGCAGCCGTGGGCCCGCAGGCTTTGACGCTGCAGCATTTAAGGAGAGAAGAAGGAGACCTGGATATATACCCAAGATATATGGGGTTACCATAGACAGGCCTGGGCCTGCTGTAACGGTTTGGTCTTCAGCCTCATTTGAGCTAGTTGAGTCAGCATCTCATGGTCACATATGAGGAGTTACCTAGATATATACCAATGTAAAAGGAACATCTATATTTGAGGAGTTACCTGAGACAGGCCTGGTAAGCTTGCTGCAACGGTTTAGTCTTCAGCCTCATTCGAGCCAGTTGAGCCAGCACCTCATGGTCTCTGGCAGCCGTGGGCCCGCAGGCGTCGGCGTTGCAGCACACGTAGGCGAGCAACTCCTGGGCGCAGCGCCATAGCTTGCCCGAGTGAAGCCACGCCTCGAGGCGCGACGCGGATATCATGCGGATCTGTCGTATACATCAAATAATTAGGTACACTTCAGTTTGTGTGTATGCTGTTGGTCGCAGATGACCTTTACAGCGTCACCGGGTTTGGGGACGGCGAGATCCTAAGGGGACCTCAAGCCGAGAAGTGGCGAGTGCCTCTGGAGGTATTCCAGGCGGATGGCGTCTCCCCACGAGGGGAGTCTCCACTCCGTCTGGAGCCTCTAGACCACTCGAACCTGAAGGGATACACTCAGAGAGCCCTAGACCTCATGAACCGGACCCCTATTTAATTTTTCTGATTGATAGAAAAATATAAGTTACTATTTTGCATGTGATGTATCAAAGTATTTACCCTAAAATTTTAGTACCGAATTTAGTTTTCAATTTTTTTCTTCACATTTTATATTTAATTTTGCCATATCAATAAATAAAAATAGTACAGTAATTAATGCCCATTACAGATTTTCATTATTTAGTCACCTAACAATGTTTCAAGAAATAGAAACTACAACCAAACATTAGATATGTTCACTGTTTATTCAATGTTGTCAATTCACCAAGAACCCAAAAATCCGTTAAATATTTTCTCATTATAAATACCTCTGGGAAACCGCAAGTGGCAGCTAGCAGCTTGAGAAAGCCGCGATGTATGGCGTCGGGGGCCGCGCGCCGTTGGATCTGTTCCTTAATAGCTTCCAACACTAACGCTTCTACTGTTTCGTAACTGCTTGAATACCTTAAATATTAATAACCATGTCAATAACATAGCTGCAAGGACACACTCACACACACAGACATACATGCACACACACTCCTACACTCCATAAAGTTTTCAGGTGACAAATTCCTGAAAACCCTTTTATATCGGTATTTAGTGTTTGTTTTTCTTTTTTTTGTCATTTGTTTTGTTATAATATTAATTTAATTTTATGTAACTAAATTTATAATAATATGATATTTATACTATTTTAAAAATTAAATGATATTGAAATGAAATGAAACCTTTTATTGGCCATCTTAACAAAAGAAAAACTTATAAATACAACAATAAAAATTTAAAAAAAAATGAAATACAAGAAACCTTAACCTAAGAAAATAAAAAAGAACATAAAAATCTAAGATAGCCAATCAGGACCCTGCCTCAGCTTATGCGGACACAGTGAGAAAGTACTTTCTCACTGTGTCAGCGCTGGTATTCTGGCAGGACCTGGGCGAGGATATATATATATTGATATTTACATACACAAGCATATGACAAAACAGGAAAATTATGTTATTTATTCACAAATATGCTGTGGCAAAAAAAACAGTATGGCTGCAAGAAACTCAGCAGTGTAAAATTATTACTAATTTAAACTTACCTAGGGAAAACAGTATACTCAAGTTCAGTATTATCAGGATCCTCATCAGTACTTCCCATTAGTGGTGAACCAGATCCCGATGGCGACATAGTACCTACATCAAAAGAACATTATGTTTTAAAAATAAAGTGCCAATTGTTAGCATCTGTGTTAAGAATGAATATAACAGAATATAACAGAAAAAAGTAAATTCAAATAGGTGAAAAATACCAATAGACCAAATCTGACTTGATTGGTCCTATCATCTGCAGATGCATTGAGGACCAACAGTTTGATGTCCGTTCAAAAGTAAAGAGGACACGAAAAGGAATTTAATCACACGAATAGCTTAAATTTGTTATTCATTCCATTCCATCAAAAATCTCTGATACCAAATGCTTACAAAACTCTAAAAGGAGACTCACCAAGTGTGTTATCAGAAGGGATCAAGAAAGGAGGTGGGTGCTTAGTGCTAAAAGCTGTAACAATGTTCTCAACGAGGCATTTGCACCAAGAGCACTCCACCCACCAGCGTTCATTCAGAGCATCTTCAATGTAAACCTGTAACAATTGAAAGTATTAAGTAACACGAGATAGATGATTTTTGGTCACCCATCCAATGACCGACCACTGCAAAAGATGCTTAACTTCAACAATCGTAGCCGAACGCGCTAACCACCCGCGCTATTGAGCTCCTCGACTAAACTATTTACTAATTACTAATCCAAAAATCTTGCACTGGGCATCACTGTGGATTCCTACAAGCGCTTTATAAGTATTTTGTCATTTTCGTTTACGTCTATATTTTAGCCATTACCTTTTATACCTACTTTCAGAAATTGATCAGCTATACATTATTTTTGTATATGAAAACTTGTTTTTGGTTAGTAGTTACCCAAATTAGATAACATGTACAAAAAATTGCTGTTAGTTTTCCGAAGAAATAAAATAAAATAACAATAATAAATATCCCATTATTGTTATTATTTAGGCTGTAAATCCACTAAGTTTGAAAATCTATAATTTTTTTATAAAATCATAATAATTTTGCTGTTTGACTGGTTTGCTAAGAAATATTTCTTGGTTCTAAGAATATTTTTATTTTTATATGTTTGTAACCAAATAAAACAATGAAATCATACTGATATTCATTATACTGTAGCATTAAGAATATTACAATAAAGATTAAATTTGGTTATTTACCTTAATAAAAGTATCAGGCCAGTTATTACTGTCCTTATGGCCAGCATATAGCATGTTGCAGGCCAGCACAAATACCAGTGGGTTGCCTTTGCTCTTGAATGCAGCACCCTGTTCCCTCTTCAGTAAGGTGCAGAGACTCTGTGTCACAGTCTCATGGGCGAACATGTTTGGACGTATCTTTGTCAGATAAAGCATACTCATACATAGTATTGGATCAGGTTTCGATCTTTGAGATTTAAGCAAACGTATTGAACCAGTCAAAAGGCCAAGCTGAAATAAAATAATTGTTTTATTATACGAAACAATTGAATGAATTCTCTTGTTCTTGCTTAACTATCATAGCTGTAACTCTACTAGAAAGATATTGCATATACACAGCCTTAATTTTGATTATAACTTTGTACATGTATACAAATAAGGCATCGATTTATAAGCCCTATTATCCAAAATCTATATATATAAAACTCAAAGGTGACTGACTGACATAGTGATCTATCAACGCACAGCCCAAACCACTGGACGGATCGGGCTGAAATTTGGCATGCAGGTAGATGTTATGACGTAGGCATCCGCTAAAAAAGGATTTTGATCAATTCTGCCCCCAAGGGGATAAAATAGGGAATGAAAGTTTGTATGAAACTTTGTCAATTTTAAACCGATCGGGCTGAGACTTTGCATGCAGGTATAAGAAGAATCATAGATGAATGTCATTGTGTATAATACAAGCCTGAGAACAAAAACTGTAGTCTACACTTCAGCTCTACACCGTAGCGAAGCTAGGGCGGGCCGCTAGTCTAACATATATTTGAATTTGAAAAGAAAAGAGATCCATTTTAGCGGCATTACTTACAAGTTTATCTGAGTTATGAGTATCCAATGCTTGCAGTACATTAGGGACAAGATCAACAGGATCCACCTCTAACGACGTGCCCCCAACAGCTTCAGCAGGTGATCCAATTCTCGACCTTTTTGTTGGAGGTTGGCTTCCAAAGCCAGTTGTCTCTCTTTTTCGTTCTACACCTGATTTGAAAACAGGAATAGAAGTTAAATGTTTATTTCACTTGTATCATACTTTCGGTGTTTAGCTGATGATGCTCAAATGTGGCATTATCAGCAAAACACAAACAATAATATGTAACCTCAAAATTTACAATATTTTGTTCACATACCGCTAGTAGAAGGTTTATGTATATTCCTCTTCTCAGAGTCTCTATTCACAACCACTGTGGATTTGCTACCAAGCGCAAAAATATCCTGAGGGTGCTGCGGTGCCTTACTTTTGCCACCGCGGCCAGTAGAAGTCATTTTACCGCGCTCCATTATACTATTAAGCACTACGTATTCGTTACAATGCACATATCATTACAACCAAGTCGGAAAAACGAATTCTCGTTTGCAAATGTGCTTTAAAAACAGAGGTTTAGTTTAAAGAATACAGACGATGTTTAGAAAATTTAGCATCAACAAGAAAATGTCAAAGACCTAAAACTGTCAAGTGTCAACTGACACATGCATTTGTAGTTATATTTTCCCCATAGGCATTGAATTTTTTTTCTTTACAGCCATAACAAAATAATTGTCTTTATCATTTCAAGCATTGTATTTTTGTATTTTCTCCATAGTCATTGAAGTTAATTTCTTTACAGCCGTAACAAAATATTTAAGTCTGGGACATTTTCAATGTGCAGGGTGGCAGGGACAATATATTAACCAAGCGTGGTCTTGCGGCCCCTGCCGCCCTGACGCAGGGGCAATTTTTGCTAAATTGGCTGCTTGCTTACCATAAGAATAGAGTGGGGAAGGCGGCTCTAAAAGTGTACGTCTAGTAGAAGCAGAAAGAAGATGAGTGAACGCTAGCCTTTCTCTCTCTAACCGCGAATGCGCATTGAATGAAAAACCTACGGATGAATACCGACCAATCACACGACTGCGCAGCATCACAAGAGAGAGAGAGATAGCTACCCGTCTCTCATCTTCTTTCACTTTCTACTAGACGGACACTTCCACTTTTAGTAGAGTACGTATCTCCCCTACTCTATTCTTATAGCTCATATGTTGCTTCCACACATCCCCACTCTTACACTCTAGATTGCCCTGCAGCAGGAATGTCAGTAGCCCGCTTAAATCGCGGCCTGCTCGCTGGCGCTAGTTGGGCCTCCTCGGATCTCACTCGGCTTGGTAGACCGCGCTGTGGGCCGCGTGCAAGTTTCCCGGAAAGAGTAGGGACAAGTAAGAAGACAAGTCGCAAGACGGCCGCTTTCCTGTGGGTGACAACCCCGCATGGACGCACTTCGTGAGATGTAACCGGGGAAAGAAGACTTATCCTCGAACCCGAACTCTGAATCTGCCTGTCTGAATCATGGACGTATTTGTACTCTGATAATTTTTAGGTTTGGCTTCTTTTTCAAGGATTTTTATTATATCGTAAAAACTTCGACGTGTTCAGTAAAAATATTTCATTGGATTACAATGAAAATGTTAGTTTAGTTGGTGAAACATTTTTTTTAATGCTGGTAAAAATTAATAACAAAGTATAGGTATTTGAGATATTTATTAATGCACAAATTATGGGTAATACGGAAATTAATTAACAAAAAGCAAACTTCTTTACTGAAAAACGTAACATTTTAATTAAAAATTTAACATTAGGATTCTAAATTATTTCGGTTTTCTCGTCTTCGGCTCCAAGCGTTTGTTCTTGAAGAATGTTTTGTCTTTATTCTTCATGTCGTTCTTAACTTGCGACAATGAAATATTGTCAACCTGTGAAGAGAAGAACCCCAGGTTAAATTGATATGAAATTAAGCAGGTATAATTATTAATCTAATCGACGTGTCCTTTGCCACCCCACCGCTCGCGGCCCGGGTCCGGGACTGGCGGGTGGTGGTGGACATGGAGAGCCTATCGGACCACAGATACGTCCGATACGAGGTCTCCACGGCATTCCCTGGGGCCCCTTCTCATCTGGGCCCCCGTGTGGGCGTCTCACCGTTTAGGCGCTGGATGCTCACACGCCTCCAGCCTGATGTGGCGGAGGAGGCGGCGACAGTGCGGGCTTGGTCTGAAGTGCCCGACACTGTCGCCGGGGATGCCGACGGCATGGCGGACCTGTTCGCAGACGACATCAACGCCGTCTGCAGTGCCGCCATGCCGAGGGCGCGGGCCTGCCCACGGAGCAGGGGGCAGGTTTACTGGTGGACGCAGGAGCTCACGACCCTACGTACCGCCAGTATGGAGGCCAGGCGCGCCTACCTACGGTGCCGTAGGCGCGCCCGGAGAACGCCCGGTGAGGAGGAAAGCCTCCGCCGGGCGTACAATGAGGCCCACACGGCCCTGCGAACTGCCATCTGCAGGGCCAAGGTCGCTGCCTGGGATAGTTACATAGCTATCCTAGATAGCGACCCCTGGGGGAAGCCGTACAGGGCGGTTAGGGGTAAGTTCGCTTCGGCGGCCCCCTCAACGTCCTGTATGGAGCCAGGGTTGTTGCGAAGGGTACTGGGGGCGCTTTTTCCGAACCCAGGACCTTTCGCACCCCCCAGGATGGCCTCTGGTTTCGCCCCGGAGGCGTGGGCCGCTGGTCCCTCCGTGTCGGACGCTGAGTTCGACATGGTGAGGGACAGGCTCCGGAGCCGTAACAAGGCTCCGGGGCCGGATGGGGCCCCAGCCAAGGTGATGGCGATCGCCTTGGGCCCCCTGGGGGACCGATTCCGCGCGGTGCTGGATATATGCATCGCATCGGGTCGCTTCCCCAGGCGCTGGAGAGAGGGGCGGCTCTGCCTGCTCCGTAAAGAGGGCCGCCCGGCGGACTCTCCAGCGGGCTATCGGCCGGTGGTGTTGCTCGATGAGGCCGGGAAGGCGTTTGAGAAAATCATCGCCTCCCGGATCATCGAGCACATAGAGGGCACGGGGCCGGACCTGGCAGACTGCCAGTACGGCTTCCGCACCGGCCGGTCCACGATGGACGCAATAGGCCACCTCAAAAGGTGGACTGAGGTGGCCACAGCACGGGGGGAGGTGGTGATCGCGGTGTCCCTGGACATCGCGAACGCTTTCAACACCATCCCCCACGAGTGCATAGAGGCGGCGCTCGAATTCCACCGAGTGCCCCTGTACCTCCGCGCCCTCGTGCGGGACTACCTGCGGGACAGGTCAGTCCTCTACGAGGACGCGGAGGGGTGCGTTCAGTCGTGGACAGTGGCGGCAGGTGTGCCCCAAGGTTCCGTTTTAGGCCCTCTATTATGGAACCTGGGGTACAACTGGGTCCTGCGTGGCTCGCTCTTGCCGCGAATGGATGTCGTCTGCTTCGCGGACGACACCCTTGTCGCGGCGAGAGCGAAGGAGTGGGAGGAGGTGCTCCACCTTGCGTCGGTCGGCACCTCTATGGTCGTCCGACGCATCCGCCTCCTGGGGCTGGAGGTGGCCCTCGATAAAACGAGGGCCATGGCGTTCCATGCCCCAGGACGCAGGACCCCACCGGGGCTCCGTGTCCGGGTTGAGGGGATCCAGGTTCATGTCGAGATGCACATGAAGTATCTCGGCCTGACCCTGGATCCCCGGTGGAGGTTCGAGGAGCATTTTAGGCTCCTCGCTCCCCGGCTGTGCGCCGCCGCAGCCGGACTCGGACGGCTCCTCCCCAATGTGGGAGGGCCGAGGGCGTCGTGCCGTCGACTTTATAATGGAGTGATAAGGTCGATGGCACTGTACGGAGCCCCGGTGTGGGCGGAGTGCCTTACGTCCCGCACGAAGGCCCTCTTGCGGAGGCCACAGAGGGTCATCGCGGCCCGGGCCGTGCGGGCTTACCGCACGGTCAGCCACGGGGCTGCCTGCGTCCTCGCAGGTACGCTCCCGTGGGAGATCGATGCCCTGGTTCTGTCCCAGGTGCATCGACACAGGGCCGCGGCGAGAGAGCGGGGCGAGCGGCCCGTTCGGGAGGAGATCGAACGGGTCCGCACCCAGGCGCAGAGGGAGGCTCTGCGCCGATGGGGTGAGGCACTCGCCAACCCAGCCGCTGGCCACCGGACGATCGAGGCGATCCGTCCGGTGTTGGAGGAGTGGGTAGGGCGCCAGCGGGGCAGCCTCACCTACCGCCTGGTGCAGGTACTGACCGGACATGGGTGCTTTGGCCACTACCTGCACCGTGTCGCCCGTCGGGAGGAGCTGCCGCGGTGTCATCACTGCGCCTCCCCCGACGACACGGCCGAGCACACACTGATCGTGTGCCCGGCCTGGCGAAACGAGCGCCGCACGTTGGTGGCGGCGCTCGGCGGTGGAGCGCTCTCATTGCCAAGTATGGTTCGAGCCATGCTTGGCAATGAGAGAGCATGGAAGGCTGCCGCCTCCTTCTGCGAGGTTGTGATGGGGCAGAAGGAGGCAGCGGAGAGGGAGCGGGAGGAGGACGCTCTGGCCGCTCCCCTCCGGCGTAGACGGGTGGGCCGAAGAAGACAGGCGGCTTTGACCGCCGGTCTTCGTCGGCCCTAAGGTGGACTGGGCGCGGCATGCTAGCCGCGCGTCCTTGGTGCCATTCGGCATAGGCCACCCCGTCTGGGGATTACCTAGTACCCTAGAGTAATCCCCCCATAGGCGCGTCGCCCGGTCCACTCGTTGGGCCGGGCCAGCCCTAGGACGCTCTGGTGTAGTGGCGCACGTAGGTGCACCGATCCCAGAGCGCCCTCATAAGGGCCGAGGAGGGTACCGGTGGTTTTTAGTGGGTAGGACCGGCGTTGTTCCACGCCGGGGAGTCCCACACACGTCGCGCGCCTGGCAAGCGCGCGGTATGGTGCGTAAATGCATTTTCCACCGTCAACAAAAGGTATAATTATTAAAGAAAGGGATATTAAATGAAGATGTAAGACATGCCTCTCGCACATGCTATCCTTAGTAACGCGTGCGAGAGAGACAGTATGTGTTATATTGTTTTAAACTTTCATGGTCATTAACATTATACATAGCTATTAACGGGATTGTTACCATGTACCTTGTTCATATGTAACATCTTTCTTCTCGCTTTCCTGCAATTTGTGCGAGTGATTTCGTGAAATGGGACGGAAGTGTGAAACAGGAAGTCGCGAAAGCGCGCGCGCTATCATTATATGATTTGATTTTAGAGCATAATGTTCAAATGGCTTATTCCTTTTGTAGTAGGTTTTATTTCTTTTTTTACTAATATAAGGTGAGGTTTCAAATGTTACACATCATACGCGACTACTGTAAGGCTCGCTCGTTATTTTTTTGTATCTCCGAAATTTTGGCACTGTTGCAAGCGCCATAGCCAGTGCCGTAGCTACCGCCATATCCGCCGTATCAATTATACGGGGCCTCCGGGTCACGGGGGCCCGTAACGGGCGTCAGCAAGAACTGATAAAAACTTCCCAAATTTTTCAGAAATGACAAAAGTAAAAAAAAACAATTTCTTTTTTTCCCGCGTAAAGCGTGCGTTGGCAACACCCTACATCGGTTATCGCAGGCTGCGGGATTTCCCCGTTTAAGTCATTTACTTGAACGGGGGAATCTCACAATAATTACAGGCGTTATTAAGATAAACGGAGTCACTATTGTCCGTAGAGGCAGACACTTTGGAAAAACTCAAGTCATCAACAGCTATAAATGATTTAATAAATCAGTTTGCCCAAAAACAGGCAAGAAAAGTGTAAATTTAATTTGAATTGTAAGTAAAAATTTTGATAAATGTGACAGTTAGACAGTGATGATAAATAAATATTTCTTTTAATTTTATGCATTTTTTTTTCTTTTATGACGAAGCTTTACCCTTCCAAAGGCCCCCCCCAAACAATTTTTTTTACGGGGCACGCTACGCCACTGGCCATGGCGCATTGCGCGATCATGAAAAACAAGGTACATGGAAAAACCCATAGATGAATGATTGGTGGTCTCGCTTCGTTGAGTGAAGCGAGACATCATTTGTCTATGATAAAACCGTTAATAGCTATAGGGTGTATTCCGAATCAAACACCAGTTCGCTGGCCAGTGACGTCATGATTTCGTCGCCATAAGGGGTGTGTTCCGAAACTTAAGCCAATACGCTGGCCAGCGGTAATGACGTCAAGATTTCGACGCCAAATTGCACTATTGTGCCGCCATATTATGCTGGTGAGAATACTGTGACGTATAATAGCTGGGTGTATAGGCTCTGCAGTTAGTGAAGGTCTTTTTTGTATTAAATTGATAATAATGGAATCTCAACAAACAGAAAAATTAGTTTTGAACGATGAAGGAAATAACGGGATTTACACACTTTATTATAATTTTTGGAGCACGAACGTTGCACACAAACACGAGACTGCTTGAATATAGCGCCAGTTCATGACGTCACCGCGCTGATCAGTGTATTTGGAAATTTTGGAACGAATCAACAGCACGGCGTCGATTCTTGACGTCATTAGCACTGGCCAGTATACTGGTTTATATTACGGAACACACCCAAGGACAACACTACTATTACACCAGTGCAATATGGCGTCGAAATCGTGACGTCATTACCGCTGGCCAGCGTACTGGTTTATATTTGGGTATACACCCATAATGTTTTATATCTTGCGCCGGCATTTTCGATTCTTTTTTTAATGACACGAGTCTGTTATCCCTAAAATGAATTTTTGCGCATTTTTCCCCTAAAATAGACTCACATCAGGGGTGGTTTTGTGTTTGAGGCCTCCATGTGATATGGGTACTCCGGCGCGTCGCTTAAGCGAGCCCAGCGGTAGAGGCGACACTCGCTCGCCGCGAGACAGAGCGTCAAACCGACGATTAACTTCAAACGGCTGTAAAAATAACAAATTATTACTTTTATAATTTTTATTTTTTAAGCATGTAACTGCTTGGTGTTTAAATCTAAATAAAATATAACGGGAAATAATTCAGGCAGCAGACGGGATTCAAACCCATTCTTTAGATTTAAACATCAAGCAGTTATTTGCTTAAAAAATAAAAATTATAACTATAATTGCTATTTCTTCTTTCAAATGTTTAATACTTGTAAAAGTATTCATTTGACATTCTGGGTTACCTACAATGCGAAGAGATGGCGCTGCCTTGCAGCTTAAAAATTGCTAGAAGAATTTCGACGCGGTAGCATAATTGGTTAATACATTCGCCCGGATAGAGAAGGGTGCGGGTTCGAGTCCTGTCTGCTACCTGATACGCGTGGAATTTTTTCTAGTTATATTTTCTTTAAATTATTCCTTATTATATCGTGCATCTATCTACTGGAGCGCTTTCTTCATTAATGGAAAACTGCGTCACCAGAGAAAGCAAAGCATTTGTTTATGTTAAAAGGCTGCCAAAGAAGCGTTTGCCCGCCTAATGGTAAACGACCACCATAGCCCATAGAATAGAAGCTTGCCATATAAAAAAGAAAGGCTGGAAGAAATTTCAGATTGAAATAAGCTGTGCCCTTGTACTACTGTTTTGAAGTGAAAACTTCTTTAGCGGCGTTGTACACTTTGTTTTGTATGGGTAAAAAATGTTAAACTCGCGTCAGGTTAAACACGTGGGCTGATAGAATCATGACACACAATGAAATTGGAAAGGTTGTTGACTTTCAATATATTGGACGAAACATAGTTATATTTTATTTTACCGTATTGTAATAATAAGTCTCTATCTAGGACGTCCACGTGGCAGCTTTATTGCGAAGAAAATGCATTTTTTTACAATAGATGTCGCTAGGTGCGCTTTAATGTGATTCATGTAAGTTGATTTCTTTACAATAGATCACGCTAAGTGCGCTTAAACGTGATTCATGTAAGTTGAATATTCTGAGAGATAATCTTTTTTAATGTAATATAAATTGTCATGTTTGTGTACGATAGCGCAATAAATAGGTAAATATTGTATTCTACCACATACATGATAGTACTTTTATACTGATAATTAAAGCAATTCGTGCAAAATTATTCCCTAACCATTCCAAAATATCAAAAATGCACATCGTTAATATTCAAGTTTTCACTTCTGCCGGCACTAACGGAGTGCAACCCGTCATTTTTTTTATATTTGAACCATTCTTACATCGATCGTGTCTCCGTCCATGCTGCCGTCGCTGAACAAGCTGAAGAGCATGTTGTCGAGCTGCTTGGGCTCTCCATTTGGTGCGGGTAACTTGGCCTCGCCTGTAATCTGAACCGAAACATGGCCAAATTATATCTTAATCGATATCTTATCTGGAATAAGAATAAGCATAATAGGGTATTTGACAAGTTTTAGAAAACGATCTCACGTTATTGACTTTTGTTTATGGAGTCCGTAAAAGGTAGATATTCATCATTCTGTTGTGTCATCATCATCATCATCAACAGCCTATCATAGTCCACTGCTGGACATAGGCCTCTCCAAATGCACGCCACTCAGATCGATCTTGGGCTACTCGCATCCAGCTCCTGCCAGCCACCTTGCGCAAATCGTCACTCCATCGTGCCTGAGGACGTCCTACACTACGTTCTGTTGTGTATTTCAGTAAAAATAACCAAATCAAAAACTCCATTTTCAAGTTGCTGCGAAAACGTTTTCTGGACAATATGGCGTCTTACTAGTGCGTGACTTCACACGACTGTTATTAAAACGTCAAACGATACAATGTAATGTCACTTTAACCGGAACTTTACTTGTGTGTGACGTCATTTTAGGCTCCGCCAAGCCCAAGCGTTTTGGGTCACGTGACAATAGATAAGAAAACTATTATCTTTTTCGTTAGTTTTTAGTAAAATTATGAACATTTATTAGTCAAAATAGTAAAAATTCATGCCAGTATTCATTCTAAACACAGATGCTAACAATTGGCACTTTATTTTTAACACTGTCAAATACCCTATTTTCTAACGGCTGTTTTTATAATAATCTTTGGCGTGTACTCTTAAAATTAATTAATCGATGTATAGTGAACTCGGTATTGCCGTGTCCTTGATTATATTTGATAATATGTGAAATGTAACGGACGTGTCTATTAGAAACATTTAATTATTTATCGTAATTTATTTTAATTTTGCTAAATAATTTTTAAGTTTCTTGGATAACTCAAAATTCACGGTGTATATGTGTATCAGAATATGTAGTCTATCCGTTACCCTAGTATCCTATGATACAAGCTTTACAGTGTTTACTTTGCGGTTAGGCTTATTAGTGTATGTTAGAAAAAGTTATTTCATCATAAGCCGCTAATGTCTCCACTGCTGGGGCACAGGCCTTCCCTATAAATTAATAATTCCAACACTCACACCAATTACACTTTCCCAAAGTAAGCACTGTAAGGCTTGTGTTATGGGATACTAGGGTAACGGATAGAATACATATACAGTACATATATAAGTATGTTTATATAGAAATACATAATTAAACATCCACGACTGGAGTACAAATACTCGTATTCATCACACAAACATCTGCCCCCACCGGGATTCGAACCCGGGATCTCTCGAGCAGGCGACACCATGAAACCTGGCGTACAGACCAGGAGGATACAGGATACAGGCCACGGAGGTCGTCGTCTATGGATGCAATAAGGATATTGGGCCATGACCCACCAGACGGGCCCAGTGCGGATTGTTGGGTGCTAATGCAGCCGGGACCAACGGCCTAACGTACCTTCCGAAGGACAGAGGAGCTTTTTGGTTACCCATCCAATGACCGAACGCGCTAACCACTTGTGCCACTGAGCTCCTCCTGAGATTCAAAAAATATTTACTTTTAGAAAAAAAAATCGACTATATCCATAGTCGAGTGGTTTGTACGCCGGGGCTCCTGGTGTCGCCGACTCGAGAGGTCTCGGTGGGGGCACATATTTGTGTGATGAATACGAACATTTGTACTCCAGTCATGGATGTTTGATATGTATTTTTATATAAATGTACTAATATATGTACTGAATATGTATTCTATCCGTTACCCTAGCATCCCATAACACAAGCCTTACAGTGTTTGGGGCTAGGCTAATTGGTGTGTTTTGGATTTTAAAAGTTTTTTTTTGGGAAGAAACTGTTGTATTTATTTATTTATATTTAACATTAGCCTGGACTTTTTGGCGGGATCGGGAAGCGTCACTTTAGCAGCTTTGTTTTTCTTGTTAAAATTGTGTTGTGGCGGATGTTAGTGTCTAATAATGGTGGATTATTAACCACTAAGTGTTCGGGAACATGCACAAGTGTTGGCAAGTGAAACAAAATAGCGGAAAGTGTCTTTCGACGTTCCCTCAAGAATTCCACGGGGAGGTTCCAGTAAATCCCCATACATTTACTGAAACATAGGGAAAGGGCGTTTGACTTGACTGTCACTTACTTTGAATTGATTTATTACTTTGACCACGAGTGCTATAGAATTTGTAAACATTTTTAACACTTGACATTGGCTAAATGCACATGCCGTGCGAAGCCATTTAGGAAAAAAAACATTATCCTGTATCATTACCTTAGTGACTTTAGTGGGAGGGCACATCAGGGCGTTGTCGTCATGCTCGGGGGGCGGCGCGGGCACAGAGTGCGCAGTTCGTCCGGTGAGTTCTTTCTGGATGTTGTCGATGGTGCCCTGCATACCCTCGATCTTGCTCTGCAGCCTCTCCTGATGTACCATAAATTAATATAAATAATAATATATTAATTAATATAAGCCGGCAAGGTGAGGATGGTTGGTGTGGCAGTTTATAACTGCTGTAGCAGCTATCTTCGTGTTTGGAATTTATCACCACTTAACATCAGGTGGGGTAGAGTCATTTGCCTACCTTGCTAAAAAAAAGAAAAAAATACACCAGTCACAAATATGTATCTATAAGTTTTTAAAACAATGATTAAAAACTTTAACTCTAATTATTTGAATTTCAGCCCCAAATTCGATTGTAACTTATACTAGATTTTATCAGATTCAAAAAAATTAAACCTAAATTTTAAAAAAGGTTTGTTAATAAAATAATTTATTCATATTTTCAGGTAGTTACCTACTTAATGCAAAACGAAGTTCAAATTGTAAGCACTGACCTTTTCGACACGTATCTCCAAAATGATGGACATCTGCTTCGATAGTTCGTCGTCTTTGCTCTGAAAGTAAAATTAATTTATAGTTAATAATTGTCACCATAATTATGCTTTGTTTTACCAGTTTTTGAACATGATAAAAGCATATTTTTTTATTCATTATATATACATATTAATATTCAAATTAAAGCTTAAAACTAATTATTGTCTAAAAACTTAAGAATTAACTACTTAAATATTTTTACCAGTTTATAATCAATTTAATCAAGTTTCATGAATACTGATTTCATAAAGCAGACTACTGACATCCCTGCCGCAGAGGCAATCTAGGGTGTAAGAGTGATGAAAGAGAGATGACCCTTTATTGCCTTCTTAATTGTGATGTGTGTAGGCAATCAGGGGCTATTTTCTAAATTAGACCTGCGTTAGGGCGGCAGGAACACGAGACCACCTTTGGTCTCTAGATTGTCCCTGCCGCCCTGCACGTTGCCGCGTGCGTAGCGCGATTGGGGCAATTTCTCGATCAGTTGGTTGGTAACTATCACACGCAGTGCACGTATTTCGATCAAGATGGCGGCAGATCAAAATAGGCATGAAGTCTGGTCATGAGTGATAGAAGTATAAAAAGACAGCCTCCAAATGTGGGATAAAAAAACAAACATTATTTATATATTTTTTTTTTATTTTTTGAGCTTGCAACTGCTCGGTGTTTAAATCTAAAGAAGAAAAATAGAAATAGTTTCTTTAAAATTTTTTATTGTAATATTTTCCTTAAATTCAAACATCGAGCTGTTACATGCTTAATAAATTAAGATTATAACTTTAATTGCTATTTCTACTTTCAAATGTTTAATGCTTGTAAAGCAAAAGGTAATCATTTGACATTGTGGGTCACCTACAATGCAAAAAGATGGCGCTGCCTTGCAGCTTAAGAATGGCTAGAAAGAATTCGATACGGCTGTTAGGGCTGCGGTAGCGTAATTGGTCAGTGCATTCGCCCGGATAGCGAAGGGTGTGGGTTCGAGTCCCGTCTGCTGCCAGGTCCGCGTGGATATTTTTCTAGTAATATAAACATTATTTAATTACAATACATTACTTTCTGTTACCAATTCTTCACACAGTATTTGCTTTTTTGCGGTAACACCATAGAAAAAGCCAAAGCCCTACCTACCGATCTCCTGCTTTTTTGATAACACTGGGACCCATGTGTCAACGCGTGTATTTAGCTCAACATACCCTCGTAAACTGAATAGCAAGCATGTGTGTAGGTAGAGACAAGGCGATTTTGGCCCGACCGCCGTGCACCCTAGATTGTCCCTGCGGTAGGGATGTCAGTAGGCCGCATAAAGAAGCACTGCTACCCCCACCCACCCTTACTGATAAATGAGGAATAATGCGATTCAACTTAGAATGGGACTGGGCGCCAATTGAGACGTCATCGCTGTCAATTCAAACCTATTTGGTAGAGTGAGCAAAAAGCTTTTATTTAATAAAACTTATTTACTAAGATTAAGTGAGAAATACATATCTTTTATTAATAAAATTTGTTTTACTAATATTTATTTATTAAGACTGTGTGAGAAAAAATATTAAACAGAATTTAGTTCTCCAACTCCGCTCATCTCCGGATTACCGCCGGAGTAGTAATGAATAATCATGAACTATTACTAGGTCACATACGAACATGCATCCTTAATGTAAACAAAAGTTTAAAAAAAGTGACATTTGGTTGATGATTTAGGTTATTAACCATTCATAGACAAATCTCATTAAATGAAATAAAATATCAACCAATATTAATTATCAATATTTGTTATTGTTTGTTTACAAATGTTTGGTTTTTATTCTAGAATTAAAAACGGGTTCCAAGTTTTTTTGCAAACCGTACTATTCAAGCGACATTTGACAGATGGAGGTCATTGGCTTTCCTATTTTTATTTGAATCGCACTTTAGGGTGCGGCCAGAGTGCACTCAGATTCAGATTCAGATTTCGAAAACAAGCGCGAGAAATAAACACTGTAATCGAAGGGTACAGCCAGAGTGCACTCCTGATTCAGATTCAGACTCAGAAAACAAAGCGCGAGAAAAAGCAGGCAACCTGCTTAGACTACACTGTTTATTTCTCGCGCTTGTTTTCGAAATCTGAATCTGATTCTGAATCTGAGTGCACTCTGGCCGCACCCATAGATTAGTTACGCAGTGTGTTGTTCAATAACACTCAAATGCCTTTTGTTATTCGATGAACAGAGGCACGACACGGAGTAACTTATCTATAGTGCGATTCAAATAAGAGGTGCTAGTGCATAAATTTCACACTGACACTTCCTTGTTCGATTTGTTTGAGACATAAACATTCATCTAAATTTTGATTAAAATTTAAGCAGTTTCCTCTCGTTGTTATGGTAGGTATTTGCTCCTTTTCAACGAAACGAGCTGTTCGATCAGCTACATTTAATTCTCCTTAAATTAAAGGCCTCGATAACTAGATCCTACTCGTTTAAAAGCTACATAAACCCTTAAGATCTTTCACCAGACGAGGAAAGCGCACAACCGTTGTTTGGAAATCCCTAAAGGAAGCCTATATGTCCAGCAATGAACATCCATCGGCTGATTATGATATGATAATGACACTATAAAGTTTAGTCACACAGATAGAACTCACTCGCACATTTCCCTCCAGTTGCTCGATTTGTTTCAAACATTCCTCTCATTATCCTTAAAAGCTTCCCTATCCAGTTCATGGGCATGCCTGCTCCTCTATCAAGCTATTCAGTACTTCCTATACGAGTTGATGATGCTGGATTTTACCCTAGTGGCTCCGTAAACTCCTGCATTTCTCCCTAAAGGTCTCAGTAACTAGGCTAAAAAGCCACCTAGGTGAGAAGTGAGAGTGACGCAGATAGAACTCACCCGAACATTTCCCTCCAGTTGCTCGATTTGTTTCAAGAATGTTCTCTCTTTATCCTTAAAGGCTTCCCTATCCAGTTCTTGGTCATGCCTGCTCCTCTTTAAAGCTAGTTCAGTACTACCTACACGACTTTATGATGCTGGATTTTACTTTAGTTGCTGCAGCATCTGCTTCCTGCATTTCTTCCTAAAGGCCTCAATGCATATAGAACTCACCCGCACATTTCCCTCCAGCTGCTCGATTTGTTTCAAGAATTTCCTCTCATTATCCTTAAAGGCTTCCCTATCCAGTTCATGGTCATGCCTGCTCCTCTGTAAAGCTAGTTCAGTACTACCTACAAGAATTAATGATGCTGGATTTTCTCCTAGTTGCTGCAGCATCTGCTTCCTGCATTTCTTCCTAAGGGCCTCAATGCATATAGAACTCACCCGCACATTTCCCTCCAGCTGCTCGATTTGTTTCAAGAATTTCCTCTCATTATCCTTAAAGGCTTCCCTATCCAGTTCATGGTCATGCCTGCTCCTCTGTAAAGCTAGTTCAGTTCGGGCGCGGGCTTCACAAGCAGCCTTCACGTCGGCCATGAGGCGGCCGATAGTGCCAGCGTTGTCGTCCAATTCTTTGTCTTTCTGCTGTATACTTGAAGTGAGCTCGGACACCTTTTGAGCGGTGGTTTCTCTGCATTACCAGTAAGGGACTGAGTATTAGAACAAAACATAGACCTAGAGAGGTAAGGCATAGCGGTCGCTCGAATTGAAGCGCCCGTTTGGGGAAGTAACCTCCACCTTACAGAAGACTATAGTAAATATTTACCTTTAGGTGATGTTGTGCTCCTGTCGGTGTGTAAGGTTCCAGGATTCCGTCGAGTTGTGGATTGGGACAGGAATACAGGATAGGTAAAGGCGCGAGTGATAGCTTTGGTAACGAAATCGTCTATAGGCTATAGTGGTCGTTTACCATCAGGTGAGCCATGATATGCTTATTTGCCACCCTATTAACATTAAGTAGAACTAGATTTTGGATCTTTGCCTGTGAAATACTGCATTATTTAAGAAAAGTGTGTTTTGCAATACTCCTTATGTTTATAGTATACCTGAAAGTGTGCGAGAAATTACCTTGAACAATATATTTAAAAACAAATTACAACATTTTTAAGTAGACAAATGTTACTATGGACTTTTTGGAGGGATCGGAAAGCGTCACTTTAGCAATTTTGTTTTTCTTGTTAAAAATTGTGTTGTGGCGGATGTTAGTGTCTAATAATGGTGGATTATTAACCACTAAGTGTTCGGGAACATGTACAAGTGTTGGCAAGTGAAACAAAATAGCGGAAGGTGTCTTTCGACGTTCCCTCAAGAAGTCCACGGGTAGGTTCCAGTAAATCCCCACACATTTACTGAAACATAGGGAAAGGGGGATTGACTTGACTGCCACTTACTTTGACTTGATTTATTACTTTGATCACGAGTGCTATAGAATTTGTAAATATTTTAACACTTGACATTGGCTAAATGCACAAGCCGTACTAAGCCATTTAGAAAGAAAAAAAATTTTACTATACGGTCCGTGAATTTTTGGAAAACGAAAGGTTTTAGACTAAGTATAGAAAAAACGACATGCATGAAATAAATACAATCTTATATTTATCGTTTATTGAATAAACTATGTAAAATATATTAATTTGACATTGAAACATTTAATGATTTATAGAAATATTTGTTTGATGTATGATGATGATGATGTCGCGAAATAATTGCGAATACACGCAGATGATTTCATTTGATTGATTTGATGAGAATATATTTAGGCAGCTAAAAATGTATGAACTAAATAGAGAAACAAGTCAAAAAGGCAAACTTTTTCTAAAAATATTTCTATCTTCAAATTTTAAATGGAAAAATATTGCTGTCGCGGCGTCCGGCCTCCTTGGACTGACTGACTAGCCTACATATGACAGACGGACATCATGACAGTATTGACAGGAAAAAAGATGACAATGGACTACGAGACAGGACGGCGGTGACTGCCAAGTTTCGTTCCACCGACTTCCACGACTATATAAAGACGACGAATCCAACGACCAGACAAGTGGTCCTTCGAGAAAACTGACCCAGCCCATGGTAAGAACGAGAAGCCAGACCAGGGCAATGATGTCAACGACGAAGGCGGCCGTTACTGCCCCTGACCAGGACGGGCAAGACGCCAGACAGTCAATCCGGGACAGCCGCCCGCCCTCGCCATGCCCTTCCGCTCACTCTACCACTAGCACGATGTCGACAGTTAAAAAACAAAGACTCTTGCAGCTACAACTAGAGGCCGCCGAAGAGCGTGCGGCAATCGATAAGCGCCTGCTAGAAGAAAAGCTCACCATCCAAATGCAAGCGTTTCAAGACGAAGACGACAGGTACGGATCTCGCACCTCTCTCAGATCCGGAAAGATACTAACAGGTATTGATCATTATGCACCTAAGAACACAACAGACAAGATAGTACCTCACACTCGACAGCACCGGAATGAACCATCAACAAGCACAGAAGCACACAACTTGCAGAAAGACCTAAGTAAGCTCTTAGCCCGACAGAATAGTACTAAAGAGCTACCTGTGTTCTCAGGAGAGCCCGAAGAGTGGCCCCTGTTTTACAGCCAATTCGTTTCAACTACACGTCTGTGCGGATACACTGATGACGAGAATATCGCCAGACTTTCAAGGGCCCTGAAGGGGCGCGCTCGCGATTCAGTGTTCGCTCTCTTGGTCTCTTCTACAAACCTAGACAAGATTATATCCACACTTAAAATCAGATTCGGTCGACCAGAATACATTATTGATATCATGCTTCAGAAAATCCGCAATACAAAATTCATTCGTCACGATGACATCAATCACATCATAGAGTTTGCTACCACAGTACAGAATATTGTTGCTACGATGAACGCTACCAAGGAAACGGGACATCTTTCGAATCCGATGCTAATCAAAGAGATTATCAACAAACTCCCTAGCAATCTAAAATATCTATGGGCCTTCCATGTAAACAAAATTGACAAAGTTACACCCGTCACACTAAATGATCTGTCAGACTGGCTTATGGAGATAGCCGAAGCTTCTACATATATTACGCCCACACCGACAACCGATAGTAAACAAAGTACAAAACCAAATTTTCACGACAAGAAAGTAGTGTATACAACGACTTCGACCTCAGCTAAGAAAAGGTGCGTCTGCTGTCAAGACGAACACGCGCTTAAGGACTGTACAGTTTTCAAAAAACTTTCCGTAGACGAACGTTGGAATTTCGTGACAGAACAAAAGCTTTGTTTTTCCTGCTTATCTGAAAGGCACCAGCTGAAAGAGTGTAAGCATAAGAAAAAATGCACCGAAGTGAGTTGTGAGAGAGTGCACCACCCGCTACTTCATGCGCCACCACTCAGACCGACGCGTAACGTTACGACAAGCGAAATCGTGAGTACCGCCGTAGCTCCAATGACGGAACGCCATGAACCATTCCAGCTGCGTGTGCTTCTAAAGGTCATCCCAGTGGTGATCGCTGGGCCTAAAGGAGACGTCGAGACCCTAGCCCTGCTAGACGAGGGTGCAGCGGTATCTTTAGTTGACCGATCTTTGTTAGAACGGGCTGGCATTAGAGGAGAGATATCACCGTTACATATACGAGGAGCTTCAGGTATGACGACGAAAGAGGCCGATTCGCAAATCGTGTCGTTAAATATTAGAGGACTGAAAGTGAGTGATACGTATAACGTGAATAACGTTCGTTCTGTTCGTAATTTAAACTTAAGTGTAAATAATCTTAATTTTATCGATATTGTAAATAGATACTCTTATGTAAATAATTATGTAAATGACTGTGACTTTCGACATAAAAAAGTTGAGCTACTCATTGGACAAGACAACATTGAATTGATAGTGACGAGGAAAATTATATACGGTGACAAAAATGGACCAATGATATCTCTGACAAAATTAGGACATGTGGTTCATGGAAACGTAAGACTCGGTAGTTTACCGAATGACGTGACAGTTTTACATGTCTGTGACTGTCACGAACTTAATGACTTAATAAAAAAATCTTTCTCCACAGAAGCCTTTGGTACAAAATATACGAACGAGACTCCTCGCTCTCGGGAGGATCAACTCGCGCTTCAAATTATGGAGCGTACGACTCGACTCCTTCCCGAAGGGCGGTACGAGACAGGTCTCCTATGGAAGTCAGAGACGCCGGAGCTTCCTGATAGCCTACCGCAAGCGAGGAAGCGATTTCTCAGTATCGGAGCGAGAATGCGTAAGTGTCCCGACTTTGCTATAAAATACAGAGAAAGATTCCATGACAATATTATAAAAGGTTATGTTTCAAAGCTAGATCCAGAAAACGCCTCCATACGGTCCATGAAGACTTGGTGGTTGCCGCACTTTGCAGTTTATAACCCCAATAAGCCCAAGCTACGCATTGTACTGGACTGCGCGGCGAAATCGGAAGGCAAGTCTTTGAACGATTTCCTCTTGACAGGACCCGATCTTCTGACTTTGCTTCCAACCATACTCCTAGGATTTCGCAGTGGCAAGGTAGCTGTCACCGGTGACATTCAGGAGATGTTCCACCGGGTCATGATAAGGCATGAAGACAGGCAGGCCCAACGTCTGCTGTGGGAGGACGGCCAGTACGTGATGAACGTAATGACCTTTGGTGCTGTATGCTCACCCTCCTCATCACAGTATGTAAAGAACGTTAACGCTCGGAGATATGAGATATCTCATCCTCTCGCCTGTCATGTTATCACTGAACATCATTACGTCGATGATTGTATTTACTCGATGGACAACGAGGATGACCTGATCCAGCTGGTAAAGGACGTCATAGAGATACACTCATCAGGTGGGTTTTTTATAAGAAACTTTGTCTCCAATTCAAAAAAGCTTCTAAAGAACATTCCTCAGGATAGACTTTCCGTGTCAGCAGTCAAAGTGATCAGTGATAGCAAAGATGAGGTCGTGGAGAGGGTGTTAGGGGTCAGATGGACCCCCGACGACGACTATTTTATTTTCATTTTAAACTTAACCAATATACCGGACGACCTGGTACGTGGTGTCAAGAGACCGACGAAACGGGAGGTCCTTAAGATAATTATGTCAGTTTTTGACCCTCTGGGTTTTTTTTCTCAATGTCACCGTCAAAGCCCGCATCCTTTTCCAAAATATCTGGCGCAGCAAGATAGGATGGGATGATGAGATCGAAAGCTGCCATTTTGCTATGTGGCAAACATGGCTAAATGAATTAAAGTCCGTAAATGACGTTAAAGTACCACGTTGGATTTTGACAGATGACTACGATGGGGTGGCTGAGCTGCACATCTTCTGCGACGCCAGCTCCAGAGCGTTCGCCAGCGTAGCATACCTCAGATCACGCAAGACCGACGGGATCTGGCACGTTGCCTTCTTGATGGCGAGAGCAAGAGTAGCGCCTCTAAAAGTGATGAGCATTCCGCGGCTCGAGCTCCAGGCGGCTTTGTTAGGGGCACGTCTATTCATGAGCCTACAGCACTGTGAAATGGCAGCCCTGTCTAAGATAGTATTCTGGACTGACTCGAAAACAGTGTTGAGCTGGCTGCGGTCCGACTCAGGCAGATTTAAGCCATTTGTCGCACATCGCGTCTGCGAAATAACAGAGCTGACAGACTATAAGCAATGGAGGTGGATCCCACTCATTTAAATGCAGCCGATGACTCCACGAGAGACACCGCGATGGCTGATGATGGTGAGAGGTGGCTAAAGGGGCCAGCCTTCTTGTTTAAACCCGACAACGAATGGCCTATTGATATTGACAATGTCGACACTATCGACACTTACATCGGCGACGACGAGATTAAGGCTGTCTGCCTAACTAATTACGACATGGCACCAGAGTTACCCGATATTTAACGCTTTTCTCAGTATTGGCGACTGGTACGAAGCACAGCTTGGTTCTTCCGTGGGGTTCACAACTTCAAGAACAAACATCCCGACTGGCTTCGAAGTGAACTGACTGCGCTAGAAGTGGCGAACGCGGAAGAAGCACTCATCAAACAAAGTCAGAGACAGAGGTTTTCTACCGACATTAACAACATAAAAAGTCATGGACATGTAGACAAATCAAGCTCACTTCGTCAACTCAACCCCTTCCTAGACGCGCACAACATACTCCGAGTTGGGGGGAGGATTGAGGCGGCAAATCTTGACTACAATACTAAGCACCCAATTATATTACACCCAACCGAACCATTCGTCATGCTGCTAATGCTTCGTTACCACTTCGAAGCCGCACACACTGGTAGAGAAAGAGTCCTCAACGAACTAAGAAAGCGTTACTGGATCCTCAACGGACGCAATGCTGTTAAAAAGACCTGGAATGACTGCTCCCTCTGCAAGATAAAACGCGCGAGAGCCGTACCGCCGCTCATGGGGCAACTACCTGAATTTCGGCTCCAAGGAGGACATCGACCCTTCACCTACACAGGCTTAGACTATTTCGGGCCTATGTTGGTCAAAATAGGCCGCAGACAAGAGAAAAGGTGGGAAGCCTTATACACCTGCCTCACAGTACGCGCGGTGTACGTAGATTTAGTCAACGACTTGACTACCAACTCTGCGATTCTGAGCTTACGCCGATTTATAGCTCGTCGAGGCTGTCCAGCGGTCATACACAGTGACAACGCAACGACGTTCCGTGGGACCGGTCGCGAGCTGAAACAGGCGGTACTAGCAATGGACCGGAGCGAACTACTGCGTTTCGGCAGCACCCGCAACATCGAATAGAGATTTATACCTCCAAACTCTCCACACATGGGAGGCTGCTGGGAAAGACTGGTGCGTAGCATTAAGACGGCGCTACGTGTGACGCTAAAGGAGCGAGTCCCAAACGAGCAGACCCTCCGAACGCTCCTGGCAGAGGCCGAACAGTTTGTGAATAGCCGTCCATTAACTTACGTGCCAATTGACTCCGACGACGATTTACCATTGACGCCTAACGATTTTCTCTTTTCAGACACTTCGGCGATTGGCAGACCGTCTGGTACGTTCTCTGACGGGGACTTACTGCGGCGTTCCTGGCGAGAGTCCCAGAGGCTGGCGGACCTGACGTGGAAGCGATGGGTCCGCGAATATCTGCCCTCTCTGACGAGGCGAGATAAGTGGCTACAGGTACCTGACAGGCCGCTCACCGTAGGTGACATCGTGATAATCGCGGACGACCAACTTCCGAGGGGTCAATGGCCTCGGGGTCGGATCGCGAAAGTGTACCCTGGAAAGGACCACCAGGTACGCGTCGCAGACGTTGCGACGAGGCAGGGACTTTATACCCGACCGGCGACGAAACTGTGTAGACTGGACGTCGGCTCCCAACCTTGAGTATCAGCTTTCTGATACTGGGGGTGGGAATGTCGCGGCGTCCGGCCTCCTTGGACTGACTGACTAGCCTACATATGACAGACGGACATCATGACAGTATTGACAGGAAAAAAGATGACAATGGACTACGAGACAGGACGGCGGTGACTGCCAAGTTTCGTTCCACCGACTTCCACGACTATATAAAGACGACGAATCCAACGACCAGACAATTGCGTTGGTAATGAAATACCTGTTTGTTACCTCTCTTTAACCAACTCGGCCTGTAAATCAGCCATTTTAGTCTGCAGCACTTTGAGGGACGTTTCCAGCTCTTCGACACGAGCTGCCTTCAGTTTACCCTCATCTTCGACCCGAGACAGTTCCGACGACACTTGATCCTTCTCTCCTTCCACGCCACGTAGATGGCTTTTAATTTGTTCAACTTCTTTTTCATATTTTACGAGAAGCTGTGTGAAAATTGATAGGCTATGGATGGAAGCGTTGTTAATTTGTAATATTGAGGTTCAATAAACTGACCGAAAATAAACTCTGAACCTTCACAGAATTCGGTATGGTATGAATAGTACATTACTGCAGCGTCTAGCAAAAGAGCTCTGATGGGCGAAAGTTAAATGCCTCTGCTTCGCCTCGGCACACATACGTAAGTCCATCAATGCCTAGTTATGGCCAAGGCTTTCATAGTACTTTTCTCAAATAATTCGCGGAAATTAAAGCTAAGTAGTATCAAGGTTAAACTTATTAATCTAAAATACAATTACTTTCATTTCAAATCAAACAACACTCATTGTATGTATTTATTTCAAACAGCTTTATATTTGCAAGTTAGTTGGAAAAAATAAATCTTTTGATAAGAAGTCCTTGCAGTGTTTCCACAATGAGGGGAAATTCCCCTTTTAAGGGGAAATTAGGATCCAGAAGGGAAGAAAAAGGGGACAGACATAAAAAGGGGAAATTGCGGGAAATTACGGGTAAAGCCTAGCCTAAAATAATGCGGCACGGAACAAATTTTTTATGGACTTTATCGTGGACTAGAGTGTTGCCGTATAAAAGAAAATGTGGCAACACGTGCAGATTTTATATATTTTATTTATCTGTTATAGAATAAGATAGATTAAGACCTTTGTTTTTCTTTAGTTAGTACACTAGTGCCAAATCTAAACACTACATCAGATTATTTTTTGAGGGGAAAAATGTCCTAAGAAGGGGAAATCTGAATTGAGGCGTGGGGAAAGGAAATCATTAAATTGGAAACACTGAGTCCTTGGTCATTATGTTTAGGAGTAAAAGAGTGTTCAATTTTTAAATTACATTGCAGATATGAGTTTACTATGTAATTAATTTGGCCGCTAAAACCAGACAGATATGGATTTTCTTACAACTTTTGCCAGCCGCTGCTCGCATGTATGTGGCCAGTACAATAGCTTGCTTTAATTGCATTTGCAATTAATTTTCAAGCATGTTTGAGAAATAATATATTTTAGAGATATAAGGATGACTTTAGAGATGACTTTTATTATCTCCGTAGTCTTCGGAAATCATTATTTACGGGTTGGAAAAGAATTTTAGATAACTTTGACTTACATCATCTTTAGCTTTGATGACGTTTTCCAGTCCTTGTTTCTTATCATTAACAATCTGAATGTCTTTCTTCAGACTCTCAATTTCAGAGCTAGCAATCTGTAAGTTAAATTATAAATTAAAATCAATTAAAACGTATCCCAATGGGTGCAAGAGTTACCGTCGCCCAACACCTGACTAAACTCATTCGAGATACTGTACGCCTCAACTCAAACCACTCCTGGGAGGGTTTACTAACCTTTCCCTTTCATATCCTTCATATCGAAAAAGGCACTTTGTCGTTCACGGCACTTATTAAACGCAACTGCAGTACCAACCTAAATTAAAATCAATTCACAAGTAATGTTGCATTTCATAATCTCTGCTGGTTTAGTACCTGTAGCTTGGCTTCCGTATCCTTGAGATTACTAATAGTAACCGCATGCTCGTCTTCAAGGCATGATATCTTTTCTTGCAAGTTACTGTTTTGGGCATGGATTGTCTTAGTAAACTCCTCTTGGTTTTCTAACGCTTTCTTCAATGCCTCGTTGGTTTCGTGAGACTCTTTAATTCTAAGAAAAGAAAATTTATTAAGTATTTACCAACAGTGCCTGATTTAGAGTTCTAACCGCCCTAGGCTAACTATAATTAAGCGCCCCCTTGCCTTTCCTGTCCTACCCTCTAATTCTCATAGATGTTACTATTTCTAAACATAAATTATAAAAGTATTGGCATATTTTTAGACTTTTCCAAAACTTTTGATACTGTCTCCATCCCAATCTTGATTTAATAAGCTTGAGTGCCTTGGATTTCCGAGAGCTGTACTTGATTATTTCGAAGCTATTTAAGTAACCGGTACCAAAGAGTGATGATAAACGGCGTTGTGAGTGACGAATTTATGATCTCCTATGGAGTCCCACAGGGTAGTGTCCTCGGACCTATCCTACATGCAGGAATTTTATTTTAACATATGTATTTCCCAAAATATTATTATGCAAGTCTTAGCTCAGCGCCGCGCCCACCGGCCGCCTCCGTGGTCCTTGCGCCCTAGCCATAAAAGCCTGTGGGTATATCAGACTTTGTGTACCAAGATTTATATTAAAACATTACCTTCATTTGTACCAAGCCAGCTAGCTAAGAAACATCAGAGAGCGTATCTTTCTAGTCGACGACCGACGTAACCAAATTTTTAAAATCACTAAAGTAGTTACAGATATGAATTACTTCCATCAAGCAAACTTAGCTTCTCTTAAGTACAGTATCAACAGATTTCTAAAAACAGTAGAGTACAGTAACAGTACAGTGCAATAATACCTGGAAGTTGTGTTAACAACATACAAATATACATTGAAGGTACCTACTAGGTAGGCGAAGAAAAAGCTTACTCTTTCTCCTGTTTGTGTAAGGTGTTCTTCATGTCGCCGGCCTGCATGTTGAACTCTTGAAGCAGTTGCTTGATGTCCTTCTGCAAGGATGCGACTGCTTCTTCTTTCTATAAACGTATGAGCATAGAAAGAAAGCTTTCAATAAAATTACTAACTACTTTAATGTAAACTAGAGGTCATAGGTTATAATTATTTTACCAGGACGTGTTTAAATATTTCCCCACACGGCCGGTAAGTCAAATAAAAACTGCAATTTACCTTTCTCTAGGAGGAGCTCGATGGCGCAGGTGGTTAGCGCATTCATCTGCGATCGTTGAAGTTAAGCAACATGCGCAGTGGTCGGTCATTGGATGGGTGACCAGAAATCTTCTATCTCGAGTTCCTTCGTGCTTCAGAAGGCACGTTAAGCCGTTGGTCACGGCTGCATCTGCTGTCGCCAATGCACTGGGCCCGCTTGGTGGGTCACGGCCCAATCTCCCATTGATAGGGAAGGCCTGTGCCCCAGCAGTGGGGACATTAATAGATGACTTTTCTCTCTATTAAGAATCTTATTTCATTACCTGGAATCCACTCATACTAAATATCAGGTTGGGTAAACGATTTTTTGGGTCTTATAAAACTAAAAAGCCGTAAGAAAATCTGCTACAGAAATTACATATTTTGTGACAATTCCACAGCCTATCTTAAAATTACGTGTCTTGAGATACAGTAAGTATCTATACGATAACATAAGGATGTAACAGAATTCTGTTGTAATTGTAAGCATTTCTTATGGAAATCCAAAAAGTAACCCAGTTATCCTGAAAAAAAGAAATACAGAGATCAGTCTCACAGCTTGCAGGTCATGCTGCTTGGAGTCGAGCTGTCTACGCAGCTCGGCCGTAGTGTTAATTAGCTCATCTTTCTGCTGCACTGCGGCAGACAGCTTCTGTTTAGTGTCGCTCAACTCTGCGTCCAACTGCTGCTTCGAGGTCGTAAAATACTGCATCAGCTGGTTGTGGTGGTCGCCCGTTAGCTTCACTGCATTAGTATGTCGAAAGATGGCACATGAATAGTAATAATCGAAATAAAGAATAGGTGATAATTTAATTTAATCACTACATTTCCAAATAAAGACGATGATGAGACGATTTTCACCATCAGTCATGGCCTGTCAGGATTTATCATTATCATCACACCATCAGTCAGGATTTAGAGGTGTGGTTTCCTGTGCCAGTGACCTTAGATCTCATGGAGTTTCAAAAGGAAGTAGAATAAGTAAGCGAAGCGAAATCCTCTGTTCGTAAGATTATAATGTTACAGACTTAAATCTAGAAATAATTTTAGGAACATAAAATTATGGTTTGCAGAAAAAAAAATGCAAATAAGATATTGAAATTTCAATAATCTTCCGACGTAATTCTGAAGATGAGACCCAATTCAAGGGGTAAGAGCATAACACATACATAAATACATACACATAGACTAGTTACTCCATATTTTGTCTCTGTTCACTGAATAACAAATAGCATTGGGGTGATGTGGTGAAGTGTAAATCACGTCTTCTACGTGATGATAATCATCCTCGATACGATTAGGTCTGTAAGCCCTAAGCACGTCGTATACGTATTGTAAATAGTATATAAGATGTAGGTTAAGTTAATTAAATGTTGATTTTCACACTGAACGCTCGTCGTGATTTCTCCCGAGTCACCCACACCCCGTCACCACATGGCGACTGTGACGTAGAAGATCGTGCTGCATCGGACGGGGTCCGTTATGTGAGTTTTTTGGAAATTTTAATCGACCAGGGCAGCATACTTCTGAGCGCAAAGACCCAGAAGGGTTCGCTTGAAGAAATTGAAGATGATTATTGAATCACTATTACATTATGTTTGCGGATGATGCCACTATATTCATTCAAAAAGACAAATGTTCAAACCTTGACGATCAAGTACGTGATTCTCTTAATATCGTGATAAAATGGTTGTCAACCCTAAATCTTAAAGTGAATCTAGAAAAGACAAAGATTATGCAATTTAGGAATTACAAAAAGAAATTACATGATATTGACATAGTTATCAATAATAAAAAAATCGAGCAAGCTAATGAGACAAATTTTCTAGGCATTAATATTGACCCCCATCTCAATTGGAAATCACATATAAATAAAATAAATAATAGATTATCTAGTAAATGTTACCTTGTATCAGTATTGACTAATATAACTTCCATTGATGTTGCTCGAAATGCATATTATGGCTATGTATACCCTCTTTTGACATACGGAATCATATTTTGGGGTAATTCGGTAAATGCTCATTCTACATTTATTTTACAAAAGAGGTGTTTGCGAATTATATATAAAATTGACCCACTTGAATCTGTAAGACCAGTATTTATAAAATATAGATACCTAACATTGACTTGTATATATATATTTGAAATATGTGTGTTTGTAAAAAATCATGACGAATATTTTTGTAAAAAAAATCTGACTAAAGCTAATATACGAGCCCAATATAAAAATGACATGAATACTGCATTATCGACTAGCTATATATTTGACAAAAGCTCTTATATAAGTGGAATTAAAATATTTAACAATTTGCCCAATGACATTAAAGATTTAAATTTATTGGAATTTAAAATTAAATTAAAGAAATGGTTAATAGATAAATGTTTTTATAATTTAAAAGAGTATTTTCGAAATTTTTAATAGCATTTACCACCTATAATGAATATTGTACGTCCGAAACGGACAGCTGCCTAGAACTAAGAAATTACTTGTAACACCATTGTACTCAGCATGACAATAAAGCTTTCTATTCTATTCTATTCACGGAAAACTGCAAACAAATTACCTACGCACTCGGTTCCTCGGTTTCACGTATATGAAGATACATTGAAGAAGAAGATATATTCCAATACTGCAAAAGGGCATGAAAATGACTACGTTATTATGAAGGAAATCATTAAGCTACAATTAATGTCAAGTAAGTTGTAATGTCGTCAGTTTTAGCATTAAGAACAATAAGTAAATATTACCCGACATTATTTTTTGTTTTGTTAAAATAAATTATATAACGCAATAAGATCTTAAAATGCAGCTTAACAGTTAATTCATCTCAATTTTTTATATTACTTTTGTCCCGGTAGACTTTTCATTTATTACTTATTAAGGATTTTTCGCAATTTAAAGTTTTAAGGTTTTCATTGTAAAAATGGCAAGTTTTGATTTAGAGACCGCACTAGCCTTCTTACCTAGAATGACGGGAGAAGAGCATAACACACAATGTTTAATTAATAATATAGAATTTTACAGTAGCGTTATTGATAATAACTCGCAAAATACTTTAATTAATTTTGTTTTAAAAACTAGACTCTCAGAAACAGCAAAAATGTATTTAGAATCTTCTTATGATAGTATTAATCATTTAATTAGTGACATAAAACATTTTTTTTTACCGAAAAAGTGTCCATCATCGATTCAATTTAAATTATTTAAGTGCAAACAAGGAAGTAGGTCTATAGAACAATTTGGTTTAGAGATCAATAAACTGTTATCTGAATTAACTATTGCTCAATCGGAAAATGATCAGGAAAAATAAAATTTTGCTTCCGTTAAATGAAGCTTTTGCAATAAGATGTTTTGCTGAAGGTTTAAATAGTAGTCGAATAAATTTAATTTTAAAGTGTAGGCAGCCCACGTTATTAAAAGATGCTATTCAAATAGCACTCGAGGAATATATTACATCATCGAATAGAGAGGAAAATATGATTCAGCAATGTAATTACTATAAGTCAAGGTTAAGTTACAGACCGAGAGTAAGAAATTATTATTTTAAAAATTGTAGCGTAGCAAGTAAAAGGAATGTTTGCAAGACGTTGGAATCTCGCATTCCGCGCGACGGTCAAGTTCATTCGCGCAAAGCGCTAGATAAGCAAAATCGTGCTCAAATCGATGAGGTGTGCTCTTATATAGAAACTTGTAATACAGAGGTAATGAATTCTATAAATAGTTTTAATGACGAGTGTTATGATTAAAAGTTAGACGAATTTTTTTTAGAAAAAGATCTATGTTGTAAAAATAATTTGCTAAGTAAAAGCAATGGTAACTTAATTAAGTCTAACCAATGTAAGGAAAAGCGAAAAGCTTCTTATAAAATACGAAAGGAAAATATGTTCGCAATCGACGAGATCACAATGTCTAATGATAACTCTAAGAAAGAGTTCCCTGCAATTAAAGCAGATTATGTAAAAGCTAGTTCTTATGTAAACGTAATTGTTAAAGAGTATTTTAATGACAAAATAGACAATAAGAAGTATGTGCATTCTAAATATAATTTATGTGTTTATGCACCTTCAAAATGCGAAATATATATAAAGTCTGTGTCATTCCTAGAAGAGAAAAGACTAGCGAAAGATGTTGAATTGCTTTGTAAGCATTTACAAATAAAAGGTTTGATAATTAATGAAAAATGGGTTAAAAGTTTTAATAACTTAAGGGAGAAATATAATGTTGTATTACCCATATTAATTGTAATCAGCGATATTACACATGGAAAGGATAAAATGAATAATAATATAATAAAAGGGGTTTTTAATATATATCATAGGTGTAAACCCGAAAGCTCGAAAAATAACAATATTTTATTTAATGTTTATTATACAAATAAGTGTAATAAGAAAGATTTTATTAAGAAAAGAAATAATTGTTTTCAAGACATGCTATTTAGGAAGGCATACAACCAACGTGATGTTGGAATAGATTAATGAAAATGTAAAATTCTAATATGTAATGTTTTTTTTTGTTAAAAATAATTGTTTAGTAATTATAGTAAGGAAAACGTAAATAATTGTTTAGTAATTATAGTAAGGATTTATATTGATAATAATTGTTTGTATAAATTTTAAGATATTTTTTTAATAAAGTAAATGAAATAATTTAAGTTACATATATATGAGATTAGTAAATCTCTTAAAAAGGTTTTAACATGTTGTTATGTATAATATGTTAATAAATCGAGTTACATATGTTAGAACGTAGAAGAAAAGTGTTTAGGGTCTTCCTTTTCAGGGGAGGGACGCCTAACGTTTCAGGGGAGGTGTGGTGAAGTGTAAATCACGTCTTCTACGTGATGATAATCATCCTCGATACGATTAGGTCTCTAAGCCCTAAGCACGTCGTATACGTATTGTAAATAGTATATAAGATGTAGGTTAAGTTAATTAAATGTTGATTTTCACACTGAACGCTCGTCGTGATTTCTCCCGAGAGTCACCCACACCCCATCACCACATGATATGAACTAAATACGGCGTAACTAGTGTAAACTTATTCCTCGTCTGTCCCTTGGAGCGTGTGTACTGACGTCTGTCCTCCAGCCGCTGCACCAGTCGCGCGTGCTCGTCGTCAGTACGCGCCCGCTGCAGCTGCGCGTGCCGCACGAGGCGGCCGGAGCGCTGGTAGGCGTCGCAGAGGGCGGCCTGGTCGCGCTTGCAGCGGGACAGCGTGTGCCTGTATGGAGCGTGTGTACTGACGTCTGTCCTCCAGCCGCTGCACCAGTCGCGCGTGCTCGTCGTCAGTACGCGCCCGCTGCAGCTGCGCGTGCCGCACGAGGCGGCCGGAGCGCTGGTAGGCGTCGCAGAGGGCGGCCTGGTCGCGCTTGCAGCGGGACAGCGTGTGCCTGTATGGAGCGTGTGTACTGACGTCTGTCCTCCAGCCGCTGCACCAGTCGCGCGTGCTCGTCGTCAGTACGCGCCCGCTGCAGCTGCGCGTGCCGCACGAGGCGGCCGGAGCGCTGGTAGGCGTCGCAGAGGGCGGCCTGGTCGCGCTTGCAGCGGGACAGCGTGTGCCTGTATGGAGCGTGTGTACTGACGTCTGTCCTCCAGCCGCTGCACCAGTCGCGCGTGCTCGTCGTCAGTACGCGCCCGCTGCAGCTGCGCGTGCCGCACGAGGCGGCCGGAGCGCTGGTAGGCGTCGCAGAGGGCGGCCTGGTCGCGCTTGCAGCGGGACAGCGTGTGCCTGTATGGAGCGTGTGTACTGACGTCTGTCCTCCAGCCGCTGCACCAGTCGCGCGTGCTCGTCGTCAGTACGCGCCCGCTGCAGCTGCGCGTGCCGCACGAGGCGGCCGGAGCGCTGGTAGGCGTCGCAGAGGGCGGCCTGGTCGCGCTTGCAGCGGGACAGCGTGTGCCTGTATGGAGCGTGTGTACTGACGTCTGTCCTCCAGCCGCTGCACCAGTCGCGCGT